CGTGATCCATGGTGATGGATCACTAGAGTCCCAAGCGATCCGGTGGTCCGTGCGTTTTCTGCCTATCTTATCTTCTCTGACCGCCTTAGGAGGTGCCCCCGCGGTAACTGCGGTTGGTTTCGTGACATTATAGTCAACCTAGCTATCATCTACTATGCCTCCTACAACAAACTATATATTATGTCAGACAATCTGCCTATACCTAACCAGATATGCCTATATATGATCTTATCGCCTTACTAATCAATCGTCTTACTGCCTAGTGTTGTATACTGGATGTATATGCTGTATGTCTATGTATTAATGATCTAATTTATTAGTATCGGCTCTATATCCTTATTGTCTAGAATCTATATTATAAACCGCTACACCTTCCTATGTATGATCTTAAACAACCTATCTGCCTTCTTCTCTGCCTCTTGCCGCTTGTACCTAGTGCCTTACTGCTATTACTAGATCTATACCTTACACTCTAATATAAATTAGTATAATACTAAATACTAGCCGACCTTAGTCACTACTAAATAAATCAGTATATAATTAACAACTTACACCCACCCTCTATATAGGTCTAACCCTATAACTACTAATATACTAATGATAATGCTCTTATAATAGTTGCTATTCTTAAATAGGTGGTCTAAAAACTTAATAATAGTGTCTAAACATATCTAGTCTATCTCAGCCTTACTAGGTCTTATGTCCTTACCTATAATAATCTTATTAATACTATCTATAAATCTCTGCCATGCTCTAGCCTATTAGATTGTCATACAGTACTCCAGTCGACTATATACTGGACTACTGATCAGACTACTGGTCATACTGCTATTGCCCTCTTCTTTATTGCTATTAGCTGTACTGCTATCGCTGTTATCTTTATCATTATCATCTCTATTGCTACTATATATACTGGTACTGCTCTTAGCCATCCTGTCTCTTTCATCCTATAACTCTATATACTGCTAAATGGCTAACAACTTCTTCTACACCTCCTTATACCGGCCCTATAAATCTAGCTCTATTAATAGCTAGAACGGCTTACTAGATGTGATTGTCATCTTCTTGCGCTTGATCTTAAATAACTTAGCGCTGCCTTAGTGGCACTATATCGCCACTATATACACACTGTCTAACACACAATCTAAACTCTATTATATCTACTATAATACCACCTTGCTGTTGTTGATAGGCTGTAACATACCCTACAACCACTCCTGGTTGGTGTTGGCTAAATAGCGCGATCAACTGTATTGTTACAACTATCTATCTGCCTCCTACTTATTGTCTGTCTCATGCATCTAGGCCTTAGCCTTAGCCATAAACACCTGCTCTTCCTCTTTATAGATGTAGGTGATAAATGCGGCTAACTCTTGCTGTGGTGTGTCTTCTGCTGCTTGCTTATTGACCTCTTTACTATGCCTGACCTTGAACCAACTGCTTCCGGTATGATTAGGAAACATCTATTGGTATTACACCCCTATCTGCTATAGTACTAGTAGTAACATTCTTTCTGCTCTTTAGTTATATCAACCTCATCTATAGTTATTCAACTAACTGTATGCAGCCTCATAATACTTCTATATCTGATGGGTATCATAGACAATATACTGATAACTATTATAACCCAACCTATCTGACTTAGGCGGCTTGATAAATAGTATTAGCTTAGTCTTAGGACCTAGATATAGCCATTCTTTTAATTTAGCCTGGTTATGGATAGTATTAGGAATAGCCTAGGCCATCTAGACATACGCCTGGGCTTGCTACTGGCTGATATTTCTATATTGCTTCTTTAAATATGCCTTTACCTTATTAGTAACAACCCTAATCTTATACTAACAGCAAATTATAAATAGGAAATCTAATAACTATATAAATAACTCTATAATAGTAATAATTATTAATAATTAAAAACTATCTATACTTCTATACTACACCCTTAATCTTCCTCTAATTAATTTAGGATGGTTAGTTATCTAATTAATATCCTACTATCTAGATGACTAATATACTTTTACTAGGTCTCTTAACCCTAACCCTCTAACTATAATAAAAACTTCAACCTGGTTGTAATGCTATGATTCTATATTTTATACTTTAAAACTCTACATACTTACTCTTCTGATTATTACCTTTCTGTGTATACTATTTTTATTGATTTTCCTGCCTGGAAATCAATTCAGTTCTACCCTCTGCTTATCAATTCAGTTCTACCCCCTATAATCATAGCGCCGTTTTATTTTGTATGGGGTTTTAATTCAGGTCTAAGAAGAACCGAATTACAGTTTGTTGTAAGGGTGATCTAACAGTCTGAATGTTTCTGCCTATCTTATTATACTAACCGCCCTTAGGGTAGTGCTCTATAGTAATAGCAGTTGATTTTATAATACTATACTCTAGATATATAACCTAGTAATAGTAGACTAAGAGCTACTTTATCTATTAGAAGTATTTTACTAGAGATAACTTAAGCTTAAACCTATAGAAGCCTATAATCTTAGTACTTATTAGATTACTAGTCTTATTATCTTAGAACTAGCTTAGCTATCTAGCTCTTTACTAAGTTATCTTATAGTCTAGAGATTAATTATTATAGAGCTAGTATGTATTATAGAGATATACCTTAATAGCCTTAAGTATCTAGGCTAGATTAGTATCTATATACTTTAGGCTAGCCCTATCCTATCTACTATCTACCTCTTACTCTACTAGCTTTATATATAGAAGCTTATATAATAACTAGATCTTAAAGTACTTAAGCCTCTTAAGATAATAAGAGAATACTATATATATAAGCTAGAGGATATAGTTTATTAGAAAGGCCTTCTTAGCTATAATAATATCTATCTTCTTATTAATATTATATATAATCTAGATAAGATTGCCTCTTAGCTAGATAAAGAGCTAATCCTCTACCTATAATATAAATAGTGCTATAGATAACTTATTATTTATTAAAGTTAGTATTACCTTCTCTAATCCTATTCCTACTCCTACTCCTACTTCTACTCTTACTCTAATATTAATAATAAAGTAGTTAATATAACTCTTAGCTATAAAGTAAGTCTATAGTATATAGAGTATTTAGAGTGATATAGCTACTATATATTATAATATAGTCTGCCTATATATTAGTATATAATCCTATATCCTTATAAGATACTATATACTAAAGCTATATTAGTTATATATATAATAGTAGTTATTAAAGCTAGTAAGACTTATTATCTACTAATATAGTTAAACCTTATCTATATTATAATAATATAGCTTATCTATACTATAGATACTATATTATAATAATAATACTATTATTATCTAGAGCCTCTTACCCTTTATATAATATAGCTTAGCCTATAGATAGCTCTTCTAGCTAGCCTTCTATAGTATAAGACATATCTTATACTACTAGTAGATAATAACCTAATAGTTAGAGTTATATATAAAGTCATCTATTATATCTAATTACTTTATTTAACTAACTAATATTATCTTATTCACCCTAAATATTTTCTCTCTCCTCTCTCCTCTCTTCTTTTCTTAACCCTGCTCTCTTCCCCTCCTATTTATATGATTGACCGGCTAGCCAATAAATACTAGAGGTCTCCTTTTTCAGATAAAAAGGAGACCCCTATTGACGGCCCTGGCCTGTACACACATATAAGGAGGTGTATAGAGGTCTCCTTTTTCAGCCAAAAAGGCGGCCATAATAATTAGTAGGACAAGCCTCTAAAAGATGGTATACATACTTGATTCAGTCCAAGCACTCCTCAAACAGCATATATGCTTTCACCTACAACCGTTTTGTCCAGCTCTCTTTTAAGCGGTGTGTTTCCTGTAGACTGTGTCTGATCGACTGAGAAAGTATGTGGGGGGTAATTGATCGTGTCTGTGGTAGCAAGCCGTCAACGTAGCTGGAAAGAGAAAGACAAGAAAAGATCAGTGACAAGATCTGGGTGGGAAATATAAGTTTACACCATCTTTGTGTTTCAGTTATTGCATTGCTGTCCTCCTCGGAGGCATCTCCGTTCCCTTTTAGGAAGCGGAGTAATGGGGTGGGCGGTTTCTTGGGCTTGCTAATCGTCGCCATAGATGTGAAGGTTGAGAGCTCCACTCAACTGAACTAGAATCATCCTGGTGGACTTAGCTATCGAACTTAAACCAGGGATGATTCAACACCTCTTCGGTGCTCAAACGCTTGCCAGCCTCATAGCAGCACATCTTGCGCAACAGATCTGCCATCAGCCGCTGCTCAAGGGGTGGTGTCTCCAGCCTATTCTCCACTGCCCCGCGGTTTTCCCCACTTTGCTCAATAACCTCTGAAGGTTTGCTCAAAAGCACCTCTAGGGACCAGTCCTCATCATCCCGAAGCCAGGCTCCCTTATCGTCAAAGTAATCCTTGCGCGCCTCCCAGGAATCCCACCAAGACTGGGGCAGTTTTCCAAAGAAGCGAACCATCTCAGCTAGCAACTCATCCGTGTCGGGGATCATATAGAACAGGGGTATCTGCTGTCGGATCTCGAAGAGTGTGCAGGCCAGAGCCCACAAGTCGCATGCCGGACCGATAGCTTTGTCGTGGCCAAGCAAAACCTCTGGCGGTAGGTAGTTCTCAGGGATCCCCAGGTCCGCCGGTGGAGACGACATCGGATAGCACTCGCCAAAATCAATCACACAGATTTGATCTGTGAGGTACTTATCGCTTAGACGCCAAGTATCCGCAGGGAGGGTAAGATACCGGGGCGAGAAATCCGGAGGGTCTTCGCCAGACTCGGTCCGCACATACGCCTTCTTAGGTTGGCCCAGCAGAGAGATCAGCTCATCTTCGCTTAACTGGTTGAGATCCCGTAACTTCACAAGGATATTTGAAGGTCGAAAGTCTGAGGGACGTTAGCAGCTTGCCAGAACGGCGAGAAGAACTCTTGAGAGCTAGCTCACCTCCATGACAATAGCCTTGCTGATGCAGAAAGTGCAAAGCCAAAGCGGACTGTCTGGCCATCCTTTGAAGAGTGATAGACACATCGCCTTTCAAATTCAACCATAACCGCGGTGAGACGCAGGGCCCAAGAACCGGAAGGACGAGACATTGGTGAACTCCATTCGGCCCGGTAACTGCAAAGGAGTCCAAGGGTAGAGCGACGTACTCAGCCCCTGGTCGAGAGCGGTCAAGCCGGGCTAAACCCAAGTCCGGGAGTTCCTCTGCGCCTACGTCTCCCGCCATAACTTTGACGGCAACATAACTGAGCTTCTCGAGATCCCGGCAGAGCCATACAGTACCAAACCCGCCATGGCCAAGTTTGTGTATGACACGATACCGTTTTGAGGAACCAAGGATGTCTCCGAGATGAACAGGGTGGTAGCCACCCTTTTGATACTCTTCCAAAGGTTCGAGGCCCTCATTGATGCCTTCTAGGTACGTCCCGTGGGACGTTGATGGGGCATGGGGAAGGTGTCCGGCATACCCGCCTGACGACGAGGCTACCAGGAGCTTGTAGCTGAGCGCGATTCCATCTGTCGCAGCAGGAGGAACTTCGAGGGGTTCTGAGGAATTCCCGCTGGACATGGCTCTGAACCTATGAGGCGGTCTGGTGGCTGATAAGAGCGGGGGTGCGGGTCGCTGTCGAAAAAGAAGGCCTAAAGAAGCGAACGCTCTGCGGTGAGAGTAACACAGAGGCTGACAGAAATTTCCGGCTGTCTGGAAAGATGAAGCGCGAAGGACACAATACTAGAAAGAAGAAAAGTGCGGAAATTTCTGGGATAAGGTTGGTTGTTTTATGTGATGCAATTCAGGTACCCCACCTACTGCTGTCTCGAAGGCGATTGGTCACCAAAATTTACAAAACTTGTTCGTGTAGCCGCGCGGCAACCCCTGCTTATTTTTACTAAACGCTGTGTGCACATTCAACCATACCAAGGATCAGCCCACTATTGGATCTATTGGATATCTGGTTCGAATTAAGCGCCAAGCATGGTCATCGTATCTGTGTGTCACCGGCCGCCTGTTCAGGGTCCGTGTGACGCCGTGGTCTCTTCACCATCGGCCTTGTTCCTGGCTCTCACAACCACTTATGGGCTCAGTGCACTTAGCATTCAGCTGCCAAACAAGTAGAATTCTAGCTGACGTGGCGTAACGCCGGGCTTCTCAGCTTTGGCCTTGTTTTCAGCCCTCAAACACTCCTAGCGCGCGCACCATCCATGGCTAAACAGCCTGGACTCCCGTATACCGTGGCTGTGCACATTGGCGGCCTGTTTTACACCTGGCGTAACGCCGGCCTTCTGCAGATTTGGCCTTATTCCCAGCCCTCATACACGACTCTTTGACTGCCAACAGTCAAGTGCTAAATAAGCACAGCTTCTGCCTACCACAGCTGTACGTGCCCGCAGGCCTTCTCGGTCTTGAACGTCACAGTTGACCACTGGGTCTGTTGGCCGACCTCCAAGTCTACAAACATTCGCGTGAAACAAAGTGTTCAAATGAACCGCCCTCTACAATGGCCCCGAGGACGACCTCTCGGCGTTTCGCTGCGGCGATAGAACCCATGACTAGAATAGCAAAACCTTGCAGCCTGGAGTGAGCCTAATTATTATTCCGAGAAGTCATTGCACGAAGTCTACAAGTATAAGAACACTGGATTTCCTACAGAGTTCACAGCTTACTCAATAAATGTAAAGGTCAGCAACTCTGTTTTAAGCTCTTTTATTTCGCAGTATAAGCACTACACTTGTCTCCATCAGTCTGTATCTGTCCTCCATTCTTCGCCATGCCAGTTTACCCGGGTGATCGCGTCTTTCGACAAGTTGGCAGTGGCACAACGGCAGATCCTCTGGTGGGCTTCACCTCACCGTAGTTATGACGACTTTTGCTGATATCCGCGTATAGATAATGTGGCTTGTTCAGCCTCCTTGAAGCGCTAGCCGTACGTTGGGCAACGAAGACGTTGCGCGTGATCTTGGCTACCTTGGATTCACTCACATCTGGATCAGGTATGTACACTACGTATTTCAGATCGCAACATACTAGATGTTATCAAACTTTGTAGACGACTGTGATTAGAGATTCTAATAGCCAATGACTTTATAGGCATTGTGACCATGGGACAACTCGACGAACCGTGGTAACTCGTCGTGGTCGTCGTTACAGACGGATGGTCCGTACAGACAGTCACATCACGGTTTTCTGTGGAATGACTTCTAGCGCGGACCGGCAAGGAGATATTTTTCTGGTTGTAGAGAGGAATGGACAATGGCGAATCATGTATGACAACGAACGTACCGATCCTAATGGCTATGGTATCGAGCTTTATCCCTTTCCATAGTGGCATGGGTTTGCCCGGATCGGCCCACACAGGTCATATGTGCTGGCTCATTGGCTTGAACAATTTGTAGATATACCACACTCTTTAGTCTAGCGACGAGATCAAGAAGAACAACAACAACACCCTGTCGTAAAGCAATACGTTTATTTAAATCAATAGAAATCATTTAGAGCCCTGACTAGAGCTCAATCTTTATGATATGATCAATTAGGGAGCTATACAGCAATTTAGGTATGTGTTGGTTATTAGTGATGTGTCTAGGTTCGCTCTTTCTAGTAGTAGCTGTTGATTTAGCCTTATATTAATAAATACCAGCTATAACTAGAGTACCTAAGGAAGACGGTTAAGCGTCTTCAGGGAAGGAAGGAGGAATAGGACTGGTGCTGTGCTATATGATGGTTTTGCTATATTGATAGTTGTCCCGGTAGGGTTGTGAATTGAATGGAGTTGACGGAAGCCACTTAAATGACTTGCATGTGAGGTCCCAATCGATTGATCAATCTGACACTGTAGATTCACACCATAGTTATAAACCCTCTAAGAGGGAAAATAATAGTAATATTATTATTCTCTTCTATCTCTATAATATATAACTTCTTCTATTTAAGATTATCCTCTAGCACTAATACTAGAGGCCTTCAGCCTCAGACTGTTAATAATCTATACTATATACAGCTAGTTACTATATAGCTGTATTACAGCTATATGTCGCCTACTTCAATCTACAGCAGACGACAGCCAGGGTGTGATCACACCTAGTGCTGGAGTTCTAATAGTTTATATAATATCTACATTCTACTTCCTCAATTTATTAGTGTCTTCTATCTATCAATTCCTAACTGTAGCAATCCACTACCTATCTTTATTATCCTCAGCAATCCAATAGGCTTTCACCTCTGCGATGCAAGTTCTCGCTCCAGGCGTCACTGCAATCGGGAAGCCGCCATAATCGGGATCATCGTTGGGCATCATCATAAACTCTCCGTGTCTTGTCTCATCTCCGTTCAAAACTCTGAGAGTCTGCAAGTTTCCATCCTTGTCAACCTCCTTCTCCTCGCCCCATAGAATCCCACCAAATGTTGCATCTTTGCGGGCTGCTTTGAACCGCGCATGGAAGCCGCGTCCAACAAGCAGGAACCTAGAGTCACCTAGGTGAATGATCATTCCAGCACCGGGTCCGGGTGCCCCGAAAACAAAACATCGCTCAACAATGACCTCGATATCACCAAATACACGGCTCCATTGCTCGGCCTTTTTTTCGCTGGGCTCTTCATCGAAGTAGAAACCGAACCGGTCTTCTGGCGCGGCATCGAGAAGGTATTTCTTGGTCTGGCTGAGGAGCTTGAACTCACGGCCGATGATATTAGAACCAGTGTCGATTCCAAATGGACTAGCACCAAGAGCTCCGTACGTAGCATACGCTAACCATATCTTTCGTGATCCGTGCTCATCGCGTCGCTGTTCCGGGATGAACAATGTGTTTCCTTGCTCCGTGTAGCTCCGACACACTGTCTCGTAGTCATGGAAGTATAGATCCGGTGCCAGGAAGTCGAGAGATGGTGCATTGAATCGCCAGATGTCCAAAACGTGGGGACACGGACCGCCGGATGGGTAAATACCAGGCTTGTGACCGCCACCAACCACAACAGGAACACCCCCACCAAAGTCGAGCTCTGACGGTCCTTCAATGTTAAGCCAAGTGTTTGTGTATAAGGGGATGGGGTATTCCCCTTTTCCAGCTGCAGCAACTCGTCCCACGTAGGAAGAGATGAGATGTGCCATAAAAGCCTCATCAGCTGTAGATCCAGGGCCGAAGACAGACTCCCATGAATGCGAACCAGATGAGGGGACACTGGAGATTCGCTTTCTGAGTCTGGAGTGGGTATGAGCGTGGCTGAGATGCCGAAGGAGGTCGCCAGGAATAGGCTCAGAAAAGGCCTTGTCTGCCCGTCGTGATCGATCTCTAGAATCCCCCAGAACTCCCGTCTCATTCTGAACCTGGACCATCAGTACCGTTTGATGCTGAGAGTCAACCTCAGCAAGATGCCGCATCAGTGCGGCAAATGCGCGCGAATCAGCGTCGCAAGCTGCGTCAGAAAGTGGAGTGACCATCTCAAGTGTCCTCTTGACACCACCAGGCTCGAGAACTTGAACACGAGGGAAGCGTTTAGGATTCTGCTTAACCCATGCTGGGACATATGTGGAAAGGCCATTTTTGTATGTGCCAAACCAAAGCAGAACTAGGTGCATATCATGCTCTCTGGCGCCTTCAAGAACATTGTCAAGTTCTTTGAAGTCGAAATGTCCCTCTTTAGGCTCGATCATTTCCCATGTTACTGAACCGAGTAACGTGTTGATGTGATCAGCTTTCATCTTTGGCCAGACCTGACTCATGAACTTGGCAGAGCTTAGAGATGAGTTATGAAGCTCGCCCGGGAGCATGAGGAAGGGCTTTCCTTTGACGAGGAGCTGGACAGAGCCTTTGTCAGACCGTTGAAGGTGAGGGTGTTCATGATAGGCTTGATTTTGTGTCGCAGGCATGTTGAGAGATAGTATGCCTTGAAATGGAAGTGGTGATAGTGACTGTAATTTTCCCAGTTTTGGGAAACTGAACTCGGTTCAAATAGCTCCTCTAGTTTCTAGCGGGAGTGTTGGATTTTGTTTGTGGATACGTTTAAGTGTGGAGAGACAATGGTGACGAGGATCCTCGGAGTTTCTTCGCATATACTTTGCGAAAGATGGTCTTTCCCATGTACTCTTTTTCAGAGGACTGATTGTTCCTTGTTCGTGGTAAGATTCTTACGAAAATTGGTCGGCAACTGTGGTCAGAACCCAATATGACCGAAGAAGGTATATCGGTTTTATGGAATTCCGATTCGCATTTCGGGTTAATGTACAATCATATCTCTACCCTCAAGAGCCGGACTCTCAAGCACGCCAATTCCCTGCCAGCAATCTAGATCGTCTAGCTTCCGAAGTAACCGCTCTAATTTGATCCTCGCATCCCCTATCTCCACTTTACCCATGCCATTCCCCAGCTGAGCCTGTTCAAGGTAGGCAGCCCCAATATCTCGAATCTTGGGGACGAGGCTGCTACCATTGGCATCAAAGACAGCTTGTGGGAGGTGGTACAGAATCTCCAGCAGATCATCTACAATATTTTGGTGCTCCTGTGCAGTTGAAATTGTCGGCCCGAATCTTTGCAGAATGTTCGACCGAATATTGAGACTTGTTATAAATAAATTTGCGATTTGAACGTCGTGTCCTTCTGTGACATTAGCTGGACGTGATAAACCGCCACGCCAACGCAGCTCCGGCTGAAGATTATTGAGAACATTTTGCACCTTTTGCAAGTATCTCGCAATGGTCGTTTGTGGATCAACATCTCTTGGTACTTGCTGAACCTCTTGCCAGATGAGAAACATGTCACTCAATGAGTTGAGCCCGGGGACGTATGTTGTGCTATCCCCATGCCAAGGGGCCTCGTGGCAACTCTTAGGAGATTGTGGCTCCATCTGATCATCTGACAAGGGAAGTGGCCTTGGAAAGTTCTCGATCCGGTCTGGACTTAGGAGACTAATGGGAAGTCTTCCAAAGATATCCGCGCTGCTGAAAGGCATGGGCGTGGTCAGCATGGAATAGTTGCTCACCTACAGAGCCCCGACGTACCATGCACTGGCAAAGAGTAACCAGACAAGTCTTCTTAGCAGCTGTTGTTCAGCCTCATCGTGCTCGTGTATCCGATAATATTCCAGGTACCGAGCCCCCGCAGCCGCTTCGCTCAAGGCGTGATAGGCGCGCATGCTGCTAAGCCCCGATTTTGTCGTAGCAGTCATGGCAGTGCCCACATTGTACAATGCGATGCATCTGGTAATGTTGAACGAATCTCGGGTAAACTGGCTCCTGAGCAGTCCGTGAGTATCTAGGAACTCGACGCAATAGTCCACCGTCACTGGGCCGTAGTCACGACGAGGTAGTGTTGCTTTGGTTGCTGCGCATACACTGATGACGAGTCCACAAAACTCGGCATCAACATCAGCTAGGCCTTGAGCAAGACGTCGGAGAAACTGGCGACGGAGTAATATCGGAGCTAGAGGATGGATCGTATCGAACCAGTCGCCGACTAAACGCATCATAATAGGCTCGGGGGCAAATGCTGAGAGCCAATGGCTTGTGGGTTCCGGGGTCAAAGGGGTCATGCAACCCGAAAACTGCGGACTCTGAAGGGATGCGGTAGAACGTTGTGTCTTGCTATTTCCGGCTGGTGATGCTGGATTATTGCCTGGAGACAGGAGCATTGGCGATCCTGCATCTGGTCTATTTGCCTTCTGTGCATGTCTTGAATTTGTCAGCACGCCATGTAATCACGCCGAAGAAAGGGACAATTAACTTGTTCGGGGGCCCCCGTTTTCTCCTCGGCCGTTCATGAGTGCAATCCACGTCAAGCAATTCGCAACCTCGACATTTTTGGTAGTTTGGTTCATATGAGCACTGTTCAGACGGTTAGTAGGTTGCAGGCATGGTTGCTGCAGCAGGATCCACAAACCCGAATCTTTCTTGCTCGGCAGACATCACAGGCCGTCTGATTGCGGGCCTTTTGTCCGGAATTGGCTGCTGATGAAACTGCGGAAACAGGAGCATCCAAGTTGCCACTTGCTTCAGCCATTGGATTGGCGGCTTTATTGCGGGAAAAGGATCTGTGACTTATCAAGGTGATGCGGGCGGAATGAGAGAAGCAGCAGGGAGATCATCCAAGGAAAATGTTCGGACCACCTCATCCTTTTAGAGCCTGCTGTGTGCACTGTGTGCAGAGGTTCGCTGAAATGTCGGATATACCTCATTCACCTTACCTGAACAAGCATGGCTGAATTGGAAAGAATGGTAACGTCCCCGCAAAGTGAGTCGCTTCTTGTCCAATTGATGATAACAATAAAGTGGACCATTCCCCGCTCAGCCTGTCGTATTGGTCTCCCAACAAACCTTGACATCTATGTTACCCCACGGGGAGACACGAAAAAGCCCAGGCATGAATGTACCATCCCTAGGACCATGATGTATAACAAGGGCCAGCCATCATGGACTTCATGACCCGGACCTTGGCTCTGTCCGTGGCTTCAAGGCAGTCACTGGCCTATTCAGTTCTTGCACTCATTGCAGAGCCACTCTTGCAAGCATATAAGACCTTCAAGGGAGCAAGCTCCATCTGCAGCAGCTTCCAGCTTGACTCCAACCATCAATCAGCATCTACGTTCAATTATGACTTCAAAGGAGACCAAAGCTGACATCTACCAGGGGGATCATGTCCCCCAGAGCTCACCATTGCCCGTCTGGAAGCAGACCAAGCTGCGGAAACTCTACCTCATGATGGTCTTCCTTTTCATGGGCTCAACCACGCTCGGCTACGATTCAAGTTTACTTAACGGCCTTCAAACAATGGTCTCATGGCAGACCTGTAAGCCAACCACTCAAACTGAATCTCATTTTCGCAGCTTACCTTGAGCCGATAGTCTTTGATCACCCCGAAGGAAGTCGTCTCGGTATATTTGGCGCAATGCCCGGCTTCGGCGGTCTCTTCGTTCTCCTCTTCGCTCCCTACGTGGCCGACGGACTCGGCCGAAAGAAGGGTACAGCTATTGGATGTGCTATCGTTATCGTCGGTGCCCTGATGCAATGTTTCCCGCCAAATGGTTCCGGGGCACGGCGTGATGCTTTGTACCTTATTGGACGATTCATCATGGGCTGCGGTTCCAATATCTCCAACGCCACTTGTCCGCTCCTCATCACCGAGATCGCTCATCCACAGCATCGAGGGAAGATCACGACGGTTTACAACACACTCTGGTATCTTGGAAGTATCATTGCGGCTTGGGTATGCTTTGGAACGTTGAGAAACCAGACGGGTACTCTCCAGTGGGTTCTTCCTACCGGTTTGCAGTGCCTCATGCCTGGTATCCAACTCCTAGCTATCTTCGTTGTCCCTGAGAGTCCCCGATGGCTGATTAGTAAGGGCCGTGAAGAGGAGGCTCGCAAGATTCTCGTCAAGTATCACGGCAACGGAGACGAGAATAACGAGTTTGTGAGGTGGGAACTTACAGAGATTGTCAACACCATCAGACTTGAGCGGGAGGCATCCGGCAATGGATGGGCTGAGCTTTGGCGAACTCCTGGTAACCGAAAGAGATGTGGCTTGATCATAGCTACGGCCATATTCTCGCAATGCAGTGGGAATGGTTTGGTGTCATACTATGTACGTTCTAGTACCAGATGTCGCGTATGGGAATATCAGAAACTAATCTTGTCAAAGCTTGCGGCCATTCTCCGGACGATTGGAATCACTGAGTAAGTTGGTCTCTTGTCGTCTCATTCCATATCTAGGATACTTACATGATAAAGTCCCGTCACTCAAGCATATATCAACGGAGGCCTCACAATCTGGTGCTGGCTTGTCTCCCTCTTGGCTGCCTTCCTCGTGGATCGCGTCGGACGACGAGTTCTGTTCCTTTTCGCCGGCGTTGGTATGCTCGTTTCATTCAGCACCTGGACTGCATGCAGCGCAGTATACGCAAAGACCGAGTCGTCTGCTGCCGGAATTGCAGTCGTGGCCATGATTTTCCTATTCTACGGTGTTGCAGGTGCTGCATGGCCCGGCCTGACTGTATCCTACACTGTGGAAATTCTGCCATACAACATCCGAGCCAAGGGTCTTACTCTTTGCTTCTGCTTCACTGCTCTCTCTGGAGTTTTCAACCAGTGGGTGAATCCACTTGGACTTCAACAACTCCAATGGAGGTTTTACTTTGTTTACATTGCCATGTAAGTCGTTGCCTATGATGAAGCTTGGATACCAGTTAACATAATCATAGCTTGATCATCGAATGTCTTATTATTTACTTCTTCTTTGTTGAGACAAGAGGTCCAACCTTAGAAGAAATTGCTGTTCTGTTTGATGGCGCAGACTCTGCTGCTGGTATTGCAAAGTGCCAAGCTCAGATGAAGAATGCAGTCATAGAAGTTAAACATGTATAGGGTATCTTGGAAGCTAAATTATGTAGTGTCAAGAAGTATCAAAGGTAGGTGCTATAGAAACTACATTTTGCAATAGCTGCTTGCTAGGTATTTATAGCTTTAGTAGCTATTTATTAAGGCACAGGATCACTAAAGACAAGACTTTATTGGAATCGATGTGTTTTATAGGAGAAGAAGAAGAAGCAGAAGATGAGTAACTGTAGGTCTTTATATAAAGTAACGGTCTGGCTGCGTGATATAGAATGCATTAACGTTTTTCCTTCATGCATTCTCAGAGGTTACCAATAGTTGGACACACTTGGATGGGACGCGTCGAGTTCAAACAGTGAAGTATCACGCAGCACGTCAGGATCAAGCAGGGGGTCTTATGGAGTATATGTGACTCTTGATACGGTCCAGGAAATAGGCACGTCGTAATACTTGAGTAGGGTTCATCAAAGAAGATGAGATTGCATTTATCCTTGAGCAGTCGACGAATGGCAAAATAGTACCGGTATGATACGTAAATCAATCAGTTCCATTGACACTACGAATGTAAGCTACAGCGTGGGAATGTGATTCCATAGGACAAGCTGGTCTTGGGCATCTGCCAGTAGTCGCTGGTTCCAAGCGACTTCCATGGTTGAGAACGCAGTCCTCACTGGTGCTATCAGTCCTTCGATCTAAAGATCATGATACATAATTGGACCTGCAGAAAGAGACAGGTGAACGGCAATACATTCATCTGAGTGTCGAACTGGGAGCCGATTCCGGCTAGGTCCATAGCTTGTACTCTGTACTCCTCCTTCTTCTTCTTGGAAGCCTTGGAGCGCGTATTACCGACCGTGTTGGAGGCGGCTTGGGTGTCTCTGGAGGAAAATCGACTGGGAGATCCCTTTCTCGCTACCACACTCCATTGGTCTGGACACTATCTAGCAGACGGAACCAGAATTGAAAGTTTGAGTAAAAGTGATCGTGAGAAGCAAAGTGCGGTTAACATGTGTGATAGAGTGTGCAGTATGGATACATTGAGTGCTAGAGCAAGGCTCGGTTCATTCTAAGGACATAGCATCCAGCGATAAGAGAGACCTCGATGTACTTGTCTGGCATGTTCGAATGGATGTCGTTGTATTTCAACAACTCATTCTCGGATATGGTAACGAGTTGAAACAAGCTCGAGCTAGGAATTGGGAGCGTTGAGTGATGCTTATTATTAAAGAAGAATGGGTTGGAATGTTGAAGGATCTGAGGGAGGCCCTCGACTGGGATCTTTTATCTAAACAATTATGGGGACATGGGGTGTGGAGAGAAGCAAGAGGCCACAGGGACAGACTCGAATAGCGGATGAGGTTTGGCACTTTGAAAGGACTGCCTGGAGAATATCATGGGGGCCTGTCGCTCAAGAAAAGTGAAAGACAGAGAGATGGCAGACTTCTGCAGAGTAAGCTGGCCTGACAAATGCCAGCAATCTGTCTAGCAGATCTATCACCTACAGGGATGTAAGGACTATCTGCCTTCTATGCTGATCTTGTGTCATCCAACAACTTTGGCTTGCCCGTCGATACGCAGCGTAGGCTGAAAAGCGAGAGCTCTTGCTCCTAGGTCTTTTGTCATCTGTCAAAATTTTGCTTCTCAAATCCGTGCCGCAAATGGGGCGACCGGGAAGACTAATGGTATTGGTTCATAGCGTTTTGTTTAGGAATGGCACCCGATTGCTCACTTGTCATTCTCAACCCGGAGTAATTCTCCATCAATAAAACACCTTTGATGAAAGCAACTCGAACTCAGACCTGCAGAACGCCTCGTTCTGAGCAAATACTCTACAGCCCGATTCGTACGTGTCGTTTTGTGGTCCCCACCCAGAACATCAGCGGGAAGCTCCAAAGCACAATGGCGTGGCAGACTGCATTGGGTGGTGGGTTGCTAACAGTTGCCATTAGAGAGTGTCGTTTCCTCTCCTAAATCCAACCGGTAAAGTGGACCTGTGATTGGGCGGTGTCGCTTTGTTCAAGATCTGCCATTAAACAAAACTCTCACCCCAAAAGCTCAAGAAATGTTACATTAGCAAAACATCCAGCAAAGATAAACTATAACACAAGAGCATTGACCAGCTCATTACGCTGTTTATTTTTAGGTATATCAACACGCTCCCTCTCGACAAGGCCACCATATGGGCACTCCATCCCTCAGTCACTTTGTCCTCTCCTTCTCGCGGTCTCCATTAGTACCCCAATGCAGGATGGGCCTGGAGGATTTTTGGCCGCGCTCGGCAGAGGACAGATTTTGTCACCTCAAGCATGCTAATCGGTGGGAGCCACTCCGACCTATCATCACCAGGTTGTACATGGGGAACTAGAGGCCCAACGGCAAGTCAGCAAAAATATCTGAAGTCTCTAAGTTCATGAAAGACAACTACGATTTCGATGCGGTGTAAGAACATAGGATCCCATCCAAATGGCCTCCGCACGTTCCTCGCATCTCTAACAGCCATTACAGTGAACATCAATACAGACACTGGTTCAAGAAGTGGGAAGTTTGCAAGCCCACCCTCACAGTTGAGAAGGAAGCAGTCGTCACAGCTCTAGGATAGTGGTCTCGACCTGAACCCGGCACCTCCCATGTTACTCTTCATTGCGGGAATGCGGATAAGCACATGGACAAGAAGAATATGACTAGGTACCTTCGTGAGTCGGCACGCCAGCAGCAGATCGAGACATTGTCCCCAGGAGTGTAATTTATACCCCAATGTACACTGTTCCTATGATCGGTGCCTGACAAAGTCATTTTGGGCCACAATTTATCGTCATGGAACCTTCCATATCGAGGGTACGCTAGGATTCTCCAAATGCAAGACAGCAAACATCCGTCCGCTGTGACTCCGATGCTGACTATCACCAGCCCTGAGGCACCCAGTCCCAGTCAGCAGTAGTCAGAGCCGACCCCTATGACACAACTGATCAACCAGAAGGTCGCACGAGATCGAGCAAATCTCTTATGGGAGGGCTTGCTGGGGATGTATTGGCGACATGTGGAGAAGAGAATCAAAGGTAAGTGAGGCAACACATCGGAATGCTGTCAATTCCAGATTGACAATATCATGGGCCACTCACGACCTATTTTCACGACTTTTACATACGTTCATATGTCACAGCCAAATACTGTGGCAAGGGCCCGCTGCAATGGACTCCTAGCATAGTATCAGCAATGACCCTTGGAGAGTCAATGCCCCGACCCCAGGGGGACTCATGCCTATGGAACCTCTTCCCGCCGTTGGCACATCGAATACGGCGAGGCTTTGTGATGAAATGCCAGTGGATATCTGCTTCTGGTCCATTCATATTGCACAGTTGAACTATATCCCAATTGACGAACCACGTATCAAACATGACGCCGACACTCAATTTGACATCGAGCGTCCCTATGCATGGGCACCTTGGACTGTGAAGCAAAGCTCTCAGATGTCGCTGTCCAGCTTGTTACAGACCGCTCTTAGCAACCAGGACTTCACCTCGATGGATCCACAGACGGTGCCAATGGCTACGACATCGTCGTGGAATCTATCAACAGCAACCCCATTGCACTGGTAATTGACGCTTTGAGATTTGCCATCATGTCATGCAATGTTGACGCCTTGCAATCTCTTGCTAGAAAATCTTGCAGAATGTGGCTTGGAGAGTTCGATTCGATCCATCCTTTCAACCTGGCCGCGACACTTCTTGACGGGGCTAAAAGTTGCTGCGGTGTAGTCTTGACATTATTACACCAGTCTAGCCTGATGTATCTGAGGAAACATAATTTGGATGAATTTGGACACACATTCATGGTCACTATCTTGCGATCTCACACAAGTGTCTCTCCTGTTACGGTCAGCTCGAGCTTCCGGCAACACCATCGCTCTCCGCGGTGAAGAGAAGGATATATGCGGCAGGTGGGACATCGACTCTCGCATTGTCCGTAAATACATCGAGTCTGGTCATGTTCGGGTCCTGTTACATGGAGCACCCCTTCTGTCACACATCTGCACAAGCCATCTGCCACAGTATCATCACCATCTTTGCTCATGACGCTGGGCCAAATCTAGACAAAAGCAGTTCCCTTTTCGTTCGTCGTTGTGGAGAGTGTCGCAACGAAGTAAAAGCTGCGCCTCTTCACATCCTCGTCATGAACCCAATGCTCGTGATGGAGATTCAAGACAAACAGTCGGTCCAACCGCTCTGTAACAACGTGCCTCCAGCGTCTGCCCCTCGATTTCGTTCATCGAGAAGGTCCAAGGGCTTCAGAACTGATGTACAATAGGTTCGAGAATGTAGTGGATATTAAGAAAGTTCGGCGGTCCCTGAATCATTGCAAACACTGTATTTCATCACCGAGCATCCGAAACCACTTGTGCCGCAAGGCAGCGTGGAATGCATTGAATCACCAACAGTGGTCGACACACATGACCCAGAACAAGAGGACACCAGTGCGTACACAACAAAGAATGTGAGAAGCACCATTCTTTCAAACATAGTGCTTCCAACTAATACGTGTTACAGCCGAGTCTAGAATATTATGGTGACGCAGAACCTTACAACACGACTCGATATGCGACTAATGATTAATAAGCCTCCCTTGTTTTTATCCTTTTGTTCTCAGCCCGGGATAGACTGGGCTGTCAGCCGAGTCGAGTCTTCTGGATTCAGAGAGACGGCTTTGAGGCGCGTATCAGCCGTGGCACGATCTCTCAAGACGAGCGGACCAATTCCAACGATTCAGCAGCAGATCCCTTGCCAGATAATGCATGGCAATATACCAAAGGTAGAATCATTATTCAAGCTAGTATGTCACAGACATATGCTGATCTGTCTCAATGCTATAGCTTTCTTCGATCACTCCCCCACCCAAGCCTTCGGAATTGTAGAAAGGCATTTTGAATCCAAGTTGCGCGCCCACTTTAGTGGTGCAAGTTCGGACAACAAACCATTCTACGCGTTACGAAATGCTGTCTGGGCTTATGGCTGTCGTATAGTGCTTTCAAAAACGAATAGCTTTCGTGACGCCTCTCGAATGGCCGGTGGTTTTTTTGAGAATGCACTCACCGTTCACACCCAGCTCATATTTAAATGTGCCTCTATGAGGGCCGTAAAGGTTCTTATTCTCATGGTTAGATGCAACTGCCCCCAATCACGGCATAGACAGTGCCTTAACAGCTATGCTAGACATATTTTAGCGAGGGAATAGGCAAGATGTCACTGCACTGCAGTACATGCTATGTTCGGAAGCAATGCGTCTTGCCTGCTCCAAAGGCTTACATAGACAACCGGCCCGCTCATGCAATTTATCACCGAGAGACGTAGCCTACAGAAACTGGATGTTCTGGTCGATATACTGCCTGCAGAAGCATATCTGCACTCGGTCTGGTCGGCCATCAGTACGTTTGGGCCGTGACTTCTCCTCGACTCTTGGCACTTCGTGAGGTTGACCATGCGCCAGGCTATGGATGAATGGATGACGAAGAGATCATTGCACAAATACCAGCGATGAGTCCAACGGGGAAGCCGCGAGACACCACCTGTTGCCAAGTACTCATCAATTTGATGCGTCTCTGCTCCAAAGCAAAGACCGGTCTAGCTAGTGCTACAGCCTTGCGACAGAGTCCTTCTCAGCTAATCGAAACAGTTTGTGGTGTCAATCATGAGCTCAATCAGCTGAAGCTTTCCACTCAACGTATCTTTGACCTTGAAGCGCCCCTCGACGCTGAATTCGTACCTTCGATCTTGACATTACCCCAACTCCAGTCCCTCCAGGCCCACTACTATGCGCTTGCGATTGATATCAACATGCCTCTAGTTCATCCATGGTCCTGCGTCCGTACACTTCTAAAAGATACAACGACCTGGGCCCAAAGTGAGGCATCGTGCGGCATAGTCGCTCAAGTCTCGCGAAACTCCCTTCTGGCAACGAGACAAGTTCACGTTAATGTGTCGACCCCAGCCCTGTAAGGGAATCTTAATCTCTGTTACTTCTGGCGTTGTTGCCACATTGCCCGCTATGGTCGTACTAATATCGATAAAGGATAGGATTATATACCCCCGCATACGGCTTCAATGACCTCTTATTGCATATTCTTCGGGATCCCGGCCCGTCGCAGTCCGACCTTGTTCTTTTAGGTTCGTCCCTCGCACCCGAGTATCTTCTTCCTTCATTATTCTACTCAGAGACGCTCATTATCCATCAGATATTGCTCTAGGATACTTATCCAACCTCGAATTCATTACAGATTACGAGCTCCCCTACTCCTCTATCAGAGAGATGTTCGACTTCGCAAGGTGTGCAACAGGCAGCGGCGAGCAGAGCAAGTCCGCCGAAGAATTGCATCTATCAAAAAGTCAGATCAACCACCCCGTCTTTCTCAGGATATGAGAACTTCATCGCTAACGTAAGTGCTCTGTTAACATGATCGTCTGCGGCATCTTGATTCCCGTGGGGTACGCCATGGCATGTGTTCGTTCCAGCCATTCCAGCCTAGACTCGAGTGTTACCTTTTTGCTCTGTTGCTATCGCTGCATCTGTGACTTAGACTGACCAGGTCTTTTCACATAAGAAGGCCTCGGATTAGATCCTGACGAGGATTTAGAAGCCTGGAACACATTATTCTCTTTTATGGACTCCGGTGATCTGGCACTTTAATTTGAGGCAAGCTACCGGACATGCCCGGGCCGGGATTTCTCGTTCCAAAAGTTGTCCTGGATCAAGCCGTGAACCAAAGTTTTCAGTGATTTTCAATTCAGAGAGTCTCAACTACTTTATCGAAGTTCCAACAATTCCTTCGAGCCTTTGATGCCTTTTGATTATTGATAACTCTGGCCTGTACTAATTGCCCTGGCAAGACGGTGTCCTTTCATACTCAACACTACCGCTATGCATTTTACTAGTAATCATACCATGCAGTGGCTTCGCTGGCATGGAGACAGCGACGGTAATTCCAGAGGGACCATAGGGGGTCCAGTTTAGGATAGCCTCTACTCTTTGTAGACTCGGACTTTGTAGTCGTCAAGCCACTTGTCCTCGATGATGATAAGCTGAGATGCCTGGACCTTCTTCAGGTATTCATCCTCCTTTACATCTTTGTAATCCTCCCTATCAATGTCCATGAACCCTTCTCTCGCCACGGATCTCGGCGTGATCATCAGAGATCGTCCTGTGATACTTAGCTTCTGCATAACTCTTAATTTCTAACACGGGCCTTACCATTGATAGACCTGTCGCAACTAATCTTCATCATGCAAGCCGCTACATCGACCTGCTCGCCAAACTCGATGCCCCTATCAAGAAGCCATTTCTCATACTCGGCGGTACGAATGGCACTCTTGATCCAGCATGGCGCCACATAGTTGATGCGGACGCCTTGCTCATGGCTCGAGCGGCGAACAGTTCTCATGAAACCGCGGAGGCCGTACTTGGTGGCAGTATACTCCCAATTCCCCTACACGTGACCTATCAGAATTGTGAAGATGTCAACTGCAGGACTGAACTACTTACTGGAGAGTCAATCCAAGCTACCATTGACCCTGTGATGATGAAGCATCGGTCTCGGTCCTGTGTGTCAGGCTGCTTTCTAAAGTAGTGCACAGCGAGCTTCCACGTGTAGAGCGTTCCATCCAAGTTGACTCGAACAATGTTGAGATCCGGCTTTGTAGGCTCTCCATTGGGGTCTGGTTGTTGGGTTAGTAGCAGACTTGGCTGGTATTCATCGGGAGCAAGAACTGGACCACATCATACCATCAAGATTCCACAAGCTGTCTCCCGAGCTCCGGCTGATGCCAGCGTTGGCGATGACAATGTCGACGCTATTATGCGGGCTTCTTGCCTTAGCAGTCTCGAACATTGCACGCTGCTCGTCCCAGTCTCGGATGTCACACTTGACGAAGACACAATTGTTGCCAGTCTCGCCGTTCAGCTCCCTCTCGACGGTCCTGCCCCGCTCCACGTTGACATCGGCAAACGTGACAAATGCTCCAGCGGCAACAAAGTCCCGGACACAAGCCTCACCCATTCCGTTGGCCCCGCCCGTGATGATGACGGATTTCCCACGAACATTCTCCCTTTGTGGCGGAATGGTGTGGTCAATGGGACCGTTGTAACAGTATCGAGGGAGAGACATTGTGTTTCGGCCGTGTCACAGCAAGCTGACTGGATATCTGTCTACGTCAAATTTGGCGCCGGCGACAAAAAGATTATGGAGGAGAGTATGAAATAGACTTGTTGCTGGAAAATCAACTGTATACTACGGGAACATTCATGAATGAATCCTTCTGCAGCTGGCCGGTATCACCCACGATTCGGCAATGGTTCTCCAGTGCAGTGGTCTCCCCGCACAGTAATCGCGGGGTGATGACCTCCGCAAATCTCCACGTCCGCGGTCCCACATGCCGGATCCGCACCAAGCTTCGGCAACCTTGCGGCGAACCCAAAGCGGATAGCCGAGATTGGTAACCGGGCAGCTTTCTTAGCAACAACGCAACAGTCATGTGGCATCAGGCAAACAGCACTCGAGAGAACAAAGCTTACCGAAGTTCGGCATGGCATCTCCTGACGTGCCTCCTAGTCTGGTCCAATCGGGATTTATGTGGCTCTGTATGGACCTGCCGTGAATTCGTCACGTTATAGTATCACGGTCTTCGCCCAGACCATCGACACTATTGTCTCAGCGATCTAGACGACTGTGCGGATTGATAAATTTCAAGGCATCCGGTTCATCATTGGCAAGCGCATCACTGCAGCCAAAGAAAAACCCAATCAGACTCAAGTCTCTTACCTGACGCCGGCAAACATGACGGTATTCGTTGAAGAACCTGTCACCAGGGTCAGCAAGTGTGATGCTGTCGACCTGACCCGAGTGCCCGCACCCGAGTTACCAGAGGTTCCTCACGCCCACAATGCGCTGAGAGAGGCCGCCATGAGCGTCGACAATACGAATGGCGTTGTCACGGATCCCTTCAAACTGAGCAGCCAATTTGCGTACACGCCTCGCAAGGTCAAGGTGTTCACCATCGGCGCGGGCTTTTCAGGCCTCCTCATGGCCCACAAGTTTCAGCATCGGTTCCCTGAAATGCGGGAGATTGTCGAGCACACTATCTTTGAGGCCAGGGCTGATGTCGGCGGGACATGGCTTGCCAACCACTACCCGGGCGTGCAATGCGACGTCCCCGCGCACATCTATGTCAGTACCAGGTTCCTCGCGGCCCACCTTTCTGCATGGTGACTGACATATGGCATGTAGGCTTTTCCATTTGACCCCAATCCCGACTGGGAGAGATTCTATGCCAGCGGGCCTGATATTCTCGCATACATGAAGCACACCGTCAAAAAGTGGAGCTTGGACAGAGATCTTCAGCTCAATACCAAGGTCATCGGCGCTCATTGGCAAGAGGACCTCGGGCAATGGAAGGTAACAGTTGAGCACGAGGGGAAGCAGCGTGACGAGTTTTGTCACGTCCTAATTTCTGCACAAGGAGTTTTGGTGTAAGTATTCTACGCCATGCGCTATCCTTGCCTTGATAGCATTGCTAACCGGAATAGCCATGAGTCGTGGCCTAACATTCCGGGCCTTCGAGACTTCAAAGGCCACATCACGCACTCTGCGAGCTGGGATCACGATTACGACTATTCCCACAAGCGGATTGCGGTGATTGGCAATGGGTCGTCTGGAATCCAGATCGTCCCGCAGATGGCCAATCTACCCGGCACGGATGTGCAGAACTTCATACGTGGTCCTGCCTGGGTTTACTATAGGGCACCCCCAAGCAAACACCTTGGACGGGATGACCCAGATCCCAACCCAGCATATACAGAAGAGGAGAAGAAGCGTTTTCACGACCCGAAGTATCATCTTGAGCATCGCAAAGGCATCATTTCTCGGACCAACAAGTCGTTTTACATCTTCATGAAGGGCGAAAACAACAAGGAAGGGGTTAGGTTGGCGGCTGAGCAAATGGCGGAGAAGCTCAACCATGACCCCGAGCTCTGTGAAAAGCTCATCCCGAAATGGGAGCTTGGATGCCGTCGGATTACACCGGGCCCTGGCTACCTAGAATCCTTCTTGAAGCCGAACTGCCATCTCACCAATAGTCCCATCACAAAGGTGACGGCAAACGCTGTGCACACTGCAGATGGGAAGGCGTATGAATGTGACGTCAGTAAGTACACCCATGCCCTTATCTCAATGGAAGCGAATATGCTGGAGTCGAAAGTTAACCTAGGCTAGTTGTCTGTGCCACCGGATTTGACGTCTCTCACCGTCCGCGCTACCCAATTGTGGGACTGAATGGCGTAGACCTGTCTCAGAAATGGGCCGATGACCCCGAGTCCTACCTCTCAGTCGCGGTTCCAGATATCCCCAACTACTTCATGATGATGGGGCCCAACTGTCTTGGTGGCCACGGCTCCCTTGTGGAGTCCTTGAACTGGACAGGGGATTACTTTGTCAAATGGATCAAGAAACTGGCGACTGAGGACATCAAGCACGTCATACCTAAGGCCTCGGTAGTGGATGCTTTCATCAAGTACAGCGACCAGGTTCACAAGACACTCGTGTGGAGTGGAGGCTGCAAGAGCTGGTACAAGCGGAACCGGGTTGATGGACGGGTTACCGCTCTGTTTGGCGGGAGCGCGCACCTCTTTAACCGCATGCTCAGTGACATCCGTGGCGAAGACTTTGAGATCGTTTACAACACTGCGAATCCCTTCAGGTTCATGGGCAATGGTTTCACGGCATTCGAGATGGACGAGAAGAGTGATCTGTCCTGGTATGTCGAGATAGCTGAGACGCTCGACGACACGGCTCAGGCGTGATCATTGTCATTAGTTACAGCACTTTTGAGTTACTCGTTCGGACATAGATCTTTTTGAATAGAGATTTGGAATCACTTGGATCAATTTCAATTGCTGTAGGGCCTTTAAACTATAAACCGGCTTGAAATGCAAGCTCCGAAAAGTCAAGTGAGTAATCTGTGAATGGTTCCAGCAGGTCCTGATACTGGTTCAGGATATTATTGTGGAAGAACATGAAGTTTGGCGACGGGATTGTCCCTTGAGCGTAGTCGTTGAGCAGCGTCTCGGCCAAGCCATTAGTTGAAGGTGTTACAAACGGAAAGAGGCGTGTCCAATCAAAGTCGTCAACTATATGCGGCATTTGGTCGACTGTCTCACTCAGTGCAAGCCCGGCACCAACGGTGATTGAAGGGTTAGATGGCTTGGTTGTCTGTGCAGACGAAGAGATATCCCCCGCTCCAAAAGCGGCTACCGAGCTTGCTTGGGTTCTCCTCAGTCTCTGGAAGCCCCTTGCAATCACATCGGCGGAACCCCATTGTTTTTGTAACTGTTTCATTGTCTGCTCCAACACGTCCATGCCATCGTTGGCCTCCTTTGCCAATCGGCTTATTCGGCATGCCTGGAGCAAGGCAATGAATGCAGTTCCCGAATACCAACAGGTAATGGCCATGAGGTACCTCGCATTGCCACGTGATAGTATGTCGCGCAGAATTCTTGCGATGCAAGAAGCTGCTAGAATGGCAGGTGGAAGCACCTGTGGTAGATCGTAGGCTGATCTCTCTAAATGTAGGATGATGACCGTGGTGAGGTACGGGAGGTACAGTTGATGGACATCTCGGTCAAAAGCTTCTGTTCGTGAAGAGCCGATGGGCAACTGTAGATGAGCGGGTAGGGAATGGACCCAGTCGGCGAGTTCCTGCCGAAGATGCGACGGGAAGGCAGCCCCTGATCCGGCTGCTGCGCGAGAGAGGTGCTTCGCGATGCGACCAATTATGGCACATAATCGGGTCCAGTATATGAAGATCTGACCTTTCTTTTGGAATACAGGGTCGGGAGGAAAGTCAGATAGCTGGGCCTCCTGGATGCTACAGTCGTCGGGGTCGATGATACAAGGTTTGCTTTGGCACAAGGCCGTCAACCTCTCGCGGGCCTGTCTCAAAAGCACTACAGTCAGCGGTCGTATTCCTCTATGCACACAGCGAGGCAGTCTTACAAAGACCGTCCACCATATTCTTCGGCGCAAACTCAGATCCAGTCGCTCTCTGGAAGGGTGACCTTGTGGGGGTTCGCGATGGATGTTCATCTGCTGTGCTGTCCTGATGATTGTCGACGTCCACCACCAGGACGAGTTGCGATGAGCCGTCGTCGGAGGCTGTGGGGCCCACCAGTAAAACAGACTCAACGCCTTGAGAGCAGTGAGGTTGTCTGGCTCCTGATCATTGTAGAATATAGCCTTGGCCTTACGGTAATAGTTTGGTGAGCCCTCGTGCGGCACTAGCGGAGGCTGAATATGACTGGCAGCAAGGGCCACAGCGTTGGCAAGAAGCGGAGAGGTCGACATCTCTTCATCGAGTGTGCGTCGGTCGAGCACTGGGCACCAGGCGTAGCAGTATTCCCAATACGTCTCTGCAAAACTCTGCTGCAATTCTTGTTGGATCGGGTCGAGAATGCTACCCTTAGGCTCCAGATTGGCCTCGAGTTCCTGCTGCTCCGCAAAAAATTGATTTTCAGGTCCGTAAACCTGAAGAAAGCCCGTGTCAAGATCGCCAGAGTGGCTACGGCCTGCACCCTTCCCAGGGGAAGTGCTAGCTTGGGGCCTCCGAGAGGTACGGGAATCCGCCGGACTGTCCTGCGCGGGGCCAAAGTGAATCACGTCAATCCCCTGCGAGGCATCGCCCTCGACTGCGTGCGCTACGACGGCTGTGGACAAAGTCGTGTCGTCGCTGATGGAGAAGTCTGGGATGTCGTTTGGCAACAGGGCGTCGGGGTCTAGGTGATCTGTCAGCACCCAGGACTGACAATGCAAAAGCTCATCGGTTTTGACGAACCTGGAGCCGATGAAGGCGACTGTGCGGATGTCCCCGCAGCGCCATCACGACGCTGCGCTGCCTGGCGTCTCACGCCTCTTCTGGACGGACGGAGGCGGCACTCCCGGCCGGGCTCTTCGCAATTGGAACATTTTGCATGTCCTTCGTTCCTCCGGATCTACGAGACACGGTTGAGTCGCGAGAACGGCACGCATCAGGCCGATCGGAAGGGCGTCACTTACATCCAGATCGCACTTGATCTTCTTGGAGTGGCAGTAGAAGCAGACCACGTCAGCCCGCTTCCGCTTTGGCTGCCGGGGAGTAAAGTGGAGCCAACTGCCGACCATCTCCGTCATCCTTGCGGCCAGCAACTGAGCTGAGTCTGTGATGCTGGGCCCCTTGTGTCGAAATGTGAGTTCGGTAACTGACCATGTGTCGGCAGTGCATCCAGAGTGGGGGCCTGTTCTCTGCCATGAATGCTTGCCGGAAGAGAAGGGTAAACCGAGTTCATATTATTTCACACAAACCTGACCAAGAAAAGGCGGAGAAGATGCAGTGGGGAAAGGTGGGCGTGTGAGGAGAGGGAGGTGGGGACCTCGGAGATGATGCGTCGGTAGTGTACAGTACTCCGGCTACCCTGCGAGAGAGAGAGAGGGCCTTTGGCTGTCCAGAGGAATGAGGGGGAGTTCTAGGCCCTTGGCTAGCGTAACTAGAAGACACAATGAAAGGACCCATCGGCATTGCTTCTGCTTGCTTCTAGCGCGCATGGCAGATGCGATCAGTGGAGATGACAGTGTATGATTCTTACATGAAATTGAAACAGTCTACGCTGTCTATGTCAACTATGAGCTTGAGGGTCAATCTAACGCGGCTTTATACAAACACCTCTCACAAGCGCACCGACTGCCGTCTTCGCGTCTCTCGCTCTTGGTCCCGCAGAAGTCTTCGTAGGATCTTGCCGCTAGGGCTCTTGGGGATGGTGTCCATGAATTCAACACCGCCCTTGAGCCACTTGTAATGCGCTTTGTGGTCAGCAACATGTTTCATGATGATCTGGGTGACTTCCTCGTCCGCCTTGCTCAAAAAGCCGGGTCCCTTGACAACGAAGGCTTTTGGCACCTCGCCTGCGCTCTCGTCTGGAACTTGGATGACTGCACAGTCTGCCACGGCAGCATGAGTCAGGAGGTGGGCTTCAAGCTCGGCAGGAGCTACTTGATGGCCCTGAGGATTCGGTAGGTCAGCATGAGCGTCGCAAGTTGATTATCGCTAAACCCACCTTGACTTTGATCAGTTCTTTGATCCTGTCGACGATAACCAGGTGGTCATTCCCAGAAGGGGCCACTGTCATCAACGCTTCGTCTCCAGTTCTGATCCAGCGGCCGTCATCGTGATGAACAAAAGTCTCACTGGTCGCCTTCTCGTTGTTCAGATAGCCCAATACCACCGAGGGTGCCTGCACAAATAGCTCTCCAGGTTTGTCGTATTCTTTGATTTCAGTCCCATCAAAGCCCATGATTTTGGCACGGCATCCGGGGAGCAGAGATCCAACAGTTCGCTTCACAACCTCGTGCTCACTCGGGGCTGACACCACCACTGAAGTTTCCGTCATGCCTACTAGAGAATTAGCACTCACCCATAGGCGGCTGAGAAAGTATTCTGTTCTGAAGGGGATATACCATAAGCCTGGCCTACTGTGCACGTTGGAATAAGCTGCTCAAGCTTCTCCATCGTGTCTTCTCCAAGAGGTGCGGCCCCGCTAAACACGAATCGAACACTGCTTAGATCATACTTGTTACAAATATCACTCCCTCTGATCATTTGAATGATCATAGGGGGAACCTAACAGGATGGGCAATAAAATCAGCCGCATTCATATCTCCGCGGTTTTCCAAGATGGAAAGCGAAACGTACTACAATGAGCAATTGAATTTGAAATCGTTGGACCGCTGCGAGGAACGGTTCAAATTCGTACTTTGGGAGGACGATCACCTCATCACCGCGCCACGTTGCTGTGTGCGCTGCCACTATCAGGGCGTAGATGTGGCTGAAAGGAAGAACGCCAAGAACTGGCTGTGTTTTGACACCCTTCTTGGCCCGGCCGACCGATTCGTAAGTGGATTGTTGGATGATGTTGGCAATGATGTTCTGATGCGATATCATGACGGCTTTCTATGATTTCGAAAGGAATGGTTAGTCTTAGAGACATTGGTGATGGTACTCGACTTCATACCGGGAGGCCGGATGTACCGCTCGAGTAGCATAGAAAGGCCGGTTGTCGTGCTCCTTGCCCCTTCGACCACCTCAGCGTTTCTAGGCTAGCCAGCACTGCCCCCTCCGCGATCAAGGAGTCGATAGTCAATAGCTCCGAATCACCGCATGCTCTTGCTCCGGGGATTTGAAATAGAAAAATCCGACTCTTGGGTATGCCTATCGCTCGAGCCGCTTGCAAAGCGGTTTCAAGTAGTGGCGTGCAAGTTATCAGAGAAGTCGCTCCAGAAGATCGAAGCTGGTGTTCCAACTCTGCCACCGAGGATACAGCATTCACGGTGGTGACTATTCCTGACAAGTGGTGGACTCCGTATGCAGCGGTGATGTAGTCAATCTGTCAAGCCCTGTTAGCGTGACATAGTGACCATTTCTACCCAGTGCAACAACTCACAGAGTTGAGTGAAAAGATAGCAAGGACCTTGTCCCAGGGAGTGCCCTCATTTGGTAGCCAGCCCAACCGTTTTGAAAATGACTTTGACAGATCTTCCGATCTCCTGAAGAACTCAGGGGCGCTGTATGACTTCCCTGTGAGGCCGCATGTAAATGGATTGCGGCTTTCTGTGACAGGGCATCGGCCATAAGACTCCTGTCGCATAAACGTAGAGACTGGAATCGAATCCGGCGGTTCTGTAATGCATGCACAATTTGGTCAGCCCGTAGTGATGGCATCCAATGAAGTGGTAGTGCGCACCAAGTGGAAGCTGCGGTACCCACGCAGGAGGACTGAAGACCATGCTGGGCTGATGACTGGTTGGCTCGAGGGCAACAAGAGTCTGGTATACAAGCGTTTCGATCACCTTAATTCATCGACTGAATATTTCGCAAGTTCAAGTTCATCCATCAACATCGAATTTACACAGTACTCGGGATGGATACGATGTCAATGGGGTGCGCTTCGCCAAGTTCGGAATACCGAAGGATTGCCGGCTTCCAACCAAGATCTTATTGGCTGGTATCGTCGCCCCATCACTTCTCCGCATTTTCACTCAGGATGCGGGGAAGAGCCGCAACCCGGTATTCCGCATAAGGTAGATTCTCGATTGGCTCAGACAACCTAGACCTCACCCTCATCCAAAGCGAGAACCAGGCTAGGACAGACTTTGTTAGAGGTGCTCACCATCTTCTTCGAGCCCCTTACCAGCCCTCGTTCCTGAAGTAATATCCAAACACGATACTCTCCCACGACCATGTCGGCGACACCACCTCGGACTATGTTTTGTTGGAGGAAGCACCGCGGGAACCCCAAGCCTGTAAGCATCACTGCAAGCTGTGCCTCCTGTCAATTGCTTGTGGAGGCTAACTTTGCTTCAGGTCTGGGAAGAGATTCCCGTTCCCGAGCCTGGGCCGACCGAGGTGCTCGTCAAAATGTTGGCTTCTGGAGGTGAGAGATCGAAAGCCCCCTTCTCGCTCCATGACCTCCATAGCTGACTGGATTTCAGTGTGTCGTAGCGATCATTCATTACTCACGATCGAACAACAGACGGGGTGGTTTCAAGAAAAGTTTACCCTAGTACGCGGGAAATCCTTGTCAGACATCTTCGCGAGCTAAGCAGGAATAGGGCCATGAAGGGTGTGGAAGAATCGTCAAATTCGGCCCCCAGATCACGAACTCGGTATTGAAAATCGTAAGTAGGAAAGAGACTACACCTTGATCCCAAGATTGAGCTTATGAATGCTACCTAGGGTGATGTCGTCGCACTGCATGCAGTGCCAGGCTGTGGGGAAAGTGCCTGCTCAGAATGCTCCCGGGATCTATCCCAGATCTGTGAGAAAGGCCACCACTCTGGCATCGGTCAAGACGGTTTCTACGCATCCTACGCCGTTGTAGATATCTGCGGCATTGTCCCCGTGCCTGAAGGTAGGTCATGGATGATCAACCTACGACTGATGCGGGCTGACCAAGGCTGTAGGTGTGACCCCCGCCGAGGCAGCCGTGGCAACAGACGCTGTCACGACTGCTTACCACGCTATACACAGAAGAGGGGAGGTAAAGAAGTCGGAGACGGTATTTCTTTTCGGTCTTGGAGGACTCGGGTTTAACGCACTTCAAATTGTTCATGCAATTGGTGCCAGGGTGATTATCTCCGACATTAAGGAGGAGAGCTTGAATCAAGCCAGGAAGCTTGGGATTCCTGACAAGGACATTGTCCCAATAGGGCATTCTCCGCAAGAGTTTGTCAAGGAGCGCCAGATTCTCATCGACACGGTTCTGGACTTTGTGGGAACTCATCAAACCTTTGAGGATGCGCAGCACATCGTCAGACGGGGTGGAAAGCTTCTTTGCATCGGGAGCTTGAATACAGAAAACACGATTCATATGAAGATAGGCACCCGAAAGAGGCTAAGCTACATATTTTCGTACGGAGGACAGGTACAGGACTTGAAGTTGGTCCTCGATCTGATTGCCAAAGGGGCGATCCGGCCTCAAGTCACTACTGGTAAGCTAGAGGATTTCCCCAAAGTTCTGCGAGGGCTTGAGGAGGGCACTGTAACTGGCCGTGTTGCGTTGCTTCACGACTGATAGATAGTGATTTCACACAAAATTGATGAATTGACTGGAATAGTGCTTGATTGACTTGCTTGGAGCTCCTAGAGGAGTGGGAAGGTGCTACATCTAAATACACACAGCGTCTGTTAGTGGTAATGGTCTCATGTATCCCTTCAGACGCCGCAGCAACACATCACATGCAGTTGTTGCCCTCTTGGGCAGGTATTCCCTGTAATAAATCCCTGTATCTACAACATCAGTGGATGAAAAACATCGGAGCGTTGCTGCGGCGTCTAAGGGGATAGGTACTTGAAATACACAGCGATTTCGGCGTAAATTATCTTGTCGCCGTCTGAACAACTACAGAGACACGTTCAATAATTTCTCTTCCCTACCAGACCGGTATCTATCCGTTGACACTTGCACTTGTCGGCATTCCGATGCCAACAGCGGCTGTTGTGCCAGCGTCTACAGGCAATATGACTCCCGTAATCCACCTGGCATGGTCACTCGCAAGAAAAGTAACAGCGCACGCACAGTCCCATCCGGTACCTTCTGTCCCCAGTAGACTCCTTGCCTTCCTTGCCGCTCGCGCCTCTTCGCTCATCCCCTTCGCATACATCATGGGTGTATATAGCATCTGCTCGCGGTCAGAGATCAGGACATGGCGCAGACGAAGAGATACAGTCCAAACTCACCCCAGGGCAGACACAGTTGACGCGGATCCCATCTTTGGCGTGGTGAGCTGCCATAGCTCGGGTCATATTCACCACAGCACCCTTGCTAGTGGGGTACAGGAGATGAGGTGTTCCCCCCTTGAGACCGGCCACGCTGCCCATGTTGATTATGGAGCCTTTGAGCTCGCCATGATTTTGACGCATGGCAGGTATCGCGTATTTGGCCATGAGCACCATACTCGAGACATTGATCTCCAGACCCTTTGCCCAGCTTTCCATGTCAACCTCAGCGGCAGACCCTGGCGCGCCAGCTACCCCAACATTGTTGACGAGAATGTCGAGCCGGCCGAATTGTGCGAGGGCTAACTGGACGGTCTTCTCACAATCCACGGCCGACGTCACGTCGCCCTGCATGGCGATGGCCTTTCCTTGTCCGGGTCTGCTATTGGCAAGCTCGGCCGTCTTTTCAGCCCATGCCAGGTCACGATCGAGACATATCACACTGCAGCCTTCGTCGGCGAGCAGGATTGCGCAGGCTCGACCATTGCCGATTCCCTCGCCTGCACATCCAGCCCCCGTGATGATGGCCACTTTGCCCTGGAGGGACCGAGATGGTGGCTCACAAGATGCTTCAGGAGACATGTTAAACGTTTGAAAAGACACAGAACGTACGGAAAGTGTAGTTGCATTACCTTCGCTTTCAACCAATTCATTTTTGACTTCTTCTGAGAGAGGCCGAGGCCCCGGTTGGAGGGTGCCCCACACGAGGGAGCCGGTAATTCTCCTTTGAGTATCGCGGTGCCTTTGCCGATAAGCCTGCAAGTCGAGGATGGTGGGGTTGGTCTAGCGGACCTGAGCGAAGTGCGAAGTCATCTCGATGAATATTGTCATTCAGCCTGTCACTCAATCTTGTGAACAATCTGGATACCTTCATCTAAAGTTGGCAGAAGATACACCTCAGTTGCATTCTCATCCACCTTCCTCACGTGAATATGTGCGACTTCTCGTGCTACGGCGGTCCAAGTGAGGAGTGGCTAGCGGTGCAAGCAGAGTTGCCGCGGCCGGCTGATCTCGAGCTGTTGGAGAAGAAGACAATCACAAATCAAGGTCGTGAAGCAATAGCAGCAGAGGGAATGAAGGAATTTGCAGCCCTAGTGTCCATACGAGACTTCTTCATCCCGACTCGCGACGGCAGCACGATCGAGGCAAGGACCTACCGACCAGCGGACCTGCCCAACACGAGACAACTGCCTGTTTACATCCATCTACACGGCGGGGGTTTCTTGTTTGGCACACTAGCCTCAGAGGATGCGATATGTTCGCGCATTGCTGTGAACACGCACGTCGTGGTCCTCAATGTGAACTATCGCCACACTCCAGAGTTCACATATCCTACAGCATGGCACGATGTGCAGGATAGTTTTATGTGGGCTCATGCACACATGCACAACCTGGGTGGAGATGGAACAAAGGTCGTCGTAGGTGGGATCTCTGCAGGCGCACAAATGACCGCGTCACTGGTGCTCGAAAAGCACCTTGGCAACATAGCGCAGGATTGTCCACCTATCGCGGGTCAGATTCTGATGATACCCTGCCTGGTAAACATGGACTGCTACGAGCCACAGTTGGCAAAGATGAAGGACCCGTCAATTTCCTCGGTTGTCGAAAATGAATTTGCACCAATTCTTCCCATGAAGACAGCGAGATTCTTTACGGATCTTCTCCAAATACAGGATCCTCGCCCTTCAGATACCAAGCTTAACCCTGGGAATGCTTCCCCTGGACAAGTCCGCGGTCTCCCCCCAACGGTCTTTGGCATCGCTGGCCTCGATCCTCTCCGTGATGAAGGACTTTTGTATGCGAAAATGCTCACTGAGAACAAGTATTTATCAGCCATTCTCGAAACGTCTACCAGGGCTTGGCATGGCTGACGTGATCACAGTGTACCAACCAATATTAGTCTCTTCAAAGGCGTACCTCATGGATTCCGGAGGTTTGGAGAACGGCTCTCTGAGGCAAGGAGGTGGGACAAGGTTATGGAAGATGGTATTTGCTGGGTTATCACAAACCCTTCTCCGTGCAGATTCGAGATCAAGTCTTAGGTGCGATCATAGCTGAGTAGTGAAGGTTTGTTCCTGTCAATGGCCTCTCAGTGGCTTGAAAGACCTAGATACCAAATGTGACATCATGCGATGTACTTCATCTTGCTCAAATCAATCATGGTTTGATTGGAAACCTTTGAATATTTACCAGAACCCTACATGTGCTATTCAAATATTGGTGGCCCCTTTTCTAATTATAAAATCCTGATACTCCCTCTCCTTCACTGCGTCACAGCGTTTCCTATACCCCGGGGCAGGGCCGTTATAACGCGTCATTGAACGCTTTTGCTTTGTAGCAACATTCTTGTTGACTCCCGTCATCCACGAGTCAACTTCATTGGCCAGGAGGCCCTTGCCACACTCATGCACATGCTCTGTCCACAGCTCCATGCCTTGTTCCGTTGCTTCGACAAATTGGACATTGTTGTCTCGGGCATAATTCATGAATGCCGCTACCCAGTCGACAGCATACTCGATACTCCGCGGGATGTTGCCAAACATCTGATGCGGGCCCATAATCATGAACATGTTGGGAAAGTCTTTGACAGTGAGGCCGAGGAACGTGCGAATGCCGTCCTTCCACACATCGCGAAGCTTTGTCCCGTTGAGCCCTTGAAAATCAACAGCATCAAAAGATCCGGTCACGGCGTCGAACCCGGTCGCGTAGATCAGGACATCAAACTCGAACAGTTCGTCTCGCGTTTGGATACCGCTGTCGCACACTTTCTCGATCGGGTTTTCATTGATGTCGACAAGTTTGACATTCGGCTGATTGAAAACTTCGTAGTAGCCGCTCTCTAATGGCACTCGCCGGGTTCCAAACCCGTGATTCTTCGGAATCAGCTTCTCGGCCACGACGGGGTCCTTGACTCGGGCACGAATCTTCTTGGCATGAAACTCGCTGTACAGGGCATTTGCATCCTTGTCAGTGTAGATATCAGCCGAGATACCCAGAACTTTGGCGAAGCCAGGTAGAGCATAGAGGGCTTCCCAGTGGGCATTGCGCTCCTCTTCGGACATTGAGAATGTTGTCTTTGTGTCCCCAACATGGATGAAACACGAATAAGATTCGAGACACTGCCGGAATATTTCCGGATACCGACGCCGTATTTCTTTCATCTCCTCGGCATCAATCTTGGTGTTTCTCAATGGTGCGGTCCAGTTTGGCGTCCGCTGGAAGACCGTAAGCGACCCGAAGTCGTTTGCTATCGCCTGGATTGTCTGGATCGCGGTGGCTCCGGTTCCGATGATGCCGACGCGCTTGCCCTTGAGCTCAGACGCGTCGCTTGGCCAGCGAGCCGTATGCCACGACTGACCCTTGAAACTGTCAACGCCGGGAATGTTCGGCATAGTTGGCTGATTCAGAATACCCATTGCAGTTATGATGTACCGCGAAGTATATGTAGCGCCCGTATCGTCGGTCAACAACCAGGAGTTGCTGTCAGCCTGGAAGTGTGCGCTCTTGATCCTGGTATCGAATTGCATATCATTGTGCAAATCAAACTTTTTGGTGAGATATTGGATATACTTGAGAGTCTCGGGCTGGGGTGAAAAGTGCTCTGTCCAGTCCCATTCGTCCAGGACCTCCTGGGAGAAGGAGAAGATGTAGGAGTAGCTCTCTGAGTCGAAACGGGCGCCAGGATAGCGATTCCTTCCGGGTTATTAGCTGGGAATTGCCAAGAAGAATGACTGACCAAGCTCACCAGAACCAGGTTCCGCCTTCGGCTGACCCAGCTTCAAGCACCCGAGCCCGCAGGCCTAGTTCCCTCATGCGGTGCAGGGAGTAGATACCACTCAAGCCTGCGCCCACGATGAGCACATCATAGTCCAAAGCAGAGTTGGCAGCGGTAAAGGCACTGGACGCTGCACCACTTGCGCAGTTTTCACCAACCCGCGCCGGCATGTTAACGAAACTTTTGGTTGGTCAAAGTTTGAATGAGGATAAAATGGTGTAGTCAAAGTTTGCTTCGCTTCGGCTGTGTCGGAGTGCGAGAGTCAAGACAGCAACGACACTGGATCTTCGTGCTTCCGGGCTTGTAGACCGTTAAAATATGGGATATGACAGGGGCCCGGACCAGTTCATTCTTTCGCGATGAGGAGGCAAGTGATGTATGTCATTCGATCTGGGGTCTCTCGGCCTCGGCCTGTGGGGAGGCTGCGGGGGTGTTCCAGACCCGCTAACCTCCGGTATTTCGCTTACCCTAAATGGGGTAGCCGCTCGGGCGCCGAATGCCCAATCCCCTAGCAAAATTTTGCGTCTGGGATCGGGGTACAATGCCGTGAATATCAAGGGTGTTGGGATACGCGATTTTGACAATTTCGAAAGAGCAGTAAGCCGAAGGAGGTCACATGTACTTTTCAGGACAGAGAGCGATGCACACCGTCTCGCAGACTAGCTTCAAATCGTCCCCGCCCGTTGGTCCGGTCAAAGTGGTCGATTTGCATCGAGAAAAGCTACGATGTGGAAAATGTCATTGATGTAGAAGAAAACGATTACACAAGCAGATTGACTATCATGCGAGTCCCTTCGACTTCCAGTATGTCTCCAAATCTTGCAAGAACGCCCATTTTAAGCCACTACCCCAACCTTTCTCCTTCCATTTGTTGAGACTTGCTGGGAAATGTGGCACTCCATCGCGGACTGTCGAGTCGTGGGCTATGACTACGAAGATGTTCTCATCGCAGTCCAGCTCCTGTAGTTGTCCCACGGTCTGCGTTGCTAGTGGAATATCAAGGCCGAATGTTATATCGTAGAGCGTATCTGTGGGTTTACGCCCCCTTGAGCTCTGAAGCTGTTCAAAAGCATGCCCCGGGCAGAGAGCAACATCGCTGCTGGGATGGCATGGGTGCGGTGAGATCGATGCTGGCATTGGGAGATGGACTGAAGGTCTCATGATCCCTGCGTAATGGCAGACATCTCCGCCCATCAGCACGAACGTAGCCGGGGCTGATGTAGTACGAGCAAGGCCACAGAGGTGCCCGACCGCGTGTCCTGGGCTGTCCAGTAGGTAGAATGACCCGTCTCCAAAGTAATCGAATGCTGGGAATTTTCCTATCGTCAGAGAGTTTGGCCCCGAAAACTCAATTTCCCTAAGATTGCGCCCCCTTCACAGAGTTAGTTGAATATTCAACCTTGGAGAGGACGAGCGGACTTACGTGTAGTCGGCTTCCAATATTGGAGATTCCGGGTTAGTTGGAGCCCCAGGAAGCATTGCGGCTTTGAACCCAGGCCCCACCACCAGATCGGTAGAGCTGGGAAACGTGGAAGGGTCTCCGATGTGGTCCCAATGCCAGTGACTGAAGCCACCATGCCAAGTTAGAAGACTAGCCGCGTGCCGAGTTCTAGAGGGAAAACTGACCTCCAAACTACTGCCTCAACATCGTCCAAACACACCCCACCGTCCTCCAAGATCTCAGCAACGTTCTTCTCAACCTCTATGTTGTAGTTTGTGGTTGGCAGATAGCTGGTGATCTTGGCTGAATAGTTGCAATAGTCCTTTCGGATACCTAGGTCAAACACCACCTTTCGGCCCGAGGGGTGTTCCAAGAGAAAGGATAGTGATGGCGATGTCTTGAAGGTGTCAAGACCAGGCACAGGCGGTGCCATGAACCTGTTGATTATAGCTGGGCCAAAATTGACAGGGTTGATGAGCTTGACCTCAATCACAGCCTCCCCAGATGGAAGATTGACTCTTGGTCGCTGGGCCGGCGCATCCATGGCGTGATGTGCGCTTCGTATTCTGCGTTATTGACGAGCAAATATTGCTGAACTGCCTTTGAGCTGTTGAGTGGTGTGGGATTTGAGGAGCGCAACCAAGTTGGGCTGAGTCAAATTCTTGCAGGCCGTGATCGGTGTCGACCAGCCGCTCAGCTGTGGTTTTCATGTGTTCCCTCAGCCGAACCCCCTCACTGGCAACCAGCAGACTAGTGAGTTTGAAAAATGACTAGGAGTGGGGAAATTAACCCACGAGGTTTTGCGCAAGGGCTGTGTCGCTGATTAGTGTTTTGTTAAATCCTAACTACGCTACTTGGCGCCGGTCGGTTTTCCTCTTTCAGCCCCTTCGGCAACTTCTCGGCGTCCAGCATGTTCGCACGCGTCCGCGCACCCCAGAGTCCCATTCGACACCATCCCCACGGGGAAGGTTATGCCGCATGATGCAGCTGTTGTTATATCAGACTCTACGGACCCCGTGAAGATCTGGGGTTTCATCGACACTGCGCATGCATTGTGCATCTCTCCAAACCAATTCCCCCCTCACCCATTGTCTTTGACTCCAATCATGGTTGACTCCGAGAAGGCTAGTGCTGTCGATCAGCAGTCTGACGCCCCTGAAACTGTTGAACCGATCAAGCCGACACAGACAGTCGACACAGTCCACAAGGATGAAGCCATGAAGGTGCTGGCTGCCTATACTGGCAGCGAGGAGTGGACGGAGCAGGAGGAGAAGAAGCTTCGCCGGAAGCTTGACTGGAAGCTGCTCCCTGTGCTTTGCGTGACATACGGGTTGCAGTATTACGACAAGGCTATGCTTTCCCAGGCAGTATGTATTATCCTCCTCTGAGTGGCACCTGAACAGTAGTGCTTATGTCTTTCTCACCAAGGCTCTGTTTGGATTACGAACCGACCTTGGTCTTAACGTCGGTGAACGCTACTCCTTCTCTGCCTCCATTTTCTACATCGGCTTCATCATTGGTGCTTATCCAGCCATGGCCTTGGCGCAAAGGTTCCCAATTGAACGCGTTGCATCGATTATTGTGACTATCTGGGGCGTTTGTCTGCTCCTCACAACCGTCTGCAAGAATTACCAAGGCCTCTACGCTCAGAGATTCTTCCTAGGATTTCTCGAGAGTGGAATCAGCCCGATGTTTATGCTTATTGTGGTGAGTGCCGACCACCCTACGGGTCCCAAGACTTAATGTGCTAAGAACGGTTGTCACAGGGCTCTTTCTACAAAAAGAATGAACAGGCATTACGAATGGGGTAAGCTCATGAACGTTTGTCGGCTTGGACCGGTAACTGATCTTGGCATAGGGTGTGGTACGCCATGACTGGATACGCGAGTATTTTCAGCCCACTCATCAACTATGGTCTCGGTTTGATCAACGGCGGCGTGTCTTCTTGGAGATATATGTACTACTTTGCTGGCTCAGTCACCGTCGTTTGGGGTCTGGCTCTGTGGTTCGTCCTGCCACCGGATCCAGTCCGGAGTAAAGGATTCAACGAGAGGGAAAGATACATCCTGGTTGCTCGGTTGCGGTCAAACAACTCCGGAGTTCGCAACACGCACTTGAAGGTCGATCAGATCTTGGAGTTGTTGATCGATCCAAAGTTTTGGATCGTATTCTCGATTGCGTTCTTGTCCATGATTGCCAATGGTACGTCCAACTGACATCCTTATCTGGCAGTCTTCGCTCACCCCCTAGACAGGTCCTATCTCAACATTCATTCCTATTATCATCAACGGCTTTGGCTTCAGCACTCTCAACTCACTCCTACTCCTCATGCCCGTAGGAGCATACGCTGGAACGATGCAGTTGCTGATTCCGCTACTTGCATATAAGTACAAGAATATCCGATCCTATCTCGTGTTTGGTGCACAAGTCGGCACCACCCTCGCTGCTCTGCTGCTGTGGCTCTTGCCAATGTCGGCAACTGGAGCATTGCTGTTTGGTTGCATCATCCTGCCATCTGTCGGCTCTGGGTATGCTGTGCTTATGGGACTGCAAATCGCCAACATTGCGGGTTACACAAAACGATCCGTTGCCTCGTCAGGCCTCTACATTGGGTACTGCCTGGGTAAGTTGGTCACGTCGGGCGTGCCGAAATATGGAGCCACACACTAATATCATCACAGGTAACTTCGTCGGCCCGCTGGTCTTCAAGAAACAGGACGCACCCCGATACATTCCGGGTTTCATCGTCGTTGTTGTCACCTCTATTATCGCCGGTTTCCTTGCTCTATTATACCGGCTCATCTGTGTGTGGAACAACAACCAGCGTGATAAGGCAGGGATCATGGAAGGGTTCGACCACGCCTATGAAGATGACTTGACCGACAAAAAGGTAGCTCGCTCCCCAGTCTATGGCCTCATTTTGCTGGACAACTTTCGCTGACATCTGTGTAGAACCCACAATTCAGATACATTCTGTGATTATGAACAGACCTGTGTCTGTGTGTTAGCATGCCTCTGAGAGCAACCAGGAGAGCATGAATTAGATACTTTCATACGGTGGTCTGGCCTAAAGGTCCAATCTCCTTTCGCCCGCCGAGTCTATTGCTACTTCAGGACTTAGAATGAATTTGTAACAAAGCTTGTACCATGCAGTAGGAAGTCCCACTGTTCAACACTCAGCATATCTAATGGCACATCAAAATCGAATAAGCTGTCCAGCTCGCTATCTGTCGATGTTCCTGCGCCCAAAGTGCCTGCGCTAGAGAAGTCCTGGTTTAGCAAGTAATTGATATCACAGCGCCGTAAATACTTCCGGGCTGTGCTCTCTCCGCCGCCAAACACAGGGCCTATCTCCGTCGCGAGCTCTTCCTGGTGAGGGACAGGGCCGGCCTGCCCTTGAGCACCACCGAGATGCCTCATGTCGCAGATTTGGAGCATGATTTTCAAGACTCGCTGTCCGTCAGCTATCATGGGGCCACTGTCAACCCATGCATCCAGATCCTTAATGACCATTTCAATATCTTCCCGGATTGTTGGCTCCTCTGTTTCAAATGTCTGCTCGACCAGCAGAAACGCAGCTAACTGCACAGCTGCACTGTATGACTGATAAGATAGCACGTGAAATCGTGGACTCGAACGTCGACCCTCTCGTAGATGCTTGTAATCATCCAGGATCGAACGCGAGGCTTGTAGACAAATGCGCAGGGCCTCGTCTCGAATGTGAGACTCGTGTTGAAGGCCAAGAAACGGGCGGGCCATGCGGATCCTCTGTATGCAGACGCAGGAGTGAAGGACATAGTGAGACCACCGAATGTTGTTCGGCCTCGGCGTGGTGTTAAAATGCTGCTGAGTTGTTTCACTCTGCAACAACAAAGTATGCCCGTATCCAGTGTCCGTCTGCCACGCCGATGAACAGAAGAACCAAGGAAGCCTTCCCAGCCACGCTTGAACCTCAGCATCGATCCCGGAAACATAGCTCCAACTTGACATATGAGATCCGTCATCGGTATAGAGTTTGTGGAAGATCCGAAAGACCTCCGCGCGCGCGATCTTTGCGCTCATATCGGTGGGCTCGTTGTCCGGCCGCGGCGTGATGGTCATCTTGGTCTCATCAGGAAGGGCCGCGTCGTCGATGTTGGCTGGAAATGATACTCGCGACATAGCGCCGCCCGAGATAAGAGGCGTGCGGCCAAAGCATAAGGACTGGAATGTATCGCAGCAGCACAGCTCCCACCAAGCACGACGACGCAGCTCAGTCTCAAGGGGCGATGCGACTTTGTCGCGATCCAGCTGTAGGGCCTGTGCATTTCGCACTGCTTGGCCAAGGCACGAGTTCATCGCCTCGCCGTTCTTGGTAGAGAGCCAGTAGAGCTGGCTAACGAGAAAGGTCGCCAGCTGGAGCAGCCTTGGGCGTGACTCGAAGCCGCCACTGAACAAAGCTTGGCGGCTGGCACCATGCCACGTGTGAGCTAGGCGTCGAATTGCTTCTGGTTCGAGGCCGGCAGCTTCAGCCACTGTCGGGGGTACGTAAAGGGCCGAAAGAGAGAGCATTGCAAAGAGCAGCGAGAGCCAAATCAAGTCGACTTGTTCTACTGGTGCCGTCCATAAGCGATAATACTGGCGACGAAATAGAGGCACATGAACAGCATGATACAGCCAGTTGATGTTCTCCAGATAGAAAGCCACGAGCATATCGCACTGGTTCTGAGTGGGGAGGAGATTCGTCAATTGAGCTTTCCAAAAAGAATCGGAATTCTGTATCTCCAGTGCCGGCTGAGCAATGATCGACTTGAGAACCGATACTGTTGGATGCGATAGAAACAGGGGCAGGAGGGCCGTAGAAGCTCTGATCCCGTTATTTGGACGAGGGCTTGTGATATTTACGGCAGCAGGAAAGTCTTTCGAAGAGCTCGCAATGCTTTCATCTGGGTTTGAAAGGTCGCCACTCAGAGCCAAGGTAGTGATGGAGCTACGCTGGCCACCACCGCTGTTGGGCAACGCCTGCTCCGGTATGCAGGGCATCAAGTCGCCATCTTGCGGCACTTCCATGGTTGCTTGAGCTAGCCTTGTATATGTCCATCGCGTCCAGGTTCTTGTTTCTGGACTCGGATGTTGGCTGCACTCTCTGCTCCTCCGGTACCTCACACAACTCTCGCATGGGACCCTGCGATTGCATTTGAGTTTGTGTTGTCGACAGGGTAGACAGCTTAGCTGGCGTCGTGTGCGCGTACGCTTTGGCGGCGCGGAGCCGTTGGTGTCGTCAGCCTCCATCCCGTTGTGCGTTTGCGCTTTAGTCTCCTGGAGAAAGGGATGTATTTGGAGTGGTGTACTGAGCCGCACCGAGCCGCGAGGGCGTGAGCGGAATGCTCGGAATAACAGCACTTTGCGTTCAGCCGATCTGGACTCGGGTTCCAGAGATAAGCAGAGATCATGATTGGACTGGACATGAATGAGGGGTCAATCCGAGCTTTGTTTTATGGAGTAGGCTCCCCACAAAACCCCAGAGGCCGATTCTCAACCTCCGGCGTTTCTCTGCTGTGATTGGTGGGCTTAAGCGTCGAGGGCCTCGACCGGCGCCTCTCCCTCACACTAAGTCGGGCTCCTCAAGGACGGGGGAGTCAGGCGGCGGATATGAAGGAGTGCGCCATCCAGAGCCTGGGCCAAGTCAAAACGGGGTAGATCTGGCGCGATTGCACTTCGCAAAGAAGCAGATCACACCAAGTCTGTTTGGTCCACGAATTCCGTCCACCACCAGAGCCCTGCCCATGGAAGTTGTCGCTGTGAGCCGCTCTTGGCCGCGGCAGCTGGAGATCAATGGATCGAAAACATTCACGTCCATCTTTCACGAGCCTCTCACTCGTAAAGAAGATTATATCGAGCTTGACGACGAAGGCATCCTCGGCAATGCCACCGCGGCCCATGACGGTCCCGTGTACGCCTTCTTTGCTGAGCACTACGACTATTGGTGCGCCGAACTGAATGTCAACCGTGCTGAATGGAACTGGTGTCATTGGGGAGAGAACATCACCCTACGCAATGTTGAAAAGGACAACCAGATCACCGAACATGATCTGTTTCTGGGGGACGTCCTGTCTATCGGTAACGATGTGCGGTTGGAGGTATGTGGAGCTCGGATCCCATGCTTCAAACTGGCTTGGCGATGTGCCCAGAAGGATAAGTGGTTGAAGCCTTTGGCCGACAGTGGTTATGTTGGGGTCTACCTTCGCGTGGTTCGTGGAGGCCAGATTGCCCCTGGCGACAAAGCAAAGATATTGAGCCGCTCAGGTGATACCATGAGCGTCGCGGCAATCAGCCAGCTTGCTTTTGATTCATCGCTCAAATCAAGAGACACCCTAGATCTCCTTAGCAATCACCGGGTTCTTTTGAGACTCAACAAGTGGGTTATGGCTAGGAAGCTCGCTTCTCTTGATGACAAGCTCAACGTCGACAACAATGCTTGGAAAGGCTGGCGAACCTTTAGAGTCACAAAGAAAGTGGATGAGGGTGGCGACATCAAATCCTTCTACTTGACCCCGATCGACGGCAAAGCTCTTGCAAATTATTTACCAGGGCAGTTCCTCACTCTCAAACTTCCTGATGGCAAGGTACGGAGCTGGAGTATCTCAGACTGGCAAGGCTACAACATGAAACACTACCGATTAAGCATCAAAAGAGGAAAAGATGCTTCCCGTTGGATGTGGGACCATTGCAAAATAGGCACTGACCTCAAGGTTCGGTCGCCGGCTGGCCGTTTTGTCCTCGACTGGTCCCCGATGGTTCCTCCACGCCAGATTTATCTATCCGCAGGCATCGGGATCACTCCGATTCTGGCGATGATGAAAGCCCATGCTCAACATCCTAATATGAAGACAGTCCCAGCCCTTTGGATTCATGTTGCGAGAAACTCAAGTCATTTCCCATTCAGATCCGAATGGTCTAGTGCCTGTCACAACCACATACAGAAGATTGTCTTCTACACCCAGCCTGAGGCAACGGAGAGGTATCCCTACGATTACCGAGGATATCCCACCGAAGACATCCTTCGCACTCTAATCACAGAGTCTTACACGATGAATCCGCTCGAAATATCAGAAATTGAGATGGAGGGGAGGATATCTTCAGTATACATATGCGGCCCCGCCGCATTCGAGCAGAGTATTCAGGCGTTGCTCGCAGATTTCAAGGTTCCTGCGCCTTTCATCCATAGCGAGTCTTTCTCTGGTTCATTCAGCAGCACCAGTCTGGGTAACCTGGAACGAGCGACGGTATTATTCAACAAGTCGTCGAGGGTTGCTCAATGGAGCAAAGAAAATCCTATGTCTCTCTTGGAACTGGCAGAGTCCCTCGGGCTAACTCCAGATTATGGATGCAGAGTAGGATCTTGTGGAGGATGCGCTTCAAGACTAATATCAGGCTCGGTCGATGGTGGTATGCAGCTTGATGGAACAGTCTTAGCCTGCTCATCAAGGCCTGCATCTGAGACGATCGCCTTAGAAATGTGATGGACCCCATAAACCAGGCTATCCGTAGCAAGACACCAAGAGTCAATATGGAAATGCAAATAGTTGTATTGTCGCGATGTCAGGTCTAAAGTATGACCTAGCAACTGTGGTAAATGCCTGCCTGACTCCGACTGCACAAACTCTCCGATCAGATCAAAGCGAGGAGTATTTGGCTAGCATGGTTCTATTACTCTGAAGACTTTGCCATGTCCTATGGCAGACGTCCTTTGCATCGTGCAGAGTAAGTGGGACATGCATGAAATCAAGTTTCCCAATCTTTCAGATTTCAAGAATAAGTTAGGCATCTACTACGTTGATCTAATCGCAGATCCGAGTACCAATCCCACTAGAACTGATCTAGACGAGCTCTTTCGAGCAAGGTAGATTTGACTGCGGTTCGCACTCCTCACGCTTCATTACTGATGTCGCATTGATAACAAGCGGGTCGTGGTTTTCCTCGTATTCCTTCATCGCCTCGTTCCTCGTTACGGAGGAAATGAATTCTTTTTGCTGGGTAACTGGAGAGATGAAGTCCAACAGAATCGTGACGGCAAAGGCTAAGGAGGAGGTATTAGTAAAAGAGAATCGTTCTAGAGATGAAGGACCAACCAAAAACGAATCCGGTAAGCGAGTTCAAATAATACATGTACATAGCACCTTCTGAGACCTTGATATGCGGGTTAACTACGCTGAGGAATCCAGGCACATGAGGCGCCATCCCCGCAATCCACTGTAGTCATTAGCAAAGGAATGGATATCGGAACCGGATAACAGCTCTTACCGCGATTACAGCTCGGTAGTTGATTCCAAAGCTGTAGAAGTAGATTGAATCGGATCCTAGACGATACAGATCAATCACACGAAGCTTGCGCTTCTGTATGACGAGATAATGCCCGACGAGGATGCCAAGAAACGGCTGCAGAAACACGGTGTAAGATGACATGGTGCTCAGAAATACAGTAGCCCCGCTAAGGAGGTACCAAGGGTTAATGGCCAGTCCCAAGATAGCGGTGAGGATCTGGCCTCGGCGGATGTTGATAAAGCGTGGCAACAGAGCCGCCATGTCAGTACCACCAGAGAAAGAGTTTCCAATGATGTTAAGGGAAAGCTGTGAGATGCCCATTCCGAATGCCGCAAAGAAAACAGCTGCACGAGTGGCCGAGGTCGGATTGGCTTGCTGCATGGCCATCAACAGCCCCGCGGGGCTCCAAAGCTCTGCACCAAATCGGTTCTGGGTCGCAGCAACGGTCAAAACTCCAAAGAGGTTGGAGATCCACGCTGGAAAAAAACCGGCGAGCTGAGGCCACGTTCCTGATGAAGGCCGCTTGGCAAAGCGAGTGTAGTCACATACGCTCAGGGTACCGCTCGTGATACTCGACATTGTCAAGGACATGGCGTAGACAAAGAGCCAGCCGAGCTGCTTACTGGAAAGCGAGGAGGCGCGTGCCGACGAAAGAACCGAACCGAACCCACCAGAGCCCATTGTTGAGCATGCCCATGCCACAAGCACGAGCTGAACAACGAAGCCGGTCCAAGATCCAATCTGCAGGAGCCATCGGAGAGTCTTGGGTGTAAGGAAGAGGCACGGAAACTGAATGACGAAGAAGACTATAAAGCCGACAAATTGAGGCAAGTTCATCCCGGTACTTGCTGGGATCGTGTTGGGGATATTGTCAATACTGGGCCATATAGCCCTGAGGCAGACGTAAGTGACCAAGCCTCCCATCCATGATTGAACGCCGAACCAGATGACCGAAAGAACGATGCGGTTGAGCACGACAAAGACGGCTCCGAAAAAACCTATCAAGAGGAGGAGACCAGTCAGAGAAAGAGGCTCACGGAGCGATATGGAACTATTGACTCACCCCAGCCAATTCGAGAGGCTACAGGAAAGGAGATGTGGTATTCAAGACCAGGATAGCTGACGAGGACGACAAGCCCGGCGGCGACGATGTGACCTACCAAGGTAGCAAGTAGAGTATGCCACCAGTTTAGGCCCAAGGCAAGCATTCCAGCTCCCTGAGGTGCCATTAGCATGACTGTGTACGATGCCAAAAGAGAACACCAAGGTCTCTTACCAGTTGCCAATTAGCCATGTTAAAGGATACAGTCGTCCAAATGCCAAAGAATGCGGTCCACCCTGGCGTCACGGGATATATCAGCTGCAATCCAAATAAAAGTACGCTACCAGTGCAGTGGCACTGCGGAGAAGGCTCTTCGCTTTAACATACCCCAGATACGACGGGCTTTTTCGATGGGCTTGGTGTCATGATTGATGAGCCATGTTGGACGATGACCGTTCTCTGGATACGGAACCTCCAGACGTGCAGCCCACTTTGACAATGTCGAAGCCATTTTTCGAATATTAAGCTTGAGGTGCTGATGGGAGGAAAGGAGAAAGGAGGACGGAGACACAGGGATCGTGTTCCTTAATGCTGGCAACTTATACCTCTGACGGGTTCCGTTGTCTGCGGGGAAGCGGAGCTGGGCGGAGGAGCTGGTGCCAATTGTGTACCTGTTTGGTCGCGACGTGCTTATCTCTCGGGTCAGACGCAGTAGCGAGCTGGCTATGTTCTGAAAGATGTGCCGCACTGAGAGATTAAGGGTTCAAAAGGCAAAAGATGTGATCACGGTAAATATTTGCCGCGGGCTCAGGATGGGGGACGCATCTCTGTTAAAGCCACCAATCAGCGTTCAGACACTCCGAGTCATCTCCACCTACGTTATCTAACCCCGAAGGTTGCGAGTCGACAACTAGATCCGATCTACCATTATCTACAAGTACCATGTGTTTATCTAACTACAAAACAGCAAGGGTGAAGTAGCCAAGTGTGCATTTGGACTTGTCTAAGACGGCATCCAACTATCTCCCATCAAAGCTCTCACTAGGCTTGTTCTTCGCCTCCGCGCAGCTACCTCACTCTGATCAAGTCTTCCGCTTTCTAAACATGGGGTCATTAGGACAGCAAAGATTCCGAATTGGTGTCGACGTTGGTGAGTCTTCGCAGCTGTAGTGAATGTTCATGCTGGCGCTTGATTCTGATGTACGGACTTAGGCGGAACCAACACGGATGCAGCACTCGTGGGCTGCTTCGAAACCTCGTCAAACGACAAGCAAGAATTTACGGTTCTAGCAAGTAGCAAATCACCGACCACGGCGGATGTGACATCCGGTATCTGTGACGCGGTGAAGATGGTCCTTGAAGAAGCGGATGTACCTCGCGAGGACGTCTTGTCGATCAACATTGGCACCACTCATTTCATAAACGCCGTCACACAACGAGACGCGGCCAAGCTGGAGCGCGTTGCTGTCTTGCGGTTATGTGGACCTTTTGCAAGAGAGATTGCACCCTTCTCGGATTGGCCTCAAGCTCTGCGCGATGTTGTCGAGGGTCCAGTTGGGTACTTCTCTGGCGGTCTGGAAAGTACTTCATATCTATTCATTCCATAAGATTCTCGATTCGCCCTGACGAATGATTTTACGCAGTTGACGGACGAATCATCAGTGAGATCAAGGACTCAGAGATCCGAGACTTCTGCCACGAACTTAAAGCTGCTAAGATCAATGCCATCGTTGTCATAGGCGTCTTTTCGTCCTTGGACTCTGGCACACCCACCCAAGAGGAGTACGTCCGAAGCCTTCTACTCAGGGAGATGCCCAACGTGGATGTAGTTTGCTCTCGCGACATTGGCAATTCTGCGTTTATAGAGCGAGAAAACGCTGCCATTTTGAACGCCAGTATTCTAGACTTTGGCCGGCGAACCATTCGAGGGTTTGAACGTGCTTTTCGTTCCCTGCGTTTGGATTGCCCACTGTACCTCACTCAAAATGACGGTACTGTCATGGAGACAAAGACCGCCATGCGGCTTCCTATCAAGACCTTTTCATCCGGAGCAACTGTAAGTGACGCAGACAGGTATTATTTGCGCATATTCTGACAGACGTTTCCAGAATTCACTTACTGGAGCTCTCTTTCTTTCTGGGATACACAGCCGGACGACAGATCTCGATCCAAGCACATCCCAAATCATCATGGTAGATATTGGAGGCACTACATCCGACTTTGCTGCCCTCTCGTCGTCGGGGTTCCCGCGTCAGTCTCCCGCCACTGTCAAGCTCGGGGGTGTCCGCACTGCTTTCAGTATGCCCGAACTTGTCAGTATAGGGCTTGGCGGCGGTTCACATGTCTTGGAACAGGATGATGGTCGAGTGAGTGTGGGGCCTACATCGGTAGGCTACAGACTCGCGACCTCAAGTAAGTGCTTTGGAGGGGACACCCTCACTGCTAGTGACATTGTCGTTGCTAGTGGCCACGCCAGTAATATTACTGGAAGCGTCCCCATTCGTCTGGACGCAGGCTTGGTAGCCAGAGCCCGACATGATATCAAGAGACAGCTTGAACGGAGCATTGATAGCATGAAAGTCTCGGACCAGGAGGTGGTGCTCTTACTGGTTGGAGGTGGGTCTATCATCCAACTGGAAGGGCTCAACAATGTCAAAGCTTGCATCAGGCCCCCTTTCTACACGGTCGCAAATGCTGTCGGTGCAGCTATTGCCAAGGTGAGTGTCTCTGTCTTTCATCACGGAATCAAGCTGATGGGCATGTAGATATCTGGGGAAGTGGACAGGGTCATCATCCCTGGTGATCGAAAGCAGCAAGCCATTGTTGACGAGGTCAAAGTGGAGACCATTGGAAGGACTTGTTCCAATGGAGCAATCAAAAGCACAGTAAAGATTGTGGATGTTGACTGTATTCCTCTGCAATACATGACCAATGCAGCATTCCGGATTGTAGTTCGTGCGGTGCGTATTCAGTTTCATCTCCTTGTTTTAGTAATTACGGCTCACAAATTCAGTGCGGCGAGCTCGGGTGGGATAAATCCACCAGCGGAGGCCGGGCAGTTCTTGATATCGACGCTGTCGAGACCTATGACGAAGGAGAAATTCCGCGCGTGCTCCCATCCAAGCTTGATCTGGACAGTCAAGAGATGGATTATTCGACATACCAACCAGAGGTTTCTATGGCTGGAGAATGGTTCATCTCAGAGACTGATCTCGCCTTCATTGCTGAAGGATGCGGTGTTCTCGGAACGGGTGGCGGTGGGTCGGTGTACTCTGCCTATCTCCAGTCCGTACAGGCGCTCAGGAACATGCCCAATGGAAGAATGCGAGTTGTGGAAGCAAAAGCAGTCAACCATGGGGACCGGGTGGTGAGTAGCCAGCATGCCTTTTAATTAGTACGGTTGACTAACAGCTTGCCATAGGCTATTGTAGCATTTGTCGGGTTAGTCCTGCTAGTCATTGTCGTTTTAGACTCAGCTGACATTCATAGGGCGCCGACGGTATCAAACGAGCGCCTGGCCGGCGACGGCGAGCTTCGCGTCGCCTGCGATAAACTTGCTCAGTATTTGCAACTCGATGGTGGCTCATCAGCATTCGCCGGCCTTGTGGCAGGGGAGATCGGCGGATCCAACGGAATGCGTGCCTTCGCCACGGCGGCATCTATGAACCTGCCCGTAATCGACGCCGACATGATTGGCCGTGCGTTCCCCAAGGTAGACATGTGTCTGCCCTATGTTTATGGGGCAGAAAAGCCCTCGCCTGCTGCCGTTGCCGACGCTCGTGGCAATGCACAGATTGTGGCCGAGGTCGAGAGCCGCGACAGGCTGGAACGTCTCCTCCGATGCTTATGTATCGAGCTGGGGATGTTCACGGCTTCTGCTCTCAGCATATCTGGAACGAACCTCCATCAGTACACCTGCCACGATACGGTCTCGCAGGCGTGGTTCCTTGGACGGGCTATTTTATGTGCGAGACAAGACAAGAAAAATGTGGTTGATTCCCTGGTAATAGCGATCCCGCACGCCACAATTTTGAGATACTTGCTAATCCCCCACTTTGCTCCAGGTTGACTTGATCCCCGGTTGCCGTTTCCTATTTGTGGGACGGATTGTGGAAATATCGAGAGAGGTGAAAGGAGGCTGGACCATCGGGACAGCGACCATTGAGCGTGCAAGTGATGACGAGGAGTTCATCTCATGGGATTCCGAGTCCGACCAGCGTCCTATGGTGCTCCAATACCAGGTGAGCATTAACAAGCCCTGACTCTGACAGCAGCAGGCGCCCGCTCACAACTGTATAGAACGAGTTCCTCTATGCTGCGTTAAAAGGGCCGGACGGCTCGCAAGAGAGCATTTGCACCACGCCGGATCTCATTACCGTACTCGACATGTCTGGCAGCGCTTTATCAACCCACGAACTGCGGTATGGCCTGCTTGTGTCGGTCATTGCCATGCCAGCTCACCCGCTCTGGACAACACAGCAGGGCATGCAGGCAAGCGATCCAGCCTCGTTCGGGTCCGTGCAATAAATTGCTACCCTCACTGTTCACACACGAAAGCTAATGTGCTATCCTTATAGTTTACACATGCAATATCAGCCTTTCGGACAGTCGTGGCAAAAGACACCTTCTGTGATACAACAATACCGACCTTCATCAACACTTGAGAGGTAACCTCATAAAGGACATGTCGGCCGAGAGATACTTCAAGATTCGCATGTATACGCGTATAAGGGATCGTTCATAATGGTTTCCTTGGCATTTTTATTTCATTGAAGCGGATGATTAAGTTCACAAATGAAAGGCCTGCCACAGTGTGACGCTGAGTAATTCTCTATAGCTTGGTTCCGTGACTCCGTTCCGTGGCTCCGTTCCGTGGCTCCGCCCAACTTGTCCGGGAATTTCCCGACATCAATTCGTACGAAACAAGGCCTTCATCAAAATATTATATAAAGGATCAACCTTCCTACGGTCGAGAGGCATTGAATTGAATGAATAGCACCAACAAAAGACCGAGAAAACTGAAGAATCTTGCTCGCACTGCTACATCGATCACATTATTCTTTTCGGTGGATTTTCACCCAGACAACTGCTCTTGTTATTACTGCCATCAATCTGACACCTTACAAACAAATTTCACACAATGGATTCGTCAAGCGTTTCGCCCTCGCAATCTCGGCTCTTTAGACCACTCAAAGTTGGAACAATGAATCTTCAACATCGTATAGTGTTGCCGCCACTGACCCGATTCCGAAACGACGACGCCCACGTTCCGCTTGATTTCATGCAGAAGTACTATGCCGATCGCGCTTCTGCACCAGGAACACTGGTCATCTCCGAGGCTACGGCTGTGGCTCACAGCGAGGAGGGCCAGCGAAACCTTCCCGGTCTCGTCTCTGACGACCAGGTCGAGGGATGGCGCAAGATCATCGCCGGTGTTCACGCTCAGGGGTCGTACTACTTCCAGCAGATCTGGGCTATGGGCCGTGCATCCGATGCTGAATACATGGAAGAACGAGGCCTCCCCTACCGGTCAAGTAGCAACGTACCTCTTCCAAAGTCGAGGATGCAACCGCGAGAGATGACCGAGGCCGAGATTTTGGACACTATTCAAGCATTTGTTGATACCGCAAAACGCGCCGTCGCTGCAGGCGCCGATGGAATTGAGATACACTCTGCCCATGGGTATATGCTTGACCAGTTTTTATCCGACGGTATCAATAAACGGACTGATAGATGGGGCGGCTCGATCGAGGGCCGTTCACGTCTTACCATAGAGGTCGTCAAAGCAGTGGTCGCTGCGATTGGCGCGGATCGCGTGGGACTGCGTCTATCACCCTTCGCGGGTTTCCAAGGGTCGGAGAAGTCCGATTCCAGAGAGTTGTACACCTATCTTGTTGGGCAACTCAAGTCTTTGAACTACAAGCTTGCATACTTGTCGCTTGTGGAGGCAACAGGTGACCCAGGTGCTCTTATCTTCGATGACCAAGAGATCAATCTTGGGCAGACTTTGGACTTCATCCTGGAAATCTGGGACAACCTGTCCCCAGTCATCGTAGCTGGTGGCTACCGGCCGGATACCGCAGCCCGAGCGGTGGAGTATCATTACAAATGGTTTGATGTTCTCATTGGGTTCGGACGGCTCTTCCTTGCCAACCCAGACCTGGTATTCAAGATTCAGCATGGGCTAAAGCTCAACCGCTATGACCGCTCGACATTTTATTTGAACAAGTCCGAGGTGGGCTACAACGACTATGCCTTCAGCGAGGAGTTCCTGGGGATAGCCTCTCCACAGGAAGTATCTGCGATGAGTACTGAGGTTGTTGCGCAGGATCTTCGAATGACTGAATCTGGGCGGTCGCTAGTTCAAGCCGGTACAGCAGAGGCCTCTGAAGTTGAAGCATAAACACTCATTGAATCTGTGATTATTGGACAAGGCAGAATTGTCTAGCGGTTCGAATCAAGAGAGGTTGTAGCCTCTTAAGCAATAAGTTTCGTCTACTTGGGGTAGAGCTTCAATTTGGAAATATTCATTTTTAAAAGGTCTTTAGTCAGTTCTTCCATAGGATTCCCAGAATACCTGTTGGGACATCGTAATTAATGAACACGCCCATATCAATTTCTCAACATCCACTGCTCAGTCTTATCTCCGACATTGAAAAGATCATCATAACTATTATAGGAGTCCACTGACATCGCCCAATCCATGAATTGACTAAATTGGACATCGTCCGCTTGCTGACCTGGATCGTGCCGGACTAGATTGTTCTGATTGACACTGAGTTCAAGAGTGGCGGATTCCCCGTCGTCTGTTGGTCCACCAATCTCTATGCCACCCACCAGCTGGCTAGCTAAGAGGTCCGCCTTGCTTGTGAGGTCTCGCGTGATAGTTGCTGCGTCGGCACTGACATTGAAGTTCTGGCCAAATATATCGAACGTGGCTATCGCCTTTGGAACAGCCTGACGCACTCGAGGTGTGGCTTGGTGGAGTGGGTATGCCATTGCAAAGCCCACGAGTGTCACCGCCGCGTTCCACTGAAGACTGAAATATTCGGACCAGCCGCCCATGACATCAGTCTCAGTGAGGGCCTGATGCATAAGAAGCGTGAATGCGATAGCGTGGTCCACACAGGTTGCCGCGAGTCGCTCCGTCAACGGCGTATATGTGGACGGATGTTTGTAGAAGGTTATAAAAGTTCTAGTCAAGTTGATGACGACATTGTGGTACATAAGCTCGAGACATAAGCGCTGCCGTGAAAGCCAGGCCGGAACGAGTTCGTCAAGGTCGGCAGCCGAACGGTCCGTCGACATTGGCTCACCGCCGGCACGGCGAGGTGTCTTCAATGCTGCAGGGACATTCTCTTTCCACGACCTGGTCAAAGTCGGAATTCGAGTAGCGAAAATGACAGCACAAGATTCGAGTGCTTCTGGGTCATGGTACAAAGACTGGAGGCCCTTGCGCTGCATAGCCTCGCCAAGAGAGACAAAAAGGCAATCGTGGATGTCAACCATGGAGATGAAAAGCTTTTGGAGGTGCAAGGAGTAGCTGAGCCAGGTGAGGCTGCCGCCATAAGAGCCAAGACGGGCACCGTTGAAGGATGCTGTGGCAAGGTCATCCAATGGTTGCTTCACTGTGACCTGGGCCCAGTCGATCACAAAGGGACGACCAAGCTTCGCGGAAGTCTTTGCGTCCATTGTCCAAAGCATCCACCAGATTCGTTTACGCAGTTCCCTCTCACCGGAAGGCAGACTGGACGGTGGCTCCAGGTGGAGGCCGACAATCTGTGCGGTGCGGACTGCTTGGCCAATGATGATATGGCATGAGTTGTGGAAGGTCGCACAGCAGAGGTAGATGGACATAAAAATATAACACTGAACGGTAGTTATTGATGGGCTCTCAAGATCCGATGTGATGAGAGATTGGGCGCGGCGGTAATGCCATCGCCCAGCCAAGGTGGCATCGCCTGTTAACGACGCGATCACCCCGGAGGATCTGGCATCAGGTGGGATGAATGAATGTCCATATTGCAAGCAGAGGGCCAATACAATATCGACTAGAGCAGACGGCTTCCGGCACTGACGAGCTGGCTGCCAAAGAGACGCGTAGTGTCGCCGGAACTCAGTCTCGTCAATAATCGGCATGAGGCAATGATACCCTTCCCAGAATAATCGGAGGAATGCTTCTTCCTGCCCGCGAGACAGTGAAGTGCCTGGCCTGGCGCCGCTCAAAGAATCTGCATCTCCCGAATCCTGCTCGAGAGCGGTGCTGAGATTCATATTCCGGCTTGCACCTCGAGGTTGCATGTTTCGATCCGCGAAGGGCTGTTGAAGGGACTTGGCCAAGTAATCTCCGATTCGACTGACAAAGTAGAAGACGGAGGAAGGACCGTAATATGATGCTTGGTTGGAACGAGCCGCGGCTATATGGATGCCTTCCCAGTGCGGCCGCGTGACTAATGGTGAGGCAAGAGTTGACGTCTCGGCAGATCTTAATGCGCTGCTACTACGGGGAGAGACGGCAAGGCAATCGAGTCCTGTCGAAGCCGAGCCTGTCGAGCTATGGCCTGGCGTCTGCAAAGCGAACAGCTGCGACGTTTGAGACTGCGAAAGGTTCTGACGCGCCAGCAGTTCATGCTCAAGCTCCTCGATGCGAGACTTGAGACGATCGACCTCTCTCAGGGCTTGCGGCAGTGTCCGGGGTTCGTCTGGGCCGACACCCTCACGCGTACACTCGGCATGCCTTCTTAGGCATGCCTTGCACGGCTGGCCATTGTCGCAACGAATACGTCTGGTGCGACACCAATCGCAGGCGCGCGACACCTGTTTGCGAGGACGTCTGATAGGGACGGCTGGGTCGCTTGCTTGCCCATCCGAAGAGTGTATTCGATCCAGACCGGATTCAGTCATTGCGCGACCACTCGTCTCCAAGACTCACCGTAGCCGTGCTCCAGCTTGTCGTTGGTGTCCTCTGGGTGAATGATCACTACTAGAAGAGGGGCGCGGAGGTAATAGCGAGAGGAGTGGCCTTGTCAGGGTTGGAAGAAGTGCACATCAACACTCGTCGAGCCTCGCGGAGTTGCAATCGGATAAAAACGGAGAAATGGATCTGCGAGCCCCACGCATGCTGCATGCTGACACAGCTGCATCCCACATCGACGATGCTGACAGATCCTCTCGCCGCCGCAGAAAGAAAGCCCCCCAACGGCCTGGAGAGAGAGACTCAAATGCTGGGAGCAAGTGACTTGGCCGTGTCGTGCGTCAGTGATTTACGTAGTCTAGGACAGGGCATTGAAGATCTTCCAGTAGGGATTCCCGGAGGTTCAGGCCCGACGACCAAGTCACACGCTTAGCGATATCGCCGGGCCAACTCTGAACCTTGACGGGATTCAGAGCGACAGGCTCGACACACTCATCAACAAGACCGGCATAGTCATACCGGCGCGGCTAACAGACCAGAGTCTAGGGGCGATGCCAATGATTATCATTAACAATTGCCACCTTTGAATGTGCAGATGGACGTGAGACTCACATATTGGGGGCATTGCGAGCCCTAGGGTATGATTTTGGTGAGCTTGACCGCCTAGCCTGGAGGCCATTTCATTTGTCATCGATACTTCCAGCAAGGCTTTTTGGATTTCTTTTGGCCATCACTTCACACACCAGACCAAGTTCACTTCACTTTACTCAACCGCAACTTCAATTCCATCTTTGGAAAAGGCCCGAAAAGAGTCGAAATTTACCCGATCCCGCACAGTCCATCTTTTATTTACCTATAGCATTGGATTTAGCTTTAAAGAAAAGGAAAAGGTCACTCCTCATCCCCCACCCTTCCATCCTCTCGTCATCATCATCATTATCCTCGTTACCATCATCGATTGGTGGCTTTTTGACCTGCATACTTCGCCGCACCATGGCTAACAGCCAGCGGAACCGCAGTGGTTCGGCGGCAAGTTATCGAAGCTGCTAAATCCCAGGCCTTACAGGAAGCCCATGAGGCTAATAACTCGAGGCTCGAGAATTCAGCACCAGCTGTTGAGGACAAGAAAGTCGAGGAGACTTGTTCGGCCCCGGCTTCGCCACTGCCGTCACCATCGGTCGCGATAAATCTCGTCAACGCGTTCGACATCAGTGCTTTCATCTACCCCGACGGCCTCATCTCTCCATACATACTGAGGTGAGGACCGCGACGACGTCTCCATATTCATGCCCGAGACTAGAAGTTCGGACCATCTCACCTGTTCATCACCCGGGGGTCCAGCTGTGGCAAGAGCGGCCGCTATGTTCCCAGTTACAGGCTTTTCTCGACGAGGTTGATGTCAAGTTCACCCTTCTGGGACTTTTCAGGTTGAAAGTCTGTGCGGTACCTACAATCGAGATGCCATGACAACAGTCCTCGCTGTTCTCCCAGGCTCGCTGTTATCTGTCTCGGCACGCGATTTTATCCGCCAAACCTGTCGATCGTAAGTCGCCTGTACTTACTCCCGCTCTCTCTCAGAGCTAGATGGGCGTAATGACTGATGTATTGTGTTCCTGTGCAGGTACCATCTCGATGGGTCGGTCGTTATTGAGCTCATGGAGCGTACTTTCAGCCGCTGCAACCAAGTCAGCAGCCTACCACTGGCACCACCCGGCTCGAATATCAACTCATCGGCGTCGTTGTCATCCGATACAACGGTCACACCTGGCCCCTGTCTTAAAATCAAGCTTCCTCGGCCGAATGGTTCCAAGACTTTTGGACTATCATCATGATGCCTGTATAAGCCCTCAACCGACCGTGTTTCACCTCTCCGAACTAGACATGCGAACGCGCCAGTACTAATAATGCTCACATGAACAGCATACCACCTCGAATCAGTAGAGAGCTTTGTCTCTGGTAATCTGGCGGTTGAGAAGCCTTCTCGTGTCCACCTCAAGCTCACCGCGGACTGCCTACAAGCAAAGTTCCACGACCTAGATTCTCTTCTTTCTGGACCCACCAAGTCTGGTGGTAATCTCTTTGATCGGGATGACGGAAGCATGACTGATTTTCAGCGAGAGATTAAACAACACCTCGAGCAATTCGATGCGGTCCGGCCCTTTCGTCCCCATTTTGGCTACGCTCAGGCAAGTTCTGGGCTCCTGGCCCTGGCTTCAAGCCAGGACGGAGAGGCCTTTGTCCACCTTGACTGAGCTTGGTTGAGATTGAGCCTTCGCGGCTTCCATCTGGCCTGGCTGCAGTATGGTCGCGTCTGCTTTCCGAACTGTCCGTCACGCTTGACTTGCATCATGCGGAGAGGGTATTCCTTGGTATCCCCGGCCAGGTATCCGCGTCCAGTTGGTTCAGCTGGTTACCAGGGACGGGACCATGGTCGGTTGTTCTCACACCCGGGACCCAGACACCGATCTTGTCTTCAAGGTTGGCCTCGACACCGGCGTTACTATTGGACGGGTGCGGGAGGCCCAGTTCCCAGTCCGAGAGTTTAAGGACAAGGTGGTTGTAGCCGAACTGCATGAGCATGTGATTCTGGGAATTGGAACCCCCTTGTCTCGACGCCGCAACTCGGGATCGGCGCTTTGCAACATAACAAGCACCCCCATCAGCTTGCCCTTTGGCGGCTTTCACGTCGAAGTGGACAAAAGGAATATGATGAAAGACGGGGCCAAGGCTTCCAAGGCTCCCAGAGCCGGGACGCTGTGGCCTGTATTCCAATCTCGAGCTGACAAACTTACCCACGTCTATTGCCATTCACTCACCAGCAGGCGTGGAACCCACCGAGCTCGCTCTTTCCACCTCGTTCACTGCAGTCTGCAAGAGCATCTGGACTTGCTTGACCGAGACATTGGGAGATGTATTTGAGCTTACATTTCCCAACTTCTGATTCAGCCTCAGCTCTTCCTGGATTCCACATGGAAAAGCTTGCTAGGTATCTTCCGCTTCCGCGCTCACACGAAGTTCCATCCTGGCGCACGCTCGTCTTTGACCCCACCGCCTTTTGAGTAAAGGAAGTCTCTCGTCGACCTTTTATCTCACCTACGCGTTATCCAAAGAGTTCTGTACCAGACCTGTCCTTCGCAAAGCTCTCGGCTTCTTTACCCCAATCTTAGAAGTTCCACCAGAACGTCTTCTAGTTCTCTGTCTGGCCTATACCTGGCCTGGAAATGGATGCGCACCAAACCTGATCAGTCTCATGGGCACCGAGGGCCCTTCAAAGGAGCTACTGTCGTCCTGGCATGCAACGCACCAGTAGAGCTGTAGCAGCAGGGCTGCGGTACAGTACTGGGCTGAGCATGACGATGGAATGGGTATGGTTGAGTACAGGAGACTGCAGTTGTCGGAATGGGTATCATTTCATCACATGCACAAGGTCTGGCTCTTCGGGCTGCGTGTGAGATTATACTTCAGAGAGCAAAGGCCTACCATACATATCCTACTCTGCAAACAAGAAAGAACGTGCCATGATGGCCCATCCCCAATCTGTCCAAGACATTCCCTCCCTTTGACTCTTTTGATGGTTTCGGCTGATTTGCGCCGGCAAGGCTCCCTACGAGTGTGTCCAGAAAGCTGGTGGCTTTTCTTCAGGCATACACGCGGTGTAAGTCTTGGGATCACTGATTTGGCTTAGTGAGAACTCTTCTCGAGCTCTAGCCCAAGCCGGTACATAGCCGCGACACCACCGTTGATACTATCCGCTTTGTATCCTTTTGCTCGCAGAACGCTAGTTGCAACACGAGCAGAATCTCCATCGTAACAGAGTATGAGCGATCGTTTGCCGTGTATTTGTGAGCAGATGAAATGATCCGCTGATCCGAGGCTCGACTCAAGTCGCCGCCAGAGTGATGCCAGAACTTTCGGGTTTGTAAAAGGACTGGGGGAACGGGACTCGACAAAAGGGTAATTAATGGATCCAGGAAGGCTGAATTGCTGGAAATCCTCAGATTGTCGCAAGTCAACGATGATTGAGTCAGGGGCCGGGAACCCATTCGTCTGCCATCCACGGCCTTTATCCGATTGTCCTTTCGATAACGACAGAATTTCGCTAGCAGATATTTTGCCAAGAGTGTAGAATTCGGCAAGAGCTTGTAGCGGTTCCTTCTCCCATACTGAGTCATAACTATACAGGTCGACTTGAGTTAGTTCCTGAAGTAAGTTCAATTAGTAAAAAACTACCCGAATATTTGTCAGGGGTGAGCTCCTCATTTACATCATTTTGTATAGCAGGGAAAGGATCTGGTCCCAATTTATCAAAGTACTCGTCAATGTACTGGTACGGGAGATCGCAGCACAATGTAACGCAGTGAATCTCGCCATCCTTCCCCGCGAGCTGGGCCAGGGTTCCCATCTGCTTTCGTTTCTCTAGGAACTGATACAATCCCTGAAGATTGAACCCGGAGGAAGGCCCGCCCACGATGCCGCTTCTGCAAAGTTGCAGAGACAAGGCGAATGATGGGTAGGATGCAACTTCCTCAACGTGGTCGACAGCTGACCTCCAGGGGAACGTTACAGATGACAGCAGTGCCATAGGCCGGGGCCCCGGCACGCGGTTGCCTGCAGCAGTGCACACGCTGTTATACATGTCAGCATGATACCGTAGAACTCGTTGCGGCTACTCTCACCCGAGGCGATAAACAGATGGTCTCCTCTCTTTAAAGAAGCTTCCCAAACCTGCCATTGTTCCTGTACGTCATACAGTCAGAATCAACACCATATTAACACGATCTCAAACCAATCCAGAGACTCGCCATACCGGAAGTGCCCATCCCAGCACAGATCACATTGATTTCTGGTAGTTGCTCTAGGATCTGGGGGCCTGTCCACCGTATATGAGATTGCCAATTCTTGACTACTGGTAAGCAAAGGAGATATCCTATTAGTGTCCAATTGGAAGACTTACAAGATCATTATGATATTGATCCGGGTTGACAACAGATTCAGACTGTTCTGCCCAACACTTTGCGGCGCAGATACCCCCACGTTTATCGTCTGGCTCGAACTGGGAAGGCCCGCCGAATAATGTGCTGTATGTAACAGCTTCGTGAGCAAAATTCATTGCCAGGATCTAACGACTCTTGTGACGGAAAGTGCCTTACTCACATGTTCAGCCCAAAGAATTGCATTAGTCTCAGCTTTGCAGCAGTAGTCTTGTTGCTGAGGAAAGCGTGGACATCACTCAAGCCGTAGAGGGCGCGAGAAACCATAGCCATCGAGATCACTGTCGAACCGGAGCTGGACTCTACGATAGTCTTGGTCTTGTCGGCAACGACGCCATGTTGAAGGAGATGAAGAGCTTCAAGGAACATGTCAGTGACTCATGCTGATGCTTTCAGTCTGACATAGGGACGGCTACAACAAGTACCTGGAATCGCTTTGACATTGTTCGCAGGATGCATAGTCATCATCTTGGCATAAATGCGTACGCCATACTCTCGGTAGGGATTGAGATGCCCCGGCACCTCCACGAGAGGGAGCAGTGGTGCTACATCAGGATTGAAGTAGTCCTTCAGTGAGTCGGGGCCCTTGTAGACGTTCAGATGGTTTCTTGAATGCATTTTGGAAAGAGAGACTGATGGATAGGAAAAGGCCGGTCCTGGTGTAAGGAAGAACTTTGACCAACGGTTCAATTATGCCAAAATCTGATCCAAGCTCAATCACTCAATCCTCCAGCCAAGCACTTGTGGGCTGCTCATTTTTGAGAGGCAGTCGTTCTAGATAACACCCGGACATGGCTGGACGAGATGGTCCGGACAACTTGTGTCTCAATGGGTGGTACCATTCCCGCCAGATCATGATGGAATCTCTTTAAATAACTGAGCCACATCATGTCTACTTTAATCTCGGCATCCATCGACGAAACGCTGCCGCAGCTCTTACTCAGGATTCAATGAAGCATTGTCATGCTCCGAACACGGCCTGGAAGGACTAATCGTTAATCGGTTACACTGTCAATTTGCCTAAGTACATCCGAAGCTTATATGGATGAGTTCAGTCTTGTAATAAAACCAGTGGCTCATCAGCAGCGCCTGTGGATTATCTGCCGTGCCGGGGGGTTCAGGGGCAATGAGATAGGCTTTCGGTACGCTGATGTCTGTGCTCTTTGTACTTAGCCATAAATCACTCAAATGAAGCCAACGGCAGACCATGACATAGATTCGTGAGTGGATAGCCCTGCATGTGCTGGCGCCAATTCATCAGCACCCAATCACGACGATACATATAGAAATTTGAACCGCTGCCGCTTAATATGTGCCTCGGTTAATTTTCCAGAGATGTTACGACAATTATTCACAGGTGCCGACAAGATCTACTCCAGTCTCTCTGGCACTGTCCACGCCATGTCTTGCTACATGTAATGCAATGTAGTTCAGACGCATACTCGAAGCTCCAGGTCGGAGTCTTCTGTAATCTCTACTGAAATCCCTGCTCTTCGACCCTATACTTGTCGATATACTTCACCGGAGACAGGTAGCTCACAATTGACTGTCACACGAGTGCTCCAAGGACAGTGCCTTGCCTCACGCAGTGACGCACATGCCAGCCCCTGTGACCGACAGGGATATGCAGGCGTTCAATATCCGATGCGAGCAACATTATTGCACCGGTGAGTACGGTTGTCGAAGCCATGGATGAGTTAGCTGTTTATTGAACATTGCCGTGCACGCCGCATTCCAGTCTTTACTTTGAGATTAAAAAAAAAGGAAAGAAGAGTTAGGCGCCTTTGCATTTCATTACATCTCATTGTTAGAATAGAAATCCATGAATGCCATCGCTAAGGGACTCGTCCCATTCTCGTATCCTCCCAATCTCAAACCCATGTGTATCCGCAACAACCGAGTTCATCAACCCGCGGATATGAGTTAGGTCAGTTTCACTCGTTCTTAGACAGAACCAGGCTATCTGGAGTGGATATATCAAGAATAGCGCAAAGATCGACGATTCTTGCCCTTTAAGTGCGCTGTCGGCAAATCTGCATATTTCCAAGGCCAGAAATCTACTGACCAAAGCTCTGTCTGATGCGAATGCCAGATCGGTGGTCTCTCTTGGGGTGAGCCACGGCGAAGAAATCGCAAGGTTGGGCAAGACATAACAAGATAGCATAACACAGAGAGATGGCCACGCAGTCCATTGGATCTTCTACTGGATGCATTCTTCCCTTTGCATGCCCTGAGCTTGGGAGACAGATCCAGGGCACTGTTTCAAGCCAAGCGTGGAGTCGGTCGATGACAGATTGCACGCGATGCCGCAAGAATCTGGTCGCAAAGGTGTTTATACTTGAACACTGTCGAAGCTGGTCATAAACATGAACAATACCGGGAGTTTGGGCAAAGATATCGTAAAGAAGGTCGATCTTCTCAGGTGTCTCGCTCTCTGACAGCCCCTGGGAACTATCCCACTGGGGCTGCTCGAGGAAGCAATGACATCGTTGATGTCCAGCGGATAGGATCTTCGATAAAATTATCAGTGTTGTAAACTAACACCGGAGGCGGAAAGTCACTCACAGCAAAGTATCGTGCGAAACGCAATACTTGTCTCTCGTTGGGATTCCGCCACGCCTTAGGTCCTCGTGATCGCAGCTGCTTCCGTCAGAACAAGGGAACGGGAAGGGGGCAACAAAGCCAACTCACCACGATGTCAGCCCCTTCATAGTGCATGAGCCACGCAGTTTGCTGCGAAAAGACTACGTTCTCGAACACACAGAGACATAAAACGCTCATGATTGTCTCCGGCATAATGCCCCTGTTGTGGACCATGTTGATCTCACTTCGGAGCTGCGTCAAGGCCTGTGAATAGAGCTGTAGTCCCTGAGAACAGGCTCGCTCATCTCTGTTGGTCCTTCCGAAATATGCTGATGCCAGGGCTTGCACGCAGAGTGCGTGGAGTTCGGAACCGTCGGGGATCAGCAACGTCGGTAGTACTTCAGCCGGCAGCGTTGCATTACAACAAGGGGCTAGTAGTGAGAGCTTGGACAATGTGTATGGAAGGAATCTGTGTTCTTCTGTGGCATTAGGCTTCTGATCTGCAAGCTGAGTCCGTGTTCGCACTTGGGGGTACTTTGGGGTGAAAAGGGCCGCGGCCGGGTTGCCGGATCTGGTGTGGTGCCCAAACTACCTTGAGAAAAGCGACTGTTCTCATCCACAAATTTCAGGCGACCATGATATCCTGAGCAAACAAGCCCTGCTTTCCTGCAGCGCTGACACTGGGGCTGCGGTGCATCTGAGCCTTCGAGTTAGGGCAGAGTCCACCAATGTGCTTAATTGCCGAACCCACCGCACTTGACCTTGCGCTCAACGCAGGTGCCACAACTTCTGATACGCCTACCGTGGCGAACCATGTGAGGATTGTTGGTGCGTGTCTGAGAGTGACGGACAAGGAAGACCGGATAATACAAGGCCTCAGAAAGCTCAACTGGGAGGACCTGGTTGTAGAGAGGAAAAAGAGGTGGTATCTAGGGGGGGATGCTGGGACGGGGGTCAAGCCATGAAATACCCTTTACAGGCAGATAGCTAGCGCTAACATCCTAAGATCGCATTAGCCTTGTGGGGATTGTAGCCCTGACACTGATCAATGATGATCGATTTCGGGATGCTGCAAAGGGTCAAAAAAGTGCCGATCCAGCTGAAGTGGAAATCAAAGTTGAGCAAGGGTAAGGAGTTGAAATGCCCGAGTTGGTTAGTTGCCGCCTCTACTAGATCTTAGCTTAGCACATTGGTACCAAGGTCAACGTCATCCAATCGCCGATTGTCTCTTTTCCAAGCTCAACGGTAACTTCAAAACTCCTATTGAAAAACATCTTTGCTTCCAGTCTTTCCGACTTGTCAATATGATAAAATATTGTGGTATCGACAAAAGCAGGCGCAAATATTGTTTGTCTACTCTGAAACCTAAACGCACCGACATGCCAGCATCCAAAGCGGAACAGGAGCATAGGGGAATCTTTCGGTACTGGAAAGGTTCCACGGCAAGTCAACCACCTCCAGATGGCGGTCTGACCGCATGGCTCCAGGTACTCGGCTCCTTTCTCATCAACCTGAACAATTTTGGCCTTGCAAATAGCTTTGGTGTATTCCAGACATAATACAAGACGACGCTCCTTCGACAGCATTCCTCATCCTCCATATCCTGGGTCGGGACTCTTCAGCTGTCACTGATCCTCATCATCGGCGTCGTTTCGGGCCCTTTATTTAACCAAGGATATTTCTATCCCATCTTGATCAGTTCATCCCTCATGCTCGTCTTTGCGCTCATGATGTTGAGCCTGGCAACGCAATACTATCAAGTCATGTTGACATGGGGGGTCCTCGGGGGCATATGCACGGGATTGTTGTACATCCCCAGCGTTGCCATGATCCCTCTTTACTTCACTTCTCGCCGTGGCCTTGCTCTTGGCTGTGCGACTGCTGGAGGGTCGATTGGTGGAGTCATCTATCCCATCGTCGTTCGTCGTTTATTAGATACCGGTGGCTTTGGTTGGGCATGCCGAACTATGGGACTCATTGCGCTCTTCACCCTCACCATCGCCGCAGTTGTTATCAAGCCAAGCATACAAGCCGTTGAGAAGCCATCGCGGAAGCTCTTCGACATGTCTATTATCAAGGACCGGGCTTTCAGCGCCTTCGTCCTGGCCTCTCTGTGTATGTGGCTAGGGTTCCTCGTGCCATATATTCTTACACCATCGTTTGGCCTTATGGGACTCGACAATCCCGTTTCCGAAGACCTTTCTTATTATCTGCTCGCTGTTCCGAACGCTGCTCAAGCCCTTCGGCGGATTATTCCCGCGGGGATAGTCGATCATAAGGCCCTTGGCGCCGAGGTTATTCTGATCTTCAACTCTGTCGTTGCTGGATGTCTGGCGCTATGCTGGATCGCTGTTCATAATCTCGGCGGATTTGCTGCTTTCCTCGTTCTCTACGGGTTCTTTTCGGGGGCTGTGACTACGCTACCAGCGTTCATCATTCCATATCTCAGCCCGTCCTTGCCTGTCATAGGCACTCGAATGGGTATAGTCTATGGCGCAGCAGGCTTTGGTGCTCTTATCGGAGCTCCAATTGCCTTGACCCTAGATGGTACCCACGGAGGCCAGCCCAACCGCGCTTTTCTGGGCGCACAGCTGTGGAATGGGTTGACGATTCTCCTCGCTTCATGCCTCTGCATTTATCCCCTCCATGAAGCGAGGAAACGAAGACTTGCTTTTGAGACAAAGGCTGGGCAGCGGGCAGTATCGCAGGCTGAAGTTACGGACTCAGAAGGGAGATGAGAGATGTGAGAGGCATACGGTAGGTGAAGATCTAGCAGTGAGCTGGCCCCGATAGTTGCGTCATTTTACCCCGACACGCGAGAACTAAGATCAGCGTGGGGCTTTCAGTACGAGCTTCATTTCTAGATGGTTTGGGTGAGATGCAATAAAAGATTAGGTCCCCACGTCCTGAAGACCCGGTCTTATTCGGTCAAGCACGAGTGACGCTGTGCCGTTGAAGTGGTCCACTCTCGCTGTGGCGATCCGCTTCCAAGTTTCAGAAGCTTGTGCGCATTGCAGAGGTGCTATCAGCCCTGCAGCTACAATGGCGGCCAGTGACGGGTCCGAATAAACCGCAACGGACCCCATTGCGTTGCCTTGCCTTGAACGTTGGCTATCTTCTTCATCAGTGCAAGCGCATGAATACCACGATGGGGACATTCTGGCTGCTGCTTCGTTCACCGGGTGCTTTCTGGCATTGTTACATCCGGAGAATCAGCGATCTGCATTTCCAAAACATTTCTTGGGGGGCATTTTGCGTGGAAGTGGTATGTTAGTGTCTCTTCACGATCACCCTGCGTGCTCCTCTATTCTAGTCCCTACGCCATATCCCACATTAACAGGAGCTCATTGGCTCTGGGGCTATGGAATGCGGTCGTCCCAAAGCCTGTACAGCTCTCTAGTGAGGGAATGGTATGTCAACTTAAACACACACAGCCCGCTTTGTAGACCCGTCTCACAAGCCTCTGTTTAAGATCCAAGACAGTGCCAAATGATGGTCTTTTGCGATATTTGGGAGTCTTGACGCAGAACGCATCGTCCTCACGTCTCCCGAAGCACTGCACGAGGTCCTAGTCATGAAGGATTACTCCTTCCTGAAGCCAGCGAGTCTTTGCGAGACGGCAGGCCGCTTTCTGGGCTTGGGTCTCATGCTGTCGGAAGGCGATGCGCACAAGATGCAGAGGCGAAGTATAATTCATGCATTTGCTCCACGCCACATCAAGGCGCTATATCCACTCTTCTGGCATAAGACCCGAGAGATGGTTGAGGCGATCACCGCAGATGAGGCCGAAATGGTACGTAGTACAATAGATGTGGTGACATGGGCTTCAAGAGTTACTCTTGACCTCATTGGGTGAGCAGGTCTCGGCAGGGACCTTTTCGCGACAAGAGATGAGAAAAGCGATCTGGTGTGCACATACGCTCTTATTTTCCAGCCATCGCATCAGGCCCGCATACTACATCTCATCGAAAGCCTGGTGCCGGCATTGGTACTCACAGCCCTGCCCATCAAATCGAGCTCGGACAATGGCCATGCGGCTAGATCAATACGCGAGGTTTGCAGGTACATACTTGATTACAAGCAGAGGAAGATTGCGGAGAAGAGATTGGACGGCCTGGATACAATGACCTCGACGGTTCGGACTGGACTGTTGATGATGGGCTTATCGAGCAGGCTATGACCCTGCTCGCTGCTGGTTAGTTAGCTCCCCACAACATATGTTCGCACGGAAAAATGAGCGCTCATTGCATTTACAGGTCACGACACCACAGCATCGGTATTCACGTGGGGTGTCTCCCTGCTCGCTAAAATGGCGACGTATAGGAACGTCTACGGCAAGAAGTTCGCCGGAAATTACCACCATTGGGAGCCGTAACTGAGACAGTCTCTAGTGATGACATAGCCTCACTGTCATATCTACGAGCCGTCTGCGGCGAAGTGCTTAGATTCTATGCCCCGGTGCCGCAGAGTCTGCATGAAGCAGCCCAGGATACCACCATTGCCGGCCAGCTTATCCCCGGAGGCACACGCATTGTCATCGCGCCGTGGGCGATAGACCGTGACCCTCATCTCTGGGGGTTGGATGCGGACACTTTCAACCCAGTAAGGTGGCTAGATGAGCAGAACTACCACGAACAAGAAGGTAGTGGTTACGACAAAGACACTCGGGTGCGGCCAGACGGGACCGGTGCACATGACGGCATCCTGAATAAACACAGGTTCCTACCGTTCCTACACAGTCCTCGAGCGTGCATAGCACAGACTTTTGCCAGAGGGGAACTGGCATGTTTGCTGGGTCGGAAGTTTCAAGTTCGAGATGCAAGACGACACACTGATCGACGATGTTAACTTGGATATGAAGGGTGGAGTAACAGCCTGGCAGGCGGATGGGCTGGCTATTCAGGCGAAGAAGTTGCCGGGCTGGTAATTCAGACGGCGCGCTAATCGATCTTACGTACTAAGAATAGATCCCAAGCTTAGGAGAAGTCACTGATTGATGTAGATACGTCTAAACAAAATTTGCCGCGTGTTTGATCCCCAGACAAAGAAAACCTGCGACTGGTTCTACAAGCGACAGGTTCAAGTTCTTGGTAGCCAACCACGATGTCGCACAATCCGTACAAGCCTCCATGATCATCTACACGATTTGATGTCTCGTCCTTTGTACACATCACGGCTCTGTCCTTTGCTTCAGTTCCCGCACAGCATCCTTAAACATCTTGGGCGGCACAGCAAAGGGTCTTGCTGGCATGATCACCTGGAAGGGGACCTGAATGTCCCTCAAACTGTTGGAGCATTCCGCAGGTGTTTGTTTGTCGTAGTATGAAGTTCACACGAGACGTAGGTGTCCGGTCAGCCGCAAGCCTCTGACACTCTGATCCGGCAGGACACAGTGTTGAACAAACATGCACACTGCCCGATCGTCCTAACCCCGACTGCGCTTATTCTTTCGTAGCTCCGTCTCGACAGATGTGCGGTCGGCGAACCTCTCCGGAGGCCCAGGCAGAGAGCGTCTTTGGGGAGCTTGGCCACGGCGTCGTTAATGATGTCGGCTGGGATGATATCTGGGTCAATTACTGTGAGGCTCTCGAAGATGCTAGGGGCATGAACAGTTGCGAGGATGGCGGCCTAGGCGCCGAGGCTGTGGGCAACGACATGAAGGTGATGTCGAGTAGGCTGCCGTGGTTGGTACGTCGGCATCCGAATCTGGAGACATCCTGGCAGGTCTTGCCCGGGACGTCGTGGGAGGTACGCTTTGATGAAAAGAAGCAGATCTCGAGCCATGTCTTTCTCGCTAGCTGTTATTGTTTATTGGTTATGGCAATTGCAACACGGGCTTATGCTTGTGGGAAATCGCTCTCCCGCAGACGCTCAATATGCCAGCGATCATTATCTGTTGCTTTGTCCATTGCAACGATGCATCAGTCGATCTATGCACTCGACTCCTCTTTGTCTGGCAAGTAGTTGTGAGGACAATGTGTATTGACTGCACACAGTGCTGTGAAATTGCGCTGGACATGCTTTACCGGCACGTGGAGCAACTTCCGGATAGCTCGTCCAGGAGAATGAGCATCCTGTGGGTGACACAACGGGGACTGAAACGGCGACTTCCACGGAGTACAAGTGCCTTCACTTGGCTGGATAAAGTGCCCTCTTCGAAGGGATGTTTCAACTTTCAAGACACCTTGGGCACGGGCTTGAACTAGTCCCGAAATGGCAATTTTGATATGGTCATCGTCGAGCCCCGTCCAGGAGCGGTGAATGGGCGCAGCTCGGTGACTCAGCAACTGCATTAGCGCATCAGACTGGGCGGTGCAGCCGCGCTGTGTTCTGTTCTTGATGACAAAAGCCAACTCTTCGCTGCGACCAAGTCTTTCCGACGGGCCGATTCCTCATCAACTCCTCCAACTCACGCCGCCCACTGCCTCTTGAGAACTGCCTGCGGCAGCCGCAAAGACTCAACTAGTTAGTTGCGGGTCTGTTGTTGTGCACGGCTACTGCACACCAAGTCCTGGGGAGAGCGGGTACCATCGCCAAGACCACACGCGCCGCCCCAGCGCAACACCGCCGATGAGCAACACAATCTTCCGAATCTTCAAGCCCAACGGTATGTAGATGCTGCGAAACGGCTGCATCGCGCCAATCGCCATTCGCAAATCTTGCTCAGCCCTGGCGCCCGGGCTAACCTGAGTTGCTAGGGCCCAAAGAAGATGCTGTTGAAAGGCGACGCGGTCAACTTCGGCGCGCACAGAAGCAAGTTGCGCCTCACCTCTCCGCCCGGCCGAGTCGAGTAAGTGCTAACCTCTGCGAACTAGAACCTATCGCGACCGCAAAGACAAGTACTCGAAGGCGCTGGAGACTGAGCTTAGCCACTGCCGAGCACGCGAGGCAAAGCTCGTTGATCAAAACCGACGGCTGGAAGCAACTGTGCAAGAACTAATGAGCCTTTTGTCAGCCCACGGAATCGCCGCTGCTCCACTCATGCTAGGCGATGCCGGCATGAGTGAAGAGTCATCAGAGGCTCGTGCAAGACGCGACATCTCCTCCGCATCACCAGCTGTTGCCTCCCTCTTCGACCCTGTATCACCGGGGCGCGCCAAGCGCGAGAATGCAAACATCTCATCGCTGTCGTCAACTGGTTGGAACTCCGCCAATAGCAGGCCAGACACTGCTGTGAACAAAAACCTTCAGAAGGAACTTCCCTCCCCTCCCCCGGACCAGACGCAAGGCGCGCTGGGCCCTTCAACATCCCAGCTTGGCCTGCTCAACCAAGTGACGGTCGGGATGGAATTTGTTCTGGAGTATGTACACGTCCATCCTCGAAAAGGAAAGACTAGAAGCTGACCAAGCCATGCGGGTAAGACTCGAGAAACCGTGTCTGGCCCACATAGCTGGAGATCCGTCCAAGGTCGACAGCCCGGCAGGCCACGCCCTGACTGCATCCGCCCAGCTGTTTTCGCTCGAGTCCCCAACGTGGTGTACTTCATATACCCCCCACAAGCCAGTCTATCACGATCACCCAACTGCGCTACTGGAAAACCTCCTCAGTCTGGCTCCAGACGTCTGTCCCGACGGCGAGCTCACGCCGGTCCAGATCTGGAACATGGTCCGAGAACAGCCGGATTTCGCGACTCTTCAAGTCGAAACACTGCAAACCCTGACGGATACAATCCGAGAAGCTGTCAAATGTCATGGGTACGTAGAGCCTGGTGAATCAAGAGTCCCAATGCTGACTTGAGCGCCACGTTGCCAGTTTCGGGGCCGTCGTCGATGCAAAAATACTCAACACAATTTTTGACCGCTTTCTTCTCAGGCGGTGAGTTCAAAGACCAGGCAAGTAGCTTGTGGTGGTGCTTTGGTGTATCGCAGGAAACATGGTGGCTTGTCGAGGTCGAGGATGGCGACTGGATACAAAGCGAATGAGCGCATCTTTCATCCCCTTAGAGGTCGGTCTTGACAGAGAGCTAGTAGGCAGGCCGAGTTATGCGAGGGGGTTAAGCCATGCTGTTTCTCTTCCGCATGCATACATTGTTCGCTCTTGGTGTGAGGTAGTCTCCCTAAATATCTATTCTATGCTTGGATCACCTGGATAAACAAAGACGAGAACTCCTCAGCATTCCCATCCATGATTTCTCCCATCCATCAAAGAGACGCAACTCTTCCAATAGTCTCTAGGGACTTCTTTGGCTAGATTGACACAGGATTCAACAGCTCGGAGCCAGCCTCTGAAAGCACTTGCTCGTGATCAACAGCAGTAGAGTCACCGCCCCAGTAACGCCAGGATCTGTTTCAACAGAGAGAGGTGGGCGAGTCTCCTCGGTGACACGCACCGGGCTGTTCTCACTGCTGTCGCCATTGCCATCTTGAGACTGGTCCTTATGCTCACCATGTGCAATAACACTGCTGCCACCATTGTCAACATCATGACCGCCGCTGGCAGGACGGCTACGGCACCTGGCCGCCCCTCGCCAGGCGACTGGCCCACTGAAGGCCGCAGTGTGGTATCCGCAACCATTCCGGATGGGTGCTAAGTGGTGGGTCTGGCTCGAAATCATGACTGGGAAGGATCGGAGCAGGCGGAAGTGCAACATGGGACCGGAGCGCATGGGGGGCCGGGGCGCATGGGGTGAGCAGTCGGTGTGTCTGCTGCGGCTCCAGGCACCCGGACTGTCTTCTGGGCCGGAAGAGATGCGGATGATGAGAGTGATTGAAGACGGAATCGAGCGCCGACAAGCCGCAGATCACCCCATCGCGGGCACTGGGGGCTGATTGACGCAGAGGAGAAGATGGTCTTGGCGATAGCAAGTACCGATGGCAGGTACTTACCTAGGTAGCCCTGAGACCAACCTTGGAGGGCCTTTGCTTCAGTTGGAGTATATAGAGCAGGTAAAAAGTACCTAGGTAGGTAAGCAAGGCAGGTAAAGTACTGAGCACAATACCTTAGGTACTTAGGTAGTGCTTTCCATTGTCTTGCCCATGTCCATCCATCCCATGGATGGACCACGCGTCCAAGCGTCGGGCCATTCACCCCACGGTCCGTCTGTCGCTCCAGTAAGTGAATGCGCAGGTCCAGGGCTGTGAATGTGTTGGATCTGCGCACGTGCCCTCCCCTTGGAGCTGCCCCCATCTCAATTCTTAGCACGTCCTCGCTTGATTCAGCATTGATTCAACGCTCACGAGTCTCTCACGAGCGACAAGTCGTGCAGAAAACAAGACGCGATGCCGTCGTCCCCAGCCTCGTCGGTCTGCGATCAGCACCCGTGCGACCCTTTGCCGATGCCGCTGCTTCAAAACGAGAGCCCGCTGGCCGAGGTCGAGGCCGAGGTCGAGGCCGAGGTCGAGGCCGAGGTCGAGGCCGCCTCTCATCCGCATCAGAAGCCACCTTCCCCGGAATTGAAGCCTCAGGATCAGGAGGAAAATGGTACCGCTGCCCTCCTCCATCCTTGTATATCAAGTGTAGCCTCACTGACATCACAACCCTAGACTCCAACCAAGGCTCGAGCGAAGCACTGGAGTCCCCAAGTCTCATTCGACTGTCGAGTTGGACCCGCCGCGATTTCCGGCAAGTCGAAGACGCTGAGACTGGCGTGCCGATATTTGCGGCAAGTGAAAAAAATGCGCGCCTACGGGAAGATGTCCTGGAACGCCTCGACGTGATCCTCGGCCGCCGAGAGCAGCGGCAACCCCTCTTGAAACAAACTGGCCCATACAGGCACCCCATCTTTCTGCAAACCTTCAACAATCCCGGTCGCTATATCTACCTCCTCATGACAGGATATGACCAGATCGACCTGCCGACCATGAAGCATATGTCACCCCCCGACGGCGGCCCTTATAACCCTCATTTGCTTCGTCTTGACCGGAGCCTGTACGATTTCAGCGCTGCGAGAGCCCGCGTGGTCCCGGCCGTCGTCACTCTCATAGGCCGTCTGGAGATGCTCGACCTGGAGGCGCCACCAGAGTATGGAGAAGATGAAACTGATGGAAGACAGGAGTTCTTTACTACATCCTACACGGTCGCCGTCAATACCGAGGCCTCCAGCCCAGAGAGAGGCTCCGTCTGGATCCTCTCCAACAATTCTGATCGCTGCGCTCTCTCCACAGAGCACAAGAAGTTGATGTACTGGCTGAAGAAGCACGATAAATGGGATCCTCCCGTGCGCGGAAAACTGAGGTGCAAGGAATGGGAGGAGGACGGTGAGGTTGATGGGCATTGGGACGAGGAAAAGATCATGGGTCGCTTCACTTGTCCCAACGGCTTGTTTGGCGGGGAGCTGTGTGTGGGACCCATCGGCCGGGAGCATTCAGATCAGCTTGACGACAACATGAACGAAGACGTGTGCGGCAGTGCCATTGGTACCTGGGATCCGGTTTACCCGGACGAAACTCGCTGGCCACACCAGCCCGGTCCATATTACGACGCCGCCTGCATCATGACCTCCTACCTCCAGCTCGGTCAGGCCGACCTGGCTGAGGCGCGGGATTTGATACGCGAAAGCCGCTGCGTCATCGATCCGCGCGTAGAGAAGGTGCGCTTATCTGACGACCGAAGAGGGTTTCCTGGGGACTCAACTTGTCAAGAGAAGACCGGAGAAAAAGAGTGCGCACGGGAGGGAACTCAACCAAGAAGCCCGTCTTGAACCGGGACTAGGTCGTGGCCGGTGTGCTATACTACTTGCAGCCAAACGCAATTCCGCAGGCAATCCTGTGGCAAGATTGGAGTCGGGAGACGGAGAGGTTGAGCGCGCTCAATCATACGGACAGTGGACGGGTCTGGCTGGAGCCTTGCCCCGTGATGATGTGTCTAGTGGAGGACGCCCACTAAGGACCCCCTGTAAGTGAGAAGCCGCAACTGCTGTCGCGCGATTCCTCGTTTTCTTCAACTAACGAGACTGGCACAGACCCCTGAAGGCTGCTGAAGGTTGAGGGTACTGAAGAGGGCAGGTTGTACACCTGACTGCAGTTGCGGCCTTCAAAGGGTTATGGGGCGGAAAATGCAAAACACGTTGAAGTACGCGCTCAGTACGTCGGATTAGATTTAGGAGCAATTGAGTTTCGCTGAAAACAAATTACCAATCCTGACCCTTCTCCTTTCGCCCTCTCACTCATCACTCAGTCAAGATTCGCAACCCGCCCAGGCACACACGCAACTGCGCACATCTCACCACCTTCCCAGGCATCGTCGCAGATCTGCAGAAAAGATGATGAAAGATTTACGACAAAGGCTCCATCGAACCAGGGTCCTGCTCTTCCCCCGACCCGCGGCAGAGATCACGGACCGTGAAACGGCTGCAATGATGGTGGACGACATACAACAGCAACTCCTTGATGTCTCGCATAGCTCGATCCGCCGGCTTCGTATGGTGCAGGAGTTGGCAGCTTACCTCGACACCTTGTGCAGCGCCTGGGATACCTTGGGTCCAGTGTCGGCCGACTAGAGATCGAGCCGCCATAGAAGTCAATATCTCGCCCTGTGTCAGCAGTCCAAGTTCGTCCTGCTCATCTGCAGAACCGCGCAGCAGGTGTTGCCAGAGTGCGGGGGAGAAACGACTGGACCACCAGTGTGGGATGAAAACACCACCCTAGCCGAACACCTCGAGCGTAAGATCACACATTTGAACCGCCAAGTTGAAGCCGTAAAGCAGCTTTGCCCTTCGATAGCGATGGAGGCAGCAAGACAGCCCAGCAGCTTGCCACCAGAGTCGATACGGGAGTCGGTCCTGACTATCCTGCTGAACACTGGACAGCGGCAAAAGAGTAAGTACCTTCTTGCCTGGCCCCTGACTTCATACCTACCGCGTGCTGACGAGGCCTGCACAGACGAAATCGGCCCGCTCCTGGCTAGCCTGAGCCCAAAAGAGCGCCCTTGTCACGGGATGGACGAGAACAGAAAGAAAATAAATTTCAAGAGAGAGTCAGGATCCCCGCAGACCATCGCGGTGTATCAGTACACAAATGGCAGGTATATCGTCGGCGGGTCAAGCGAGCAATGGGCATGCTTTTCCACGTTCAAAAAGCACCGCAGGGCTGTGAGAGAAGACAATATTGAAAAGGCCCTGGAGCGGCGTCCCTGGTGGTACTGGCGACGGGACCTCGCTATCCTTTCCGCGGCCTTCAAAGCCGCCAACGGCGAGGTTGGTGGCTGGCAGCACGAGCTCAAAGCAAACAAAGGTTCTAAGAAGCAGGAGTTTCGACTCAAACAGCTTGATCTCCTGACCCGAGACGATGCTCCTGTGACCCGCGTTCGGTTGCCTGGCAAAATGACCGCGTTCGACATTACAGGCGAACTCAAGGCGCCATGTCTGAGTTGCGAGACTCGGTTCGACGTGGGAGCCCTGCTCGAGGGCGCGGCAGCTCCCTTGCATGTGAACGCCAACGAGGCCCTCGCGTGTGCAGAGGTGGTGTGTGTAGCAAAGCTCATCAACCGCAATTGAAGAAAAGGCGACGAAAAGCTCGGCCGTGCTCTCTCTCGGGAGACTCAAGTTCCACGGCGGCAGATAAGATTTGAACCCAGGAGATGGATAGAGGGCATGAAGGTGCAGGAAGGCCGAGTCTAGAAACTTGGAGTCAGAGATAGCCGCTGGTTTATCGGCCTTGCAGTTGGTCATATCGTGCAGGGATGAGAAGGAAGTAAGTCCATGGCCTGTAGCCTCGTCGGACCCTTGATACTTGAGAAGGATGGTGCGTGGATAAGATATGAGTTTCCTTGGGAAGTAGACTGGCCGCTTTGGTCCTGATTCTATCCTCCGTAATAATTCGTCAAAAAAAAAAAAAGTCGTGTCGTGACTTTTGTCCGTGATGCAAAACAAGTTGATTGTTTAGTACATGCCTGCCTAAGACCACATGAGTCTCTTGTTGATATTGCCGATAGTATTTAGCATGAGACGCGACAATGGCTGGCTTCCAGGGCTAGGCGGTTTCAAGTTCACCAAGTTCCCCTCCAGGACACTTACAATGCTCCCAACATGTAAGGCTCATGTTTACCTGCACATCTCAAGTAAACAAGTGCTTTTCCGGGCCTCGCATCACAATCCCGACGGCCTTGAAGCCGAGGGAGCCCATCGCCAGCAAACACCGAGTGCTGAAGCCTTATATGGGCCAGTCCCGGAGCAGCAAGCTTGGACTAGGTCCTTCTTCAGTCATCGTGTTTACATGTCATCATGCACACTGCTGCCACTTCGGCTTCGGCGTGCCTCAGCCTGACTTGGATTTATCCCCCCTTCTCAGCGCTGACCATGACTGACAGGTGGCGCACCCCTTGTCACTTCTCTCTGCAATCACTAGCTCGCGGCGGACTGGATTGTGCAGAGGCCCTCCAGGCGGACAAGCATACGGCAGCCCTCGAGGGCTCGACGGTTGTAGGTGTCGAAGCTACCTAACTCGAACCAATCATCTTATACGATTGGCACCGGGCGGGCGGGGAAGTCCACCCGTGGACCGACTCGTTTTCTCGTCGGCGCAGGGGACGGATCCGCGTCTCCAAATGAAGCACACTTCACGATTCCCAGACCGATGTGGAGCTTGAAACACCCGAGGATCCAAGTAGCGGTTGAGTGCTTTACAAGGTATCGTATCTATGGCCGCCCTAGATACCGCGCACCTGTTCTCCAACGACTGACGTGCCACTCCCACTCTGGTTAGGCGCGCTGAAGTCGGACCTGATTCTGGTGAATTTAGGGGGATTCTCTAGGCATGTCTTCAGGCCATTCATGCACTAGAGATGCAGAGTGTGTGCAGAAAACACCACCCGTGGACCAAGGTCGCGCAAAGTACAGCGCCCTTATGCGACGCGCATCCGCCCGGCTCCCACCCGACTTCAGTAAGTGAATGGGATGTACGTGCCGACCGATGTCCTGGCTGAGACCAGCCAAGATCAATTGCACAAGATACATATTTCCTGGTTCGAGGGATGCAAAGGTCATATTTTCGGTACTTCTGTAAGCGTTTCGTGTGGCGTCATCAGTGGAAATCGCGGTGCAGACAGTCAGAGACAGAATCGTGCAAGTAGTTCATCGTGATGATCTTGATTTCATGCTCTGAGTACGTACGAGCATGCATGATGCCCGGAGATCAAGGGCCAAGCCCGTTCTGAGTAAGGTATCCTACATTCGACATCATCCCCTGCTGGTTCCGGAAGAAGATCGCCGCCCATATTCTGCCAGCATCGGCAATGATCCCTCAGACAAGGTCCGCCTGCACGTTGTCCTCGCCGATATTGGTCGCAATCATGACCGAAATGCCCTCTAGAATGGCCGACTACGGCGTGACAAAAAGTACGCCTTGCATGTCGGGACCGGTCTTCGGATCGAGAACCGATAGACCAGTCCTGGCTCTTGGCGGCAACTCGTCCTTCTCAACATAGTATGTTCGTCCAAACCCACGCCCTCGACTTTCGGCCGCTTCAAACCACCCCAGTGCATCACCTTGATGCCGGCGTCGTGGTCTAGGACGGGGCAGCCTGAGTTGCCGTGACGCGCAAACACGCCCGGTTCCTCGCAGCTGGTCACAATGTCCTCGATGGAACGAAAGAACTCGCCGCTACCGTCCTGCTTCTCCATGCTCACGTCGGCCGATAGCGAGCCGTAGTGACCCATCGTTGTGCCGGTGGCCCGGCCGACCTTAAGCACCATGTCCTTGGGCTTGGCATACTCGTCGAGAAACTCAAGCTCATCGGCCTCCTCGAGTATCTTGCGCGACGGCAACTGAAACTGAGTAAAGTCATATTAGCAATGCAAGTCAATATGTCCAGTTTGGAGCGTTGTGGAGGTGGGCTGACATTGGTCGGTTGAGAGCCAGTTCCGGGGGCGAGGTACCGGCTCGGACCACGAATTTCGATAAGTGCGATGTCCATGCCATATCCAGAAGCATGTTGCTGTGTCGATCCCGAGGAGTAGACCACCTCGCCTAGTCGGCGCCTGAACGTGTATGTAAACGGTTGAGGGATTGCATATTCTGGGCATCGGCGGGTGCCGTATTCGTGTAAGAGCCACCGTGACCGTGGCCTGGCTTGGGGGATAGAGCCACCAGCCAGAGGTTGTTGTCGCCAGCACTAAGGCTCTCTGCCTGAGGGTTAGGGCCGGGCGCATGGTGGTGGGCAATGTCGAATCTGCAATTCCCTACATGTCAGATACTTGTGGAAGGAGTCTTCTCGAGACAGGCTGGGGCCAAGGGGGCATGCTTTACCTGAGACAACATGGTGGCAGGTGACGGCAACAACCTGATCATGACCAGGTTGGGATCCGATCTAGGGAACCCGACATGGAGGCAGTGGCGAGACTCGGCCAATGTTGGGCAGGCCATCGACATATGTCTCCTCAAAGCTGAGAAGAGAGAGAAAAGGGGATCCAGTTAGTCTCGACTGTATGTTTGCGTTTCGTTCTTGGTGTCGGCTCGAGGAAAACCGCCAGCTTACCTCTACAAAGCAGCCAGGACTTGAGTCGCACCTTGGTCGCAACGTGCAGCAGACATCGAGCCGGGGTAAACTGTGCTGACGAGGGCTGGGTAGCCACAGGTCTCGGACGCATTCTCCTTGGGGTCGTTTCCCGCACCAAGAAGGCCTCGTACTTGGGGGGAGAGAGGCATAGCGGAGCGATCATGGCCCAACGGTCGTTCTGGAGGATGTCGCTGCGGGTATGATCGCGGAGTGAGACGCCGGTGGTGGTCGCAGACGCTGGCGATGTGATCGTCGGGCAAGACGGGGCTCACGACGGCTCGCGTGCCAGGGCCGTAAACGAATAGATGGGACTCCATCGTGGTTGGGTTCGCGACTTCGAGGCCAGATGTGGCTGTGGCGCTGGTTGGTGCAGCAGCTGGCTCTGCAGCAGGGAAGAAGAGGGTGGTTGTGTTCTGAACTCAAAAGCGCCAGCACAAGGAAGGTGATGAACACGCTTTTCCCCTTTTGGGGCAGGCTTTGTGAGATGCTAGAATGGGTCCTTGAATGGTGTTTTGGAAATCAACGGGCAGTTACTCCTCCACCAACTGTCTGTCTGATCTTTGTTTTGGTTGCAAGAAGCATCCAGCCTTTGCTGATTTGAATTTTCATTGTTAGGGCTTTTGTCATTGTATTCACCGCCGTATCTTTAATGATGCCACCTTTCAGAGTTTTGCCAAACGCGCAAACGACAACAATGAGGCGGCACACTTCCCCATTTCTGCTCATCTGTTATTTTCCAGGATGGAACATCTGGAGCCAAAACAACAGCACTTGCCACGTCCAACGCGAAAGAGGCACAATCAATGCAACACAATACTGCCACCTGGGCGGGCCGTGGGCTTCGAGTTTTGGTCCGCAACACCGTCCCCCCCGTTGACCAGCATCAACAGCATTACCAGGATGGCCTCTTTGAATCCCGCCCCGTTTGTATGTCGCTGCGGCTCTGTCTTGCACGGTAAGGTCAAGTACAAGCACTTCAAAGCACCCCACACCTGTTGCCTGACATGCAAGAAGATTTTCAATTCCAGTGACTAGAAGAAAAACGAGAAGAATACCGAGCCGATTCACGAATCGCAACAACTCGTCATAGAGGGCGTCGGTCGGCGAACGCGAACGCGAACCTGCCGGTATCGGGGCTGCGCATACACATCCGACTCTCAGATGACACGGCACGAGAAGCGAGCGAAGAACTTCTCGTACAGCTGCGGCGAAACAGTGAGCAGCACGCAAGCCATATACATGCACAAGGATTCTGGTCATTCCCTTACTCTGATATCTGCCGTGGGCACGCCTCCTGAGCCGGCAGGGGAGGACGGCGCGGTTGTTGATGCTATCGATCATCGCGACGGTTCCGGCAGTGATCGCGGTCCTACCCGCGAGGTCGACGACAAGCGCCACAATGATCAACCCGCAGCATCGCAACACCACCAATATACCGCCGTTTCGGGCATGGACGGTGCACTGATGCCAAAATCGACTGCGTCATCGCCTCGTACAAGGCCGTCGCCCAGCAAACACTCGACCAAAGCTGAGCCCTCTTTACCAACCTCCTGAACAGGACTCGCGCCTCCTTTGACAATGACCACGACGAGGGCGAATACGACGAGGAGAATGATTTCCATGGTAGTCGCCTGGCCTCCATTCTCAAAATACTTCAACGGTCCACCACGGGCACACCGCTCTCCCTCGCCCACCACGACATCCTCGACGGCAGCCGAGGCACGAGTGGACCAAGGCGCCTGACAAGTCCCTCCTCTGCTCCATGGCCCAGGCCCGCCGATATCTCGAGCGCGGCCACCCGCCCAAGATCCCTATACTGGTGCCCCCGGACTTGAACCCACACCGCAGCGAGGACCGGTGGACGCTGGAGGGCTTCCTGAGCGTGATACGGACAAGGGGGTCTATCGACGTCCCTGTCGTGGATAAGAGAGACGACTCGCGCCATGACGAGGGTTACTTTCTGCACCCGCGGCGCATGGACGCCCGCGGGGCGGTGGAGCGGTTCGAGGGCCCCGACGCCGAGCCGATAAACATGATCAACATCAACGGCCTGATCAAGGACAACCCCGTCCCGCCGTGCCTGCAAGACCTCAAGGACTACGCCGTCATCCAGCGCGTGCAGGCCGACAACGGCAAGCTCGAGGGGGGCGGGGCCCCGCTCATGGCGCGCGATCTCACCGACTCGTTGCGCTTCCACCTGCTGGCCCACCACAACGTATTCCACCTTCCTCACATCGACCGCCACGGCGTGATCACCTCCGTCTTTACCGACACAGGCAACAAGCTCTGGCCGCTCTGGCCCGGCCAGGAAGACGACAGACTAAAGGACTGGGCGGCGCAGATGTCGTCGTCATCGTCGTCTCCAAGCGAGGTCCCTCGGGGCCCTGTGGTGGCGCTGCACCTGCCACCGGGCTCCCTGCTCGTGCAGCCGGCTGGCACGATCAACGCTCCCGTGACTCGCGGCAAGACGGTCATGACGGGGACGATGCACCTGCAAGCCAGGGCCGTCGAGGCGAGCTTGCGACAGACGGTGCTCCAGGTGAAGAATCCGTCCGCGACGAACAAGCCGATGGCGGCCGAGTATCGACCCAGGATGAGGCAGATTGTTGGACCTTTTAATGAATGAGCGGGATCATGGGGGCGACAACATCCTGAAAGAGTGCGAAGTTCTCTTGAAAGTGAGTCCCTTTGTCCCATCTCCTTTCGACTTGCGGAAATGAGGGCATTTTACACCTGTCTTTCCTTGACATACAGTAGTTAGAAAGCAGTTGTCACTATTACAGAGACTGCGGGAGAAAGTGTCCCTACAAGAATCGCAAATACATGGAAGATAGGATGGCAGGCGATGGCAGGTGTCATAGCGGCGAGGCCTGCAAGACCAGTAGACAGAAGAAGGGAAGAGATTAGCTGGTCTACAGTGGCTGTAAGACGTTTTCCGGATTGAATACAAGTCTGAATCTGCAGGCAGGAGATATTGGGAGAGAATAGTAGAGGAAGAGGAAACAAGAAGAAGGCAGGGAGGGAGTAGTCCTTTATGGTTCCACCAGTGTCGAGCGGTCTGTCGGCAGCTCTCCATTTGGTGAGTCACCACCACCCAACATGGTGCAACACGGCAACGTATCGTTTGTAACCCTGATGAGAGGCGGAATGTAAATCGAATCAAGACGGGCACAGATAAATAGCCTCGTGTATACCTGCAAAAGTAAACTACCGAGTCCATGCCGGAGTGATGCCACTCGTAATAGTCTTTGGTCCATTCCCCCCAGTAGGAGTGGTACCTGGAGACTACCTCCCTGTGTTTCATGGTGACAGTAAATCCCCAGGCCTGCAACAACAAACACCCGGCGTTTTTATCCTGCGGCGACTGTATCAAGCGGGTAATTGGGCATTCCAGCAACTGGCTCATTGAGAATCATGACTGATGACAAAGTTTAATACATCCCCCTCCATAATGAAAGATTTTGCTGTTCTTGATTGTTATCGGAGCGAGTAACTCTACTACCTCGGATTTTACCAGCTTGAGGAAGATGGAGCCGTGGGAAGCAGCCGAACTTGTTGCACATCCAGGAATGTTTATTGAGCATCATTCCATACCAACAACACGTTCTTGGTTTGAAATCTGAACTGACATGCACGCATTCGCCTATCTCTCGAGTAGTTTGAGAGTATTGTGATCTTGAATAGCCGCTATATGCCGGGCTGCCATCGCTGCTGCTCGTTCTTTAGTCTGCATCAACGTCCCTGTCATGGCCCAGAAGAAGCCATGCAATTGATGTCGTCTGTAATCATCCCAAATCTGATCGATCGAGAGTTGAGGACCGCCGGCTTTGTGCAGTGAGGGGAGGTAGTACTTTTCGAGCAGGTGTCGCTCAGAAGACCGGCGATCCTCCACTGTCAGCGAGCCCGCGACAAAGTATGCTACATCGTGCATGCTAGAGCCGGAGAAAACGGCCTGGAAATCCAGAAAACCCAGCTCTCCGCCAGGCGCAAAGAAAAGGTTGCCAGGATGAGGGTCACCGTGGACGATGCAACGTAGTTTGGGGTCTGCAGTGGACCACATCTGCCTGAAGGCAGCAAACATGCGAGTCCTATCGAGCATGTCTGCGGGCACCTGCGAGCGAACAGCCTCTTCTGAGAAGTGCTGCTCCCAATACTGCTTGGAGAACATGGCACCGGCCACTTCTTGGATGGGATTCGCCGAGGTCATCCATGGATATTTGCCCACTGGACAGCCCCAGGTGAGGCCATGCAAAGACGCCAGCTGCTGTAACCCGCTCCCGACATGCTGTACCGACAGCGGAATGGTACATTCTCCGAATGTGCAACCTGTAGCAGTCAGGTTCTCCAGAACAACCAGTCCTTGGTTCTGCCTGACGTTGGTTGCTGCGTACCAGACGCGTGGGAGGCGCATCTGGAGTTTGGGCGACGTCGCCACATGTGCGAGAAACTCAGCTTCTCGGCGGTAAGCCAACCCTAAAGCGAGGTCACGCAAGTCGTGGCTGAATCCGCCCTTGAGGCAGACCGTCTGGGGGGCATCCTTTGGTCGCCTGCTGCCGTAGTCGATGCTGATCAAGACTTTGGTCGCGGTTCCCGGGAGGACGAGGTCGACCTTTATGCTGTCGACCTTGATCCCGATTGCTCTTCCGATCCACTCGGCACTGATGTCGTCGAGGACCATGGGCATGTCTTCTGGATCATTGATGGCTAGATTGGGCTGGCTGACATTTGAAGCGAGAAAACCCATCGTGCACTATTCGCAATCGCGACAGCTGGTCTATGGATCTTATCTGGCGCTCGTTATTGGGAAGGATTCCTTGTTCTTTATGTTCCTGGCCTTTTTCGGGAACTTTGCTCTCATAACTCGCATGAAGAGTGGCAACTGGCTTTCATTGGAGCCATCGGCCCGAATCTCGGGTTGAAAGCAAACTCCGGCATGGGCATAAATATTGCGGGGGATCACCAGACCCAACCCGCCCTGGTAAATGAAATCTACATGACTGCGCTACTGAAGACCCAAGACACACTGCTCAATTCTCATTTTCAGATAGCAAGAGACACTATTCCCCAATCTCTGCTGTATAAAAAAGGCATCACACCATGGCTGTTCCTATGGACTATACCTCATCCACTGTCGTTCGGTCCTATGAGATCGTCTCCTTGCTGTTGCTCGTGCTCGGTATTCTATACGTGTGGCAGAGCCGAAACCCTGTCTATACAGGCATCTACTTGGCTTCTTCCATCGGTGGCGGTGTCATGGAATGGATCTTCGACAGCAAGTGGTACTTCAGATTGACCATCGACTACAAATTCGTCCCGGCATGGGAAATGGCTGGCGAGGTCGCACCTGTTGCTATGGTGCTGTTCTATGCTTTCTTCTTTGGCATTCCTTTGGTTATCTTGATAGACCATAAGGCTACTTTGGAGCGAAGCTTGGGGAAACTCGGTACACACCTCTTTGTGATTGCGCTTGGAACCTTCGGGACTCCTGCCTTTGAATGTCTCAACACCTCCGTCACTCACATATACAAGTACCACCAGCGGGAGGATTATCTGTTTTATGGAATGCCATACTCCAATTTCTGGTTTGGTGCATTAATGGTCAGAGATCCCCTCCGCCCTCCCGCTGCTTTCGCATCGCGATGAAGTGCAAGAAGCTAATGATCGCGGACGAATAGATGTATCTGCCATATTTGGCCCTCGAGGAAGCTGGCGTCTTGATTGGGCTAATTCCTCGAACCAGCTTGACAACCATGCGACAGAAATTGCTTGCAGTCGGTATTGGGTTTTCAGCCGTCATCTCGGCGTTTTTCCTAGCTGCCACCATCAATGGAATCTGGTATGTTATGGCGGGAGATATTTGGACTCCAACGACGCGAGATTTCTAGAGTAAACACAACTGGCTCCGTACCACTTGAGAGACAGGGAACTGGTGACCACTCATCTACAAGTCCACCATCCAGGCCTCTGTTATCGTATTCACAATTCAGTGTTCTTAGCAACCCTTAAATATTACAAGGAAGATGCTGAAGCTCAAAAAAGAACTTGCGAGTAAAGAACGGTGTTTGCGACCTTGAAAGGAGATTGAGTTGACATTGTCGTCTTTGCGTCATGAAATGTACTTTATCTAGCTAATTTATATAACTAAGGATTGGCAACTCTTGGGCGTAGTATGGAGACTCGACAATTTCTGGGTCAACATATTGTCGCACCATCGCTCTGCGTGTCAAAACTCCATTTCTTGGGCGGTGTTCATTGCAAGGCTCTTCATTGGGTCAATCGAAACCGAGACAGAGTACTTGCGTTTGTAATATTCATTTGTTATGCTGGGAAAGCCTCTTGTTATCTACGACAGGATCTTTTACCCCCCGCGCCCTTCAATATAGATCCACGTACCCGTTACCTTCTGCAACCGCCTTGATACTGGAATCGATCTCGAAAGGGCTTCCTTCGTGGAGAACAAAACCGGTTTCATCTCCTTGCATTTCCAGTCCGAGAAGCTGATATATGTTCTGGCTGATCAATTTCATAGCAGCCCGCTCGCCAACCCGGCCACCGCTGTTCTTGTGCACAACACCAGCGAGTAGCCCTAGGTCACGAAGAACCCAGTCTTCTTCCAGGCCTATGACTGTCATGACCCCTGAATCGATCAATATATCGATGCCAGTTCCGTTTGTAAGTGGCGCTCCTGTTAAGGCTCGCCGCTGATCCCATGTGCTACCAAAAGCAAATGCTGGGGAGAGGACAACTCCGACGCGTGCTGAGGCAAGTTCTCGAGCAACCAAATGAGCTTCGGCTCCTCCCACTATGACCAGACGTAGCTTTGCTTCGTTCTCCGTCTTCTTGATCGAGGACATGGCGTCGTCAATGTCTACCTTGACCCTCAACACAGCACTGATCATGTCGGCACTGTGTGCGGTGAGACAGAGTGTCATGTTACCCTGGACAACACGACGCAAGAAGCTCTTTTCCGAGAACTGATCTGTGATTACGGTCTCCCCGCCTGCTGCAAGCTCTGCAACCGCGGCTAGCAGCTTATGACGCAGTGTCCCAACCGTGGCAGACAGAGAGGGTGAAGAGGCTGTTCCTCTGCCACCCTTGACAGATAGATCCAGAGTGTAGTGAACGGCGGCATCCGGAGCAAAGATAGCATTAGGCTGTAAGGCTGTGTCTGCGCTTGACTTGAACCCAACACTTGTGCCGTGGTGGGTATTTATGCCCGCAAACTTGGGTGCTGAGATGGCACGAGTGACCCCGTACTGGCTGGCAATGCGGAGCTTCTCAGTACCCAGAGCCAAGCCGTCTATCCCGCGACTAAAGCTGTCACGATCATCCCCATTGTCTGTGTCTGATTCTGACTCAATGGCATTCAAGCCTAAGGTCGAGCCAAAGGCTGTGTAGGGTGGAGTCAAATATCCATCCTTCAGATGGACTCTCTCGGTGAGTCTCGAGCGAGACATCTCGCGGACTTCAGCCTCACATTGCCCAACACAGATGATCTTACCCTTGGACACTATCACCTTGAGCTTCTCATCTTTGGTTGCAGAGTCATCGGTGGACTCTGACAACAGGTTCCTAGAGATGCCGGTAAAGATCACCACGCCATCAATAGACTTGGACTTGTCCCTGATGACGGAAAGGCCACCCTTAGGTGTACCAATGTTGCCGAGGGGCTTGTTAAGCTCGACTGGACTTTCATACTGGGCGGCTCCGTCGATCCACACCTGGACCGGTGTTGCTCCAACACTCAGAGGGTCGCTGTCCCACACGACGATATCCGCGTCGAAGCCGGATATCACCTTACCTAACCTCTGGCCCAGTCCTAATCTTTCTGCTGGTGCGCTGGTGACTGAAGCCAAGGCAGCGTGATATGGCAGTCCATACCTGTAAGCTTTTGCCGCCTCAAACACAACATGCTGGGCATTCAGAACTGGGTTATCGCTCACGTATATCGTCGTGAGGTTATGATCGTGGAGATGCTTCCCAGCAAACTCGGATCCGATATATGACTCTGCTTTGTACCACATATTGTCTGCGAACAGGGCTGATGCAGGTGGATCACGTCCCCAGGCGCGCTTCAAGATCTGCTGTACTGTCAGCATGTGTTCCCAGGTCTGCTTCACCGAGAACACCAACCTCCGGTACCAAGTATGTTTGGTGTGCGTGATGGAAGGCCTTGACAGGGAATTTGAACTCGTTGGTATGATCAACAAAGGCCTCCAAGTCCGGTATGGTATAGCAGTGGACGTGTACATGGACCTGTCCTCGCAGGACGCCAATGAGAGCTTCCCATTCGATCTTGTAAGGAAGATACGAACGAACGCTGTTCAGGTCTACCGATGCAGCTTGGCACCAGTCATCCTGTTCACGGCGAAGCTTGCTCGCTCGTTCGAAAGCATGTCGAAACTCCCAGCTTTCGCCGAGCCGGCTGAGAGGCCCACGTTCTCCGACCTTGCCATGGACGTGTTTAGCATTTTCACCACATCCCATTTTCATGTAGCGCCAGGTCCTGCCGGGGTCGGCGAGGAGATCCCGCAGACTTGTCTCGTTCCGACCATCGGCACGCCCGACAGCGTGCTTGATGACGAAAGCCTCGCCCCCAATGTTGTTGCTAGATCCTGGCAGTATCAGTGAGGTCGTCACCCCGCCTGACTTGATGACTTGTAACTGGCGGTCCATGGGCTGAATACCGTCCAGAGACCGCACATAAGGTGTGATATCCGCTGATAGTTCACTCACATCCTCGTTGCCCCTGAGCGTCGGTAGCGAATGCACACCGGCATGGCTGTGCATGTCAATGATGCCCGCCGTCAAGGGTCGGCCTCGCGCGTCGTAGATAAGCACATCTCGAGGTAGAGAGGAGAGCTGTATGTCTTCTGCCACGGATTTAATCAAACCGCCTTCGAGAAACACGTCGCTGGCGATCCACGAGTAGCCCTTTCCAGCCCAGGCCTCCTCAGAGGAAGTGCCTTCCGCCGGCTCGCCAGTCCAGACAGTCGCGTTCCGGATCAGAGTCGGCCTCTGGCCTTCCACATAGCGGGCACTGCGGTCCCGGCCAGAGCCTGTCGGATCCGTCGGCGTGGTGTGAAGCTTCGTGCATGTTGCCAAGTCGTGACGTAATCGCTCGATTGAGAGGCCGTGAGCTGTCAGATCTGGGTGTTGTGGGTGCCCTGAAGAGTGAATCTGTCGCCACTGTGCATACGCGATGAACGCAAGACACGCCAAGCCAACTCGGCGTAAGCCTCGAGAGCGGCGAAGCGACGCTCGTCGTCGACCCCAGGATGAAGTTGGCTGTCCGATACCGGCGCAGGGGCCCGCCGGGGCCTTTTGGGTGTCCATCATTCCGGTCCACGAAGCAATAGGAATGCGGTCTCGACAATGTTTCTTAAGGGTGGGGGATATGAAGGCTTTTGGTGCAGTGATTACATCAAGCAGCGAACTGAACCATTGGTCAACTAGAGGCACTGGGTGCGTTACCTTGCATGTCGGAATGGAAGCCTAACTAGCATTGCGTCACAGCAGAGTGAACACTGACCGGGTAAATTGCCATCCACAGAATGAGAGAAGCGGCGGCGAATCCGCGTTTTGCGCTGTTGCCGTCAATGAATTGGGTCTTTCATGCTGGCTTTCTGCCGCTGCAAGTCGAGCAGGTCCTAAGACGACGACGGCTTGGCATTGAAACAAGGCAATAAAACAAGGCGAGATCTCTTGGCGAGTGTCACCACCCCCCACGTGTGCGGGGTCTCAGAAGAGGCCAAACCACGCCGGCAGTTCGGATGGTGGCGCAAGCTAGAAGCTCTCGATTCGCGGATCATTTCGCCGAAGGGGCCCTGTCCATGCTATGCCCCTTGCTTACTGACGACAACCCATGTTCCTTGCCAGCAGGAGGGGGGGCGCTAGTCATATCTCATGTTGACGACAGAATGTTTATGTCTTGCATGTACTTGCTTGAGCTTCATGTATTGAGGCAGTTATCTCTCTTGGCAGACTACGGTAGTCAACGATTGGAGATCCCAAGCTGCAGCCAAGCTCTCGAACGAGTAACGATTGTCAGCAATATTGGCCTTCTCCCATATTGGCCCCAATACATCAGTGAGCCTCAATTGGCTCCTCCTGAGGCGCTCCCGCCAGGGGGGTGTAGTCGTCCTCCACCTTCATGCCGCCGAACAGCATCGAGGGCGGGGCGAGGGCCTGGATCTCGGGAAGGGCCTTGAACACGTAGAACTTCTCGTCGTGCCACTGGCCGGCCGTGATGTTGCGACCCTCGCTGTCCTTGAACATGGTCTCGTTGTCGGCGCGCAGGAAGTACGCGATCGAGTAACGGTGCTCCTCGGCCTTGAAGGGCACGACGCGGTGGATGCAGGACATGAACGTGTGGCCGCTGGCGAAGCGCAGCGAATCACCGACGTTGACGATAGCACAACCCTCCTTGGGCTCCACAAAGCCGAACTCGCGGGTTCCTGGCGGGCGGATCTGCAGCCCCCACTGCTCGGCGAAAAGGAGGGTCAGGGAGCTGATGTCTGTGTGCTTCTGGTGGCCGATGTTCTTGCTCGTCTTGGGGTCCGACGGGACGTAGTGCATCATGGCCAGAGTGCTGGTCGACGGGCGCTCGTTGCGGTGGTTGTGCTCGAAGCGGTCGGTGCCTGTGAGGCCCATGGCGTTGGAAAGAGCACTGAGCAGAGCCTTGGTGACGATGTTGGATCCCGAGATGGCATTCTCCAGGATCTTCATGTCGGTGCTGTTCTTTAGCACGTCGGGAATGTGCGGCTTGCCCTTCTGGATCTCGTCTCGGGAAACCTAAGACGCGTTAGTGGGTATCTCGTATATGCAGCGGACGAGTTAGTGGATCAGTACCTTAACCATCTCGTAACCGTCCTTAGTGTTGGGCAGAACGCCGGTGCGCGATCCCAATCCTTCGTAGCTATTGGTGTTAGTTAGTGATGCTAATATCAATAGACTGAACACGTGCACATACCCGAGATGCGGGTGTACCAGTCCGAATTGGTTCTTGGCCTCCAGGGGAGCATCAAAGAAGCGGTACATGAGATCCAGGGTCTCCTTCTGGTCGTCGAGGAAGCGACGGCCATCCAGTCCGTTCAGGTCGAGATAGAAGAAGCCCTCTCTCTGGCAGCAACGAAGCAGCCTATCGACTTCTTCCTCCTCGGCGGAGAGGATCTTGCCAAAGTCGATGGTGTCCATAGGATAGACCGGGACGGGTGTTCCGTACCAGTCAACGGTCTTGAGCTGCTCAACTGAACCCATGGTGATTTGTCTTGCGTGTTTTACTTCTCGATGGCGAGGACTTTGGAATGGAGATTCTGTAATCTTGAGAACTTGGCTCTCTCCCGTTTTCTCTAGGATTGGGGGGCTTCTTTATATACATCCCATTATCTGCTAGTCCTTCAAATGAGCTGTGGCCTTCCCCGCACCATTGTTCCATGCCTTTATCCGTATCCTCCTTTAACACGCAAGATGTCCATTCATTTTTGAGTTTATACGACACGACCTCTTGGCATGTGATCCCTTCTACAACACGCGCCCATGCATGTTGCCTATGCAAATATGCGGCACCCCGCATTCGGTAAATCATCTCATTGATCAGGGCCCTCTACGTGCGGGTATGAGACATATGCAATACTCCCCAAAGACTGAGCCAGCCAGTCTGCTATTGCCAATAGCGGCAATTGCTCACCACACGCGTTGGCAGGATGAGTGGAGAGAGATAGGCCAAGTTACAATCCCAGAGCTCCATAAGGCTCCTAGTCTACCACACCTTTCCCCACTCGGGCAGGTCCCTAGACAGGCGGGCGCCCCCAGTACAGATTGTCGATCTTGTGCCTATCATCACTCTTGGTGTGGGTATGCACTATGCACCAGACGTGGCTGTAGATTGCTTGTTCATGCTGAAGGACGTGTTGATGAAAAGCTGCTCTGGTAAAGTCTTTATTCCAAGAAGATGTAGATGATGACCGAACGAAACCGTGCTCGTCCAGAGGATAGTATAAGACGTTGGATCCGTTTAAGTCACCACAGATTAGGCTGAAGCTCTTGCAATAACACCGTAGGTCACGCCTCGCGTTGATGTGACATTGGTGGCAAGGAGTGTGGGTATGCCAAGTAGTCTCGTCGACAAGCCTCCGACACTCCGTTGTACCAGAGGCGTGCCATCTTCGCGTAGCCAATGTCGTTCGGATGTGTTCCGTCTGCCAGATCCTCTAGCTGTGGCCCGTCGTCGGGACTGTGCATGTCCACCAACAGTATTTTCTGTCCCTTGTTTTGCCTCTTGATTGCCAGGTCGCGGAATTGGGTATTCACTTCCAATACTCGTTTCTCGATATTTGTGTCCCTGTTCATGAGGAGTGTGGACAAGAGAACAGTTGACCCCGGAGACGCTTCCCACAGAGACTCGATCAAGTTGCTCATGCGGTCGCCAGCTTCTTCTATCCGGAAGTCCTGGACGCAATCATTCGAGCCTGCGTTGACGGTGAATAGGTTTGGTAAGAAGCGGGAGACCGACCGCTGTGCTTTACTGGAAATCTGGTCGATACGATAGCCTCTCCAACCTTCGTGACAATTGTCCTTCATTGACCCAGCGTTCCGCGATCCTGCCATCTCCACATGATAGCCACTTGCTAAGAGCAGTGATTGAAGCATATCTCTATATCCGTTGCCATCAGACGACTCAGGTACGTGATGGATCCTCCAAGCGGCATAATCCGTAAATATACCGCAGAAGGAGCTGTAACTGGACTTCCTGTGTGTGTGTATATGATACAGAGGAAGTCAGCAGTTATAGACACTTGGCCCGTTAGCCCCCCCAAGTGATGGACAGTGACGCACCGTGACTAGTCCAGCGCCTCAGCACTGAGCCTTGTCTCATTGAGTAGCCCGAGCCTGTTGGCATGAGAGCGGAGCGACAAGGTTTCATTGTACTTGATAGGCTAGTCCGGGCAACCATAATGGTCATTCCACGGCCAGGACCATCACGAAACCGGTCTTTGGTGAAGGCGAAGCAATGTTAGTCATCCTGTTCCAATTTATGCTCGCCCACTGTACTTGTAGCCTAAAACTGCGACTCGGCGGTCGGCATTTTTGCCGAAGACCGAGCCAGGACCCCACTTCGTGCCCTCCATTCCTGGCTCAATGGGTGGTCTGCGGTCTGTCAAAGTTGGTTTGAGCCCCTGACTCTCGGACTGGTGAATGCTGCCGAAACGCTGGGATGAAGTCTGTTGCGTATGTGCTACCTTCACTGCCGACTCCTGCGCTAATCACTGTCTGTAGGTGTCGAAAATGCCATGCCAGGAAGGTGAAGTGTCCAGGTGGCCAGCCGTGCCGTGGCTGCATTCAGCTGAAATGTGAGGCCGAGTGCACCTATCCCAAGCGTGATAGACAAGTCAAAGTCAACCAGAGGTAGTTAAAGATCTCTTTTGGACTTGGGACTTCTCTTAACAGTCTCATCAGTTACATTGACCGCATCTTGAGCGAGAATCGGCAGCTACGTGCCCACGCCCATCATTCACAACCCGATGGACCGAGCACGTCGAGATATCTCGACAGCGCTGACGATTCGAGAGAGGAATCGGTGGAGAATCCGGTCTTGTCGGAGAGACCATGGTTCTTGCCCATAGAGTCTTCACGTGTGCCCATCTTCATAGGCGAAGTTGCCGACACAGTCTTCGCCACGCGGTTCCGCCAGGTCATCTCCGATACAACTCCGAATCACATCCCAAGAGTCAATTACCCAGAGAATAGCCAGCTTGAGGAGCTATTAAGGTCACAACTTCCCCATCCCACGAGGACCGAGGCGATGTTCCTGCTTCGATCAGCGCTCTCAAGTATTGATGGCTGCCACCATATTGTCAGAGCAAGCATAGAAAGAGACAATCTGGAGAAGTATCTATCCTCCCCTGGCACTCTTGACGTAATTTTAGAGTGCAAGTTGCTTGCGTTATTTGCTCTTGGAGACCTCAACGCAAACCGGTGGCAGAATCGAGCAGAGCATGTACCTGGGCTGAATTACTTCGCTCACGCGTTGAAGGCGCACGGCCAATTGTTCGAAAGACCTTGCATCGAGTCCCTCGAACTTGACTTATTGCTGGTATGTACACTGGCCTGCTTGTGCGAATACTTTATCTCTGACACAAGACAGTGTCTTTATTCCCTCAGCATCAACCGCAGACACTCGGCCTACCTGTTAGCAAGCTCTGCTGTCCGCTGCGGAACAGTGATGGGCTTGAACTACAACTTGCCGAGGGGTCAGGGTGTTGATGACACGACAAGAGAGCATATGAGCCGCGTGTGGTGGACTGCGTACATCCTCGACCAGAACTGCGCGACACTGAGTGGACAGGTCTTTTCGATAGGAGATTATGACATCTTCGTCGACCTTCCATCGACTTTGCATACTGCCGAGGCACCAAAGGAAGATTTCAGACACACTGATTACCTTGTTGCGAGAATCGCCATGGCGAAGCTTACCAGACAAGCAGTGAAGTCACTCTATAGCAGGACAAAGCACGAAGTCTCATTCCTTCAGCGAGTTCAGTCTGCTCTAAATGGATTAAAAGAATGGCTCCAGTCGCTTCCCCAGCATCTCCAGATTCAAAACAGTGAATCTGTATCATTCGCTGCCAGAACACTTCAGCTTTTGTTCAATCAGGTGAGCAATCTGAGAAACGGTGTTCGTTGTCTTTGTTGCTGACAAGGCAGTGCGCAATTATTACGACGCGCCCGGTGGTCCTTCATGTGCTTCGATTGCAGACGGCACACGAGCGCAGCGCATCTACGCCCGCCGATGTGACACAAAACATGCAGACTCTTTGCGACGCATGTCTGCGGTGTGCTCGGCAATCATACACTCTCATCACAGAGCTGTGGATTGACGGATCCTTCAAAACATTCGATCCCTACCGAACTCGTTATCTCTTTACATGTGCCACAGTTTTGGCTGTTTCCAGTGTCCTGCGCGGTCCTGACGGGCAAGGTGACAGTGATCGAGGCAACTTCGAGCTTGCAGCACAACTTCTGGAGAAGCTGAGTGCTGCGGGCAGCTACACCGCCGCGGAGTACTGTCGCCTGATCGAGGCTATAAAGACTGACATGCAGATCTGCATGAGGCGCCAACAACACAGAGAGAATTCTATGGCGGAGCAATCGCACAGTCACGTAAGAAAACACACCCTAGGCAGCTCGTCCGTTTCAAGCCCTCCATGGCAGGATATCCAAGTTGGAATGGTCTTCTCAGACCCGTCACTAGCGACCTTTCTGACAGAAGACCAACCTTTCTCGGAAGCAATGGACATGTTTTTGGATGACGGGTCACTGGGAAATGTATGCTGGCCATATGTAGGAGAGTTGTAAGAGGGTTCTGTTCATCGTGGCACCTGTTCGAGGAGATGAACGGAAGTGATATCTCCCTTGGGATATCATGAGATCACAGTTTAGTATCTAGAGTTTTCTTAATCCCCGGTAGCTCTGGCAAATCATGATAACGAGCGCAGCTAGTGCCGACGATACTGCTGTCAAGATAATGATCGCACTATATCTTCCAACGCCGTACATCTCTGGCCTAGAAGGACCCGAGATCAAGGCAGCACTGATGGGCCCTACTAGAATGTTGCCCACACCTTGCAGAAACACAAAAATCGCATAAGTGGCAAAGACCGCCGACGGATCGCGGCTCACAGTACGACCCATCGCCACTCGTAGTGTTCCAAAACCGAAGCCGAAGAAGCCGTAAATGATAGCAAAGGTAGAAAGCAATGGCATGGACTTGCCCAGACCCCAGAGAGCTGACGAAGCGGCCGCAGCAGCAATGCAACATGCGACGCTTAGGACGCTTACAGGGATATTCTTGTCGGATAGATACCCAAAAGCAAATTGCCCGAGGACTTGTGCGATTGACATCAAGGCCAATAGCAATGCACCATTGGTGGAAGAGATATCGACCGCGGATGCATAGGACGGGAGAAACACACCGGGGAAGAAGAAGCCCATCCCCTGTATTATGATGGACATACCGAATACCCAGAAGAGTGGATGTCTGAGAAATGTCCAGTCGGTCCTCCCAAGTGCGACGTGCTCGGAAGCTGGTAGGCGCGCCTTGAACAACGGGAGCAGGGGTGCCGTCAAGACGATCATCGCCACAGCACTAGCGCGCAGGGTGGTCTGATGCCCATACTTTGCCAACATGGCTTCCATGGCGAATGGCAAGACGGCACCAGTAGCACCGGACGACGCTGATATCAAGCCAAATGCCATCCCCTTCCGCGCGACCCACCACTCGTTGAGCATGCTTATGATCGGATAAGTGAGAAGGACGAAGCCAAGTCCGTAGACTACTCCCTGAGTTGCAATCAGGCCATTGACTGTTGTGGCAAACGACGCTGTCAACAGTCCCACAATACACAAAGGCCATCCCAGCCAGATCTGGTGTTTCTGGTATTTGGGAAATCGTTTGGTCAACAGCGCGGAAAAGGGAGCCCCGAGATAGTACAGCCCTTGAGCTAATGTTCCGACGAGAGGTATCTTTGCGCTATCGGACTCGAACTCGGGGAGGTGGGAGTAGTAGTTCTGGAAGACACCAAAGGCCATGGGGAATCCTAGATCATGGTTAGATCTAGCGGCACAAAAAGTAGTAGCCGAGATACACACCCCAGAACAACGCCTCAAAGATGAAGCCAGCCATCAGAACCATCCACGCGTCTCTGCCTCCGTCAACCGGCTGAAGCCCTACTTGGGATGAGGCTGAACCCCCTTCATGATCAAAAGTTGAGGCTGGTCTTGATGCGAGCCCGATCTCTTGACCCATGGGACGATCGTGGTTCTGTACACTGGATTCGGTCATGTTCAATGTAGGCTCGAATGAGACTTAAAATCGACTAAAACTAGCCCATTTATAAGCTAAATGGTCGAAGGGGCACGGTGATGAGAGGGGAGAGGGGTGGTAATGAATTTGAAATACTCCGAGATGACATCACTGGAGGACCGGGAAGTGTGGTGTCGGTGCCGAGATCTTTTCGCCGGCGCCCCACTTCATCTCCGAGTACGGCTGTGCTGGTACAGTGCTCCATGCGTCGAGTTGGTAGTCAAAATTCGCGGGTTTGGGACTCATATACGCTATGGTGTGATTTAAAAGTTCAAAGAGCATCCTATCTAAATACCATACAACAAAGTTGGCCGACGTAATGGCCGACTCCTTGCATAAACTCTATCCTCGATATCCGACCAAGGGAAGCCGAGACCTCAGCACGAGACTGCTGCAAATGACACTCAGACTGCTGAGAGCCATCGCCAGCGCTGCCCAGGCCGGATCCAGCCGCGTGTGCCCACCGTTGGACTTGATAGGGTATATCACACCGGCGGCGATGGGCAGCGCAACAACGTTGTAGACCAGAGCCCACGCGAAGTTGAACTTGACGCGCCGAAAGACAGCCCGGCTGAGACTGGTGAGAGTGAGGATGGTCTGCAGGCTCGAGTTGACGAGAACAAACTCGGCGGCCGAGATGGCCACGTCCGATCCGGAGCCAATGGCTATGCCGACGTCGGCGACGGTCAAGGCCGGCGAGTCGTTGACGCCGTCGCCGACCATGGCCACGATCGGCCTGCGGGTCCTCTTGGGGCCTACCCCCATGAAGCGGCCCTCGGTGACGGTCTGGCTCTTCTGCAGGTACTTGACTTGCTCCGCCTTTTGTTCAGGCAGGACACCGGCGATGACACGCTCCGGCTTGATGCCGACCATGGCGGCAACCGCGTTCGCGGTCTTGGCATTATCACCAGAGATCATCCAGACTGCCACTCCTCGCTTGTGAAGAGTGTTAATGACGGGCTGGGACTCGGGGCGTAGAGGATCGGCAGTGGCGAAGATGGCTACTAATGACCAGTCCGCGTCTTCTCCTTCAGCCTGCCGTTTGACAGCCGTGAGCACGACCGACTTGGCCTGGTCCTTCCAAGTGTCGAGCTCGTCTAGAGCAGATTGCTCCACCACTACACCGTGGTCCTTCATGAGTGCCTCGTTGCCGACAATGACCTCGAGCGTGCCAGATTGCGATGACACTTCGAAGAGCCCTTTCATACCTTTGCCGGCAATCTCCTGAATCTTCTTGGGCTTAAACTTTGTCCCAGACAGGTGCCTCGAGTCGCAGAATGCAACAACCGCTTTTGCGATAGGATGACTGCTATTCCCTTCCAGCTCTTTGACGCAGCCAAGAGCCGTAGCCTTGTCTATTTGGGACGCCTTTGAGAGGAAGAATCGGTGGTCCGTCAATTTGGGCTCCCCGCCCTCTGTCAATGTTCCGGTCTTGTCGAACACGATGATGTCGATGTGGCTCGCTTCCTGGAAGGCCTCACCGCCACCTTTGGCAAGGATTCCATGCTGTGCAGCCAGGCCTCCGCCGACGAACAGAGCCGTAGGGGCAGCCAAGCCGATGCCGCAAGGACACGCGATGACAAACACGGCGATGGCGAACTGCAGAGACCAGTAAGGCCAGCCACCGACAGAGACTGTGAGATAGTCCTGGGGCAGTCGACCAGAGACCCCGAGGCCAAGCCAAATCAGCCAGGTTGCGATGGCCAGGAGGGTGACGACGGGGACGAAGTATCCCGTGATCTTATCAGCCACCCGCTCGATCGGGGCACGGCGAGCCTGGCCTTCTCTGACCACCTTGATGATCTGGTCGAGTAGAGAATCGCCGGAAGCGCCAGTGATGCGCATGGTGATGGGTCCGCCCTTATTCACCGTCCCGGCATAGATAGGATCTCCAACTGCCTTTTTGACAGGCTTCGACTCTCCCGTGAGGCTCGACTCTACGAACTCAGCCTCGCCGTGGGTGAGGATGCCATCCCATGGGGGAGAGCCACCGTGCACGACACGGACCAGGTCGCCGGTGTCAATCATGTCGATGCTGACGGTCTCCGTCTGCTCAGTCTCGTCCTTGCTTCGAGCCGGTGTGACGAGCATGGCGCTCTTGGGACGGAGGCTTCCGAGCTTGGTCACGGCTTCGCCCGTCTTTGCCTTGCTGTACGCCTCGATCAACCGCCCTATCAGGAGGAACATGGTGAGGAAGACGACCGAGTCGAGGTGGGTCATGCCCTTCATGTGGTCCCCTTCGGGCATCGTCGTGGCGACGATGATCTCGGCGATCGAAGCCCAGTAGGCCACCGAGGTGGCAAAAGAAACGAGCATGTCCATGCTGCCGAAGCGATAGAAGCGCCTGAGTATGGGGACTGAACTTCCCGGTCTCCATAGAGCGTATAGCTCCTTGATGGTGCGCCGGTGAAAGACGTCCGCGCAAAAGAAGTAGACGGGTGTGGCGATGACTAGGAGGGACCACTCGGCTCGGGAGACACCTTTCAAGGGCTCCATAAGGTAGTGTTTACCAGGATTGTCCGAGGATAGGAGGTTCATGTATACGATGCCAATGATGAGAGAGGGGATGGCTGCCGCAACTGCAAGCAGAACTCGATAGAAAAGACGGCGGCGGGATCGTGCGAGCATTTGTCGTGATCGCTCCTCTACTGTGGGTGGATGATAGATGGCGGGGGAGAAAGCGGGATCGGCACCAGAGATTTCGGCCAGAATAGCTCTCACAGTGAAGTCCGGCGCGTCGGGTTGGTAAGTGAACGACATGATGGGCCGCTCAAGAGTCGGTGATTTGCCCACAGATACTCGGTCTCCAAATTGCTGCAGTGCCGCAGTCACCTTGCTGGGGCAATGTTGACAGTACATTCCATCGATGCGCACCGCCACAGTTCGCTTGGTGGTCTTCTCTTGCTCTTGTCCGAGATCTTCAATATTGTTGAGAGTTGCGTCGTAGCCGTCTTCCTTGATGGCCGCGATGATGTCTTCGACTCGATCCCGCCCTTCAAAGACGACAGTGGCATTGTGCGTGACCAGGTTCACGTTGACATCCGATATCCAAGGCAGCGATTCGAGAGAATGTGTGATTTTGCCGACGCACGAGCTGCATGACATGCCGCTGATCGTGAATGAAGCCTGGCACCTGTCGCCCTTCTTCTGAGCTTTGGCCGGTTCTTCAACATCACCAACTTCCTCTATGGCGGCTTCGTATCCGATGTCATCGATGGCATCAACGAGCTTCTGCGGGTCGCCCACCTCATAGAACTCCACATTAGCCGAGCGGGTGAGGAGGGCAACGCTAGCAGACTTGACCCAGGAGATTTCCTCGAGAGTCCCTGTGATCTTGCTGACGCATGAGCTGCAGCTCATCCCATCGACGGAAAGGACAGCTCGGCGTAGTTTTGGCACATCTGACTTGCCGGTCGTAACCACGAGGGCAGATTGTTCTTGCTCACTAGAGGCCTTGGATGTCGAGGGTTTTAGTTTGTCGCCTGATGCAGCTTCCTGTAGTGCTTCCCGGCAAGGCTTGCAGTGCTCGGCATGGCGCCGCCTGGTGGTCTCCTCGTCCAACTCGGCTCGGCTACGGCGACTCCAGGTGTGCAGGGCTCGGCCGAGCCAAGGGAGGGGAAATGTGTCGTCGGCTAAGTCCGGAGCCTCGTCGGAGGGAAATTCATCCCGGGATGGGTCGTCCTCGGGAAAGATGCTATCGACGCCGTAGCCATTCTCGATGAGGGCATCTGCCGCTTTGTTGATGTCGAAATCGGGCTCGTGAGCGACGGTAACGCTATGGTTCACAATCGAGGTCTCGACGCTCCGTATCTTGGGATCCAGGCAGGTAAGAAGGGCCTCGATGAAGGATGTGCATGTCGGGCAGTGGATGCTGGGGACCAAGAGAGTCGTCCTGCTCAGGGGAGCCGACGCGCGCGGTCGCGAGTCTCCTTTCATTTTATGGGGTTGAGGGTTGAAGCTTGCTTCCACCAGGATTAGTTATTGCAAAGTTATCAAACGGATGGTTGTTCGTGTTCTTCTTTGGGCGAGGGACTCGGCTAATGAATGAATGGTCCTGGGCGTCAATTCTGCGATCAGAATCGTAGGAGTGGATTAGTCAAAGAGGAACAGAACGGCCAAGATGTGACAGCGGCTGGGAGTCTCTTGCGGTCTTTGTGCGCTGCTGATAAATGAATGCTTGGCCAAGTGAGTCAGATGTTGCTTTTGCTCGAAGCTTTGTTGGCGGTTGGCCCATCTTCAGCAGAGTTCAGCTAATGATTTGAATGCTTGGAGGGGCGGAAGAAGGAGACTCATGTGGCCACATTCCGGCCCGCATGGACCCACCTTTTGCGGCCTTTGTGCGTGCGTGACGGCCTACCGTTGCCGTGCCCCGCACGCGAGTCAGGGCCCCGATGCGCATTTTGTGCGCCGTTCTGAGGCGCTATGTCCGCGGCCGGCGGTCTCGTTCTCGGACCTTCCAGAAGGTTGCCGGAGCTACGAAGAGGTGTGCTGCGTATCGGAATCGGACACGTCGCCATGCGAAGCTGCGGTCAACCTGGAATGCTCAAGTGCCAACCACTCTGCTGAAAGAAGCTTTGGCACACTGCCTACCACGTAAGCTAAGAATAGATGTTGGGATTTTTAATCACCTGTCCTTGCTTTTGTTCTTACACCAATTCAACACAAGGTCTTGTCCAGTGAATAAAGAGATATGACCTTTCACATGTTACATCATGGAATGACTCTAGCCAAATGCAGGTACCTTCTCCATAGACCACCAAGATCGACTCGATGCTTTCGGCAACAGAAGGGTAACTAAGTCTTCTAACGCTAAATAGCAATGTGGCGAGTAGTATCCCTCTGCGAAGCCTTGATCCTGAAACCAATATGGGAAGAATCCCCCCAGTCAGGGAAGAAAGGATGTCAGATGGCATTGGTTGAGCCTAAGCCCTGAATCAAGCCTGTGCGAGGGAAACGACTCTGTCCTTGTTGGCTCCTCCTTGATATTGTGTGGCACAAGGTACTTACTGATGCTTCTTTCTGCTGGAATCAACAGTATCGAGAGTGCATCGGACTTTTCAGACAAAATGGAGACAATGAGGGTGCTTCAGCCTGACGGAGACGCCGCTCCTGAGCTGAATTATTCAGTCGTACAAATCTGACTTCGGGCCATGCGCACACAAACCGACGCGATGAAAGCTCCCCGCTTATTCCCTTGAACTTGCCAAGAATGCAAAGCTACTTTCCGACCTTCTTGGCAGGCACAGTCTCCCTGAAAAGGGGCTATTGTGCTACCATGGTGGTATGGGCAAACTGTAGCAGAGAGTCGGTGTCCAACCCTGACCACCACAGCCGAAATTTCGACATTTCGGCGCTTGCGGGATTAATAGTCTAAGTCATCAATTGGAGTGCCTCGTTATTATAGGACAGCTTAAGAGATCGGTCGTGGAACGAGCGGCAGGTCCTAAAAATAATGCCGAGAGGTGCAGAACCATTGCTGGGATTTCAAACGTATATATATCAGACACAGCTATCGACAGAGACAGAATAATGTCTTGAGTCATCGTCAATTAAACCTCCAGTCTCCAAAATTGATCTTACCATTCCAACATCGACATAGAAGTCAGAACGCAGAGCTTGAGATATTGCCACGTTCCCGACGTGGTTCCACCAAAAGACCGCGGTGCTTTAAGCTGGGATCACCACCTGAGCGAGCGAAATGGACAGTGAACATCCATTCCTGATCCCTCGGCTGAGTATCATACGAGAGACTTGTATGTTGGCAACCATTGTCTGTACTCAGGTCATCGTACTTGCAGGCTTAGCTCAGGGCATTTTCCCCGATGTTGCGATTGGGAGGACCCTCGGTACCGATGGATCGACAGAGAGCCTCTGGGGCCCAGCTGCTTACGGCCTCACCTCTGGCGCATTTATGCTTCCCGCCGGGCGTATCGGAGACATGTACGGTCATCGAAGTTGCTACATCGGCGCGTGGGTCTGGATGGCGCTGGCATCCTTTCTTACCGGCATCAGCGCCTTCTATCACTCCTTCGTCTTCTATGCCGTCTGCAGAGGGCTCCAGGGAATGGCAGCGGCCATGCTCGTTCCATGTGCACTGGCTATACTGGCCCTGGTGTACAAAGAAGGACCACGGAAGAATCTTGCCTTTTCGCTCTTTGCCGCGGGGTCGCCCGTGGGGTTCACCCTCGGCGGACTCTTCTCTGGGCTGATCGAAGCGCACGGCTGGTGGCCGTGGATCTTTTGGGCCACTTCAATTGCATGTGGCAGCCTTGTCATTGGTTCCTTGCTCTCGATCCCAAAGCTACATGAGTTTGACAAGGAGCCAGAGCAACAAGCTCAATCTATATCAACTCCGGAGAAAGCTAGTTTCCGCCGAGACTTCGACTGGGTTGGGACTCTGATCGGAGTTTCCGGTCTGGTACTGTTCAACGTGGCTTGGAATCTGGCCCCAGAAAAGGGATGGAATGCTCCGTCGACCATTACTACAGTCATCATCGGCCTCATCTTGCTCGCCGCCTTTCCGTTCGTGGAACTCCGGGTCAGGCAACCGTTGGTACCTATTGGCCGCCTTTCCTCCAAGAGTCTTTTTGTGTTGGCTGTCATTGCCTGCATTTTCGCTAGCTTTGGGATTCTGATATTCTATCTCGTCAACTTCATTATACGACTCCGCAACGGGAGCGCCTTGGAAGCTGCAGCACAGTTTGTCCCCATTTCCTTCGCAGGGCTGGCCGCGTCGTATCTCAATTCCTTCCTGCTCAAAAACAAGATCCAACCTGCCTCCATCCTGTCTTTCTCATGCATATGGTTCATCGTCGGCAATGTGCTTCTGGCAACGATGCCAGCGAATCAGACCTACTGGGCCCAGGCATTTTGGGCCAATGTCTTGTCGCCGCTAGGCATCGACCTGAGTTTCCCGTCCGCCACACTGCTCATGAGCCAGTTGGTCCCTCCGAAGGAGCAAGGCATAGCAGCATCTCTGATTGCTACTGTGGTCTACTATTCGCAATCCATTGGTCTTGGTATCGCTGGAACCGTTGAGACCCGTGTAGCCGACGGCAGTCTCATGAAGGGTTACCGCGGAGCATTTTACACAGGAATTGGTTTGAGCACCCTTGGGTTCTTGCTTTCTCTGTGGCCAGTGCTACAGCTACATCTCGATCGGAAAAAGTAAAGCTGTTTTAGCTCGATTGCTTTGTTGACAGGGATTGACTTCTGCGGCAAATCTACTGAAGCATAGCATAAGACTGGCGCTTCAATTGATGCTGTTGCATGAGGTATAGACGGCTTGATTAAGATGGTTTATCGCAAAGGTTCACAAGTATACGGTCGATTTGGGAAGAGATTTGTACCTCCAAACTTGGTTTAAGAAGCATATTTGGTCGACAGGACTTTAAAAGGAACACTCTTTTATTCGTGCTTGCTTTGTTGGATGCTATGATCTGCATTGCTGAGGCTATCCCCTAGGATTGCATTATGATGGCACTTACACCTTCAGCGCAACGTGGATCGACTTGGACTGCACATATTCCTTCACCGCCTCCAGGCCGCTCTCACGTCCATATCCGCTTTGCTTGAAGCCTCCCCAGGAAGTGAATTTGCTTGGCCAGTGGGCGCTGTTGATAGACAGAGTTCCCACTTCAAGCTTCGAAGCAACTCGCAAAGCCCGAGCAATATCAGACGTGAAGACAATACCTATCAGAAGTTGTTCAGTGTTCCATCCCAGCATAAGAGTGGATCAGGGTCTAACTTACCGGACAACCCGTACGAGGTATCATTTGCCAGCTCAATGACCTCCTCCTCAGTCTTGAAAGTACGGACTACAAGCACCGGCCCAAAAATCTCCTCCTTGTACACTCGACTCTCAAGCCCCGGGTTGAGCAGCAGAGTCGGAGTAACATAATGCCCCGCGCGCTTCTGCTCTTCCCCACCAACAAGCACCTCGATGCCATCCGCCTTTGCACCTGCAATATACTCGTTGACCCGCTCGGCCTGGGCCTTGTCGACCATGGGTCCGAGGAATGTCTTGTCATCTGCTGGTTCGCCCAGAGCGTGCGTAAGTCCCATCCACGCCTGCTTCAGCCCGTCGATGAATGTCGGTGCGATGCTCTCGTGGACAAAGAGGCGCGACGCCGCCGAGCAAGCCTGAGAGTTATTGATCAAGAAGTTCTGGGAGTTGTGCTTGATCGCATTCTCGATGTTGGCGTCCTCAAACACGATCGAGGCCGACTTGCCGCCGAGCTCAAGCGTGACGTGCTTGAGGTTGCTCTGTGCGGCCGCGACCTGCACCTTGCGGCCAGCCGCCTTCGAGCCAGTGAATGCAATTTTGGCAATCCCCATGTGCGAAGCGAGCAGTGCGCCAGTCGCGCCACCTCCCGAGAGGAGATTGATTACTCCGGGAGGAAAGCCGGCTTCCTTGACTAGCTTGCCCAGGTAGATGGCGCTGAGTGGGCTGCGCTCCGAGGACTTGTGAACAAAGGTGTTGCCCATGGCCACAGCTGGTGCAATCTTGATTGTTGTTAGTATGTATGATGGAGAGATCTGAAGCCCTGGCAGCAATAGAACTCACCTTCCACCCAATAGATAGCTGTGTTCCATTCCAGGCCGAGATGCCGGCGCAGACACCCAACGGCTCATATGTAATCATCTTGAATAGGCCATCGCCATCTTCGTTGAACGTCTCTCCATGGACTTTGTCCGTGAGTCCGGCATAGTAACGGAAGGATGCCGCCTGGCTGGCTGCCATCATGCGGGTGAACATGATGGGCATACCCATGTCGGTCGACTCAAGCTGAGCGATCTCTTCGGCATGTTGCTCAAGGAGGTCAGCATACTTGAGCATGATAGCGGCGCGCTCGGCGCTTGGAGTGCATCTCCAGGTCTTGAAGGCCGCCGCGGCTGCCGCAACAGCTTTGTCGACGTCCTCTTTCGAAGCGACCTGGACCTGGTCGGTGACCAGGTTGTCGTTTGCTGGGTTGAAGACGGGTATTGTCTCCCCTGAAGAGGAAGGAACATACTATAAAATGGCAATGTTAGAAAGACCCTCTGTCGGCTCTTGCATATAAGTCCTCGTGAAGATATTCCATACCTCGTTGTTGATGAAGAGGCGGGTCTCGATCGTCATTTTGGGCGGCAAGGGCTAGTTTGAGAGCAAGGTACGATACTATGAGAAGCTGAGAACAGAATGGCAAGTAATTGAGACAGGGAGACCAGATATACCGACTGCTTTAAACATCAATCTTCTATCCGGGCATCCGGGCTGCTTTTGAAACTGTTCGACCGAATCCGGACGTAGCCGGCCGAATAGCTCGTAGAGAAGAACTCCACAAGTTGAAACATCTCCCCTGGAATGCAATGACTCGAAAGTATCACCTCGTCTGATGTATTGCATCCTTGAACCTGTAAGCACTAAGCAAGTCACGGTTACATTATTGCAGGGAAAACGCCTACAGTCCAGAATCTGGTCAGGGTACTACCAGGAAATGAACCGAGTCGACCGAAGATATGCTTGCCAAGACGGATTCCCAGATCCCCGCCTGGCTGGTGGAGTTTTAATTGGTCCATCAGCGTCACCAGTGGCTACGAGTCAAATCTCTCCGACTACGACCGAGTTCGGCCGACTAAAAGTGGTGTGTGTCTTCGAACTTTGTGGTTTGCGCACTCACTTCCGTAATCTACACTTTCGCTTCGTGGTCGTGCACAACATGAACGAGCCAGCGTCCAAGAAGCGCCGCGTGCGTAAGGGTACGCGAAGTTGCTGGGAGTGTACGTAACTTGGACCCATCCCCATCCGGCTTCACGTATGATTGTGAAGGGTTTCCTGACTGGTTGCTAAACTCTTGACCAGGCCGTAGACGCAAGGTCAAGTGTCGCTTCGATCATGAGGGCGATGTGAAGTGCCTCAACTGCATCGATTATGACACCCCTTGCGTCTCGCAGAAGGATTCCGAGGGTCCCGGACCAAGCCTCGCTTCTACAACGCAAGCGACCCCGTGTGGAGAGGCGTCCACCCATGAGCGTGAGGATGGAGCCTTGACTCAACGCATAGACCGACTGGAGCAGCTACTACTCAAGATCGCCAGTGGTGAGCAAACAGCGGCTGTTGGGCTGCCACCGTCCACCACTGTTACGGCAGAGGGTCCCAGGATGCTGTCTTGCGCGCCAATGAACGACCTCTTCAATGGGTCGGCAGCGACGAATGCTCACGAAATTGCGGCAGCCAACAGCACTGCTTTTAATGAATCAATCTTGACTCCGGGGTCGTCAGAAGTCACTATACCAAGAAATGCAACTTCAACCGCGCATTCTCCAGTATCCCAAGAGTCTTCCAGCACTACCTACACGCATGTACTCGCCCAGCAAAAAGGTACGCAACAGCGCCTTCGACAGCTATCCTTCAGGTTGCATGCTCTTCTTCCTTCTCCGGATCTACGAAATGTCCTTGCTTTCGAAAGCCCAGGGGCATCCATGATCCTCGGTTGTGCGCACTCCAGAGACGACCAGATTGCCGGCAGGACTGAACCTCACTGGTCCTTGGCGTCCGCATCGTGGCCAACTCGGGACACTCACCCGGTGCTCATCGCAAAGCGCCTCATTCAATACTCCGTATGCATGCAGTACCTACCTCCCAACATGGACCCCACTCGGATACAGCTTCCTGATCACCAGCAGCCGTGCGAGCTTGTTGGCCAGTGGATTGCTACTGTCACTGACCTGACTGGCGACGACGAGCTCATGGGATGTGCAGAGGGCCTAGAGGTCTTGACACTATTGAGCATGTTTCAAGCCGAGTCTGGCCATCTGCGCCGAGCATGGATGACCACACGCCGTGCGCTAGACCTCGGTCGCCTCTTGGGCATAGATCGACCGGTACCGCCTCCCATACGCTCGTGCGCGGCACAAAGCGATCCTAAGACAACGCCGTCGATGACGATCCTGTGGTACCGACTTAACTGCAGCGATCGATATCATTCTCTCATTTTAGGTCTCACGCCCAGTACGCACAAGGACAACTTCATCCATGCCACGCCCGTCTCCTCTGAGAGAGAACTGGACATTCTCAGCAAAGCGCATTCGGTCATCGCTCGCAAGATAGCGGACAGGAATGATCTTCCACCCAGGTCAACCGAGGCATACTCGGTCACCCAGAGTATTGAGGAAGAGTTTGAGCGAGCTGCCGCTGAGATGGGCCCCGGCTGGTGGGAGAGCTCCTTTGTGCATAGCGCCGTTCTCCCAGACCTGACGTTGTGGCGAGGATCCACGTCGCAAATCATGTCAGCTCGCTCCAGACTGTACATGCAGGTGCGGCACTACACGCTGCTCATCCTCTTGCATCTGCCATTCCTTCTGCAAGTCGGGAACGGGGGAACATATGCTCACAACCACGGCTCCTGCATGAGCGCTAGTCGTGCTGTGCTTGAGCGGTTCCTCTTCTTCCGCAAAGGGAACTTGATGAACATTTCAGGCAGGCCGATCGACTATTCAGCCCTTATTGCTGGCATGACTCTTTTGCTAGGGTATCTGGTCAGGGGAACTGGCGACGATCGCAAGCAATCAGACAGGGAGCTTGTGGAAGAGACGTTAATTGCATTTCGGGAGCTTGGGGCGTACAAGCGAGACCCTCTCGCGGCCGAATCCGCAGAAACACTGAGCCAACTCCTCCCCATTATTACGACGAACAGTAGCCAGCATCCTCTGCGTCTAAAAGTACCGTTCCTCGGCACAGTCAACATCACTGCGAGACCTACAACGGCCGCTAGCTTCGATGCGCAACCTCCATCTGGCGGTTTTCCCGGACCAACGCCGTTCCCAGGATCAGTTGAAACAAACTTCGAACTCGATGCACGACCGCTTCTCACATTCGACACTACTGGTATCCCAGGTTCTAATCCCGACGCTGCCTCGGCGAGCGAGGAAACCAATTGTTCCTACGTGCCGCCTGATTGGGAGGATTGGGTGTTTCAGGGAATTGACACCACGTACTGGTCGACTCTGAACGACAGCGTCAATGGAATAGCTGAGAACCCTTTTAGCGGAACGACATGAGTGTTACACAGCCGAATTGAAGATTTCCGACATGCTCGTTATCACGGAGTCGGCTATCTCATTGCAATCCCGCTGGTGGCTTGGCTGGCTCCGTCTCGCCGCGGTTGTGTCTCTGAGATGGAACCAGCCAGGCCGTGCGCGTTGTGTGTGGCGGCCGCCTGCGGGACCGATCCTACGACAGGTGTTTCATCCCTTGGCAGGCATTTAAAAGAGGTCAACCCCCTCCATTGCCCCCCAGCTCCGGCTCTCCGTCCCCATTCAAGTTCATCGCTTTCTTTTGACAAAAGATATCAGACTTTATCGAGATTACAATGGCTGCACAGACTCCAGTCTACCACTACCTAGACATCGGGAGGTTAGGAAGAGGGGAAGTGGTCCAGTGAGTGATGATCCACATCCCAGCAATTGTGACCTTGGAATGACTGTTGGTAAACTAACGAGTGCGATGTCTACAGCCTCTTCCTGAGGGATGCAGGAATTGCCATCAAAGATGTACGCTACAAGTTTGATGATACTTGGCCCGCGACAAGCGAGAAGTTGCGCCAACAGGGCATCACCAGGACTGGAAAGTTGCCCGCCCTTGAATACAAGGGCACAGTCCTCACTCAGGTAAGCCGAATTGCCTCGCGTGCGATGCAATGGGCTCTCTCTTACACATATGGCAGCATGTCCCCACACTACGTTACCTAGCTCGTGACCTGGGCCGCTACGATGGCGAGACCAACTTGGAGAAGTACCTCGTCGATGCTGTCGCGGACGTTTACATCGACTGGAGGGTGAGTCGGCCCCTGTCACTGTTGAATAGCTTCCCAAATCTGATTGTTAGGTAGGCCAAGTGGGTAGAGTCACTGTCCGGTGCCAGTGACGAATACAAGAACGATTATGTGCCCAAGTACCATGACCTTGTGGCGAGCTACTATTCGGAGCGCGGCGGACCCTACCTGCTTGGCGACAAGGTTACGTACGTCGACTTTGCCATCTACCAGTCTATCGACAATGAACGTAGAACGGGAACCCTTCCAGTGAGCATCATGTTTACCTAGGCCGAGGAACTGCTGCTAACCGTTGGTTGATAGTCGACACTGCCAGAGCCACTGGTCAAGTTGGAGGACGCCTTTAAGCAGAGGCCCAATATTGCGGAATATCTCAAGGAATAAGACAGCCCATTGTTTGGGGTTAGAGTCCTGTAGCTTTAAGTTGGTTGTTCAGCATCGCTGCACGCGGATCTAAAGCCCGATGTCTGCATGTGCTATGACCTATCTGGTTGTCCCCACTGGCGGCTCGCCATGCCGATCTCTCCCAGTCACATCTGTCAAATTGTCGGGAATTACTAATGCCGCCGCGCCCTTGATCCGACAACGGCATTCTTCGATTGGCTGCTCTGGCCTGAACCCTTGACGCTCACAAGTGCCTGGAAACGATGAAGGAAAGCATATGCCCGTGGATACGTAGAGGCAGAAAGGCGTCTGACAGACATGCCCAATGTAGATAGACAATCTGTCAGCCCCAATTCGGGTTCTTGTCCAGATCCCGACGAACCATGGCCTTCCGATCCACCCCACCAAAACGCCCATCCATCTCGTCATCCGCCCCGGTGCCGGCCCAGAAGTGCAGATTCAGACCTGTAGGATTTCCGAGGCGCGCCCTACGCTCTACAATCCCGGGAATAAGCGTGTGTGCCCTCCGTAAACAGGACCCATTGGGAATCTCCATACCCCAGAAAATGCTTTTCCCCCAATATGTAATGTAGAGTTCAGTTGGTGACTCAGTATTCGAAACAGTCACAAGTAGCACTCCCTCTTTTTCTTAAGACACGCTGCCAGGCCTCGTTGCTTCATCACCGGCACTGCTCAATGAGGATCATATCGACTGCTCCACCATGTCCAACACGCCGGATCTAGAAAAGGAGGAGTGTGATGGCGACCCCGTCGTTCTGCGCCGCCGTTCCGATTCCATCTCAGCTGAGAGCGTGCATACCCAGAATCCCGCACCCGCGTTGGCGTCCCAATCCCTCCAGCCTGTCGAATCTCAGGACCCCTTCATACCTCCAGACGGCGGGCTCGTGGCATGGAGCCAACTCATCCCGGGCATCGTCGCCAACGCCCTTAGCTGGGGCTATGGAGCGGCCTTCGGCGTCTACCAGCTCCACTACAAACAGACGACGGACTGGTCCTCGTCCCAGATCTCGTGGATCGGCTCCATCCAGACCTTCCTCGTCTTCTTCGTCTGCGGCCTGTCCGGCCGGCTCACCGACGCAGGCTTCGTCCGGTCCACCACTGTCGTCGGCGTGGTCCTGGCCGCGTTTGGCACCTTCATGACCAGCCTCGCGACGCAGTACTGGCACTTCATCCTCGCCCAGGGCATCTGCACCGGCGTCGGGCTGGGCCTGCTCTTCATGCCCGCCGTCACCGTGCTCAGCACCTACTTCAGGCGGAAGCGCGCCTTCTTGCTGGCCCTCGCCGCCACGGGCACGAGCCTGGGCGGCATCGTCTTCCCGGCTACCGTGCAGTATCTCATCCCGACTATCGGCTTTGCTTGGGCCGTCCGCGTGCAGGGCTTCATCGTGCTGGGCATCGGCGCTGTGTCGATCACGATGCTCCGCCCGCGCTTGCAGCCGCGAAAGGCCGGCCCTTTCATGGAGTTCGCGGCCTTCAAGGAGCTACCGTACGTGCTGTATGCCTGCGGTGCGTTCTTCTTCTTCTGGGGGCTGTATTTTGGCTTCTTCTACGTGAGTAATCCCACATGAATCAAGGTCAGTAGGGCAACTAACAATCAGACGTGGATAGATCAACACGTACGCTCGCACCGTCATCGGATTCGAGACGACGTCCTCGATCCAGCTCCTCCTCATCACCAACGCCATGGGAATACCAGCTCGCGTCTTCAGCGGCTATGTCGCCGACTATGTCATCGGCCCTATGAACACCTACATCGTCGGAGGCGCCATCGTCGGGAGCATGATCTTCGCGTGGATGGGCGTCCACGACAGGACAGGCATCTACGTCTACTCTGCCTTTTACGGCTTCGCGGTGGGAGCTGCGCAGGGTGTCTTTATCGGCTCGCTGGCCAGCCTGACCACCAACGCGAGAAAGTTGGGTACCCGGGTCGGCATGGTCATCACGATTGGCGCCTTTGCCTCGCTGGCGGGTGCCCCGACGGCTGGTGCCATTATCGATCAGGACGGCGGGAGGTACCGCTACGCACAAGTCTGGGGAGGGCTGGTGTTCCTGACTGCGTCCATGCTGATCGCCGCAGCAAGATTCGTGCGGACCGGATTCAAGCTCTTCATAAAAATATGACGGATGAGTGAGCATAGAGGCACGACTTTGAGCACACGACAAGTAATGATATTGGTATGAACTTTCAGACATAGAGTGAGTAGTAGTATTATTAAAGGTTAAACATTACGTCTATATCATGGTTCGTTTCGGTTCGTGTCAAGGCATTGGCTATGTGTTCCATGAATTTATTACAACTCGTTCTGCCGCTTCTCCATCTCGCCTTCTTCATCTTCGTCTTCGGATCTATCGTCCTTGGCGATATTGTGTACCACGAAACGGTATGCGCTTCGCAACAGGCAGTACAGCCAAAAGAGGTTGAGAGCCTGGAGCAGTGCGAGAAGGACAAAGGTGACAACATTCGAGATCCAGCACTTGTATTGCTCCGTCTCCCAGTTCAGCTCGTACGGCCCCACGGTTCGGAACTCTGTCAACAAAGAGTAGAGGATCCGGATGTTCAGGTAGTGTCGGAGATAGATCCAGACGCCGATGTTCAGGGTATAGACTGGCCCAATGAATCTGCTTTCAAGATAATGAAGAGACTTGGAGATCTGTAACCCACCAGGCTGTTAGACCTTTTCCCGTGTAAATCCTTTCTCGTGATGACGCTGGTGTACTTACCGCAAGGAACACATCACTGACATCATGCGTGATGTATACCGCGACGCCAATGTGGGTAAAATGGAACCGATAGCTCAGCCAGATGAGCGATATCGTTACGATGTGGTGCGCCACGAGCTCTTTAAAGTCCTTGCGCCGCTTCTCCTGGCCCAGGACCATGACCATGGCCTGCTGTACCCAGTAAGCCGCCTCGAACAGGTAGTAGAACTTGAAGGCGCCGTCGAGGGTCCGGTGCGGATATGCCTCGTACATGCCGCGCGTGTCAAAGTACCACACGGGCGTGCGCGACATGACGTACAGGCCCAGAGGTCCCGTGAAGGAGAAGTAGATGGCCGTGTAGGCCTGCTCCATGAAGCGCAGCTGCTTGCCGCGCGTGGCGATGCCGCCGCGCCGCGCTAGGGGCCGCAGGATCTCCTGCATGATGAACTCACGCGTGAAGGTCAGGACGATGGCGTAGAAGGCGACAAAGGTAAAGTCTCGAGGACCCTTGCCGTACTGCGCGAGTCCCAACGATGCGCCGTCTGCCGGGGCGACTTTGTAGGAGAGGAAGATGAAGCGGTGCACGATGTTGGACTCAGTTGGGTTGAAGGTGTAGGCGACACCGAAGGCAACCAGGAGGAGGAGCGGAACGGTCCAAGTGTGTTTGTTCGCAAAGCGTCTGAAGCGGTGGAGGGGGTCTTTTGAACGGCGGCGCTTACTTCGATGGGTGCTGGAACGACCGCTTCTCGAGCGCGGTCCATGTTCTTGGACGATGTGTCTCGCTTGTCCCCGGGACCGGACCGCACTCTCGTCGCGCATCGTGGCAGATGATACCCCAGCCAGAGGTTGTAGAAGCAGTGATTCCTGGGTTGCTGTCGAGGCCATTGTTTCCGTCACAGTCCGTCCGGGCTACGGATATCGTGGATCGATTGCTAAAGCACGGTAAGCAGACAGACAGCACAAGACACCAGAAGAAGGCAACAGGAGCAATGAGCGTCAAGATGAGGAAAGAAGTCAGGATTAAGATTTAGGGCTACTCATAAGCATTTGCTCGACGTCAGCGCCCCACCCCAAGACAGACTTTGGGAGTGCTCTATTAGGGGTCAAGGCCCGGCACACGGAGCGGGAGCGCAGCGTGTGCCAGTCCACCGGGAACACGGCTGATGCAGGTACCCGATGGTCAGATTGCAGGGCTTCCACCCAATGGCCGATGCCCTTCTACGGCGGAAACTCGCCATTGGAATAGTTCTTTGGTCAACAGTCCATACAGACTCTGGACAGCAAGGGAGCGAGATTCGGGAGGTCCACTTCGGGGGCCGCGGACACGCGCCGCGGCGCCCGGGTGCGAACCAATCAGAGTCCCTGGTATCCGAACTGACCACTGGCGCGCTCAATGACAACAGGAAGCGCGTTAAACGAGATGCCCTTTTAGCCTGCATCCTCCATACTGACCTGGACCCAAAGAGGAACATGGTCGCTAGGGCCCCGTTCCTGGGGAGAGTCCAGGATCCCAGTGCCGACGACCCGGCCGCTCCTCCAGAGATGCTGCGAGACAATGATGAGGTCGACTCTGTCACAGCTGCTTCCCCAGTCCCTCGTGCGCGGGTGATATGTGTATTGCTTCCTGTCTCCATGAATGGCCCGGAAGATGTCCACTCCATTGAGACATTTACCACTTGTGTCCTCATCTTTCGTAATCGCATCATCGGCTGTAGTGAGTGCATCCAGGTGGACCCCTGCACGCTTGTTGTCTGATGGGCCGAAGAACTTGCGATTGAAGTCGGCTCTGTTGTAGCAGTGCTGAACCGGCGAGGTCCTGAGGTTGGGATATCCATCTATGCGACTCCGTGCAATATTCAGGTCTCCCGCGACGATCACATCAAAGCCACGCGCCTCCAGAGCGAGGCATTCGTCTCGAAGAAGAGAGTGGAAAGAGAGCTTGTGATCGTGCCGTGTCCCGACGGTGTGGCCATCTTGAGAGGAACGGTATGTAGCCCCGGTGCCATTGACAGCATAGACGTTGACTATGGCAAGTGGCTTGTGTGCAGGAATCCCTGCTCCAGCCTCTGGTGTAGCAACATATGATCCGGACCCGTGCTGTGTTGACACTGTTGTCTCAACGATGCTCACACGCCCTTCTAGGTCCCAAGGCACATCTCTCACGCATCCAACATGCTGCTTTTCAAAGTCGGCCCGCAGTATGGTTGCCACCCCATATAGTTTGCCTCCGAAACCCCGCGCATTGAACCGATCTCGAGGCAATGTGGTGTGAAGAGCATATCTCCTGTCATCTGTGTGCGGGTTGTCTTGCGGGTTAAGCGGTGTGTTCAAGCTCGAGGCCAGGGTGGACAATAACTTGTTATTAGTGCGGTTGATCTTGACTTCCTGCAGGAAGAGAACCTCTGGCCAGTCGTGCCGTGCTAGCCAGCCACGTAAAGAGGCTGGTCCCGCGGTTGCCGCGCCTTCTACAATAGATGTTGCTGCCTCGCCTTTGGGTCTGAAGAAGGCGGTGATGGGTGCCGATGACTGCGGGACAAAGGGTTGGATGCCGTTGATGTTCCAGGAGTAGATGCGGATGGAACTGCCTCTCTGGGTCTTGGTTCTTGGTGGCGTTTCCTCGGCACCGAGAGAAGCATCCTGCTCCACCGCTGCCACCTTTCGTCTCTTGAGTGGCGGCGGACTGATGTCGGAGTGTCTTTTGGACATCCTAGGATGGCGTGCATATGGCTATTTTCAGGGTTTAATAGCACTGCAAGGTCTTGAACTTGAAGCGGTCTGTGCGGTTCAGGAATACAGAATATTGTTTGAACACCATCAATATGTCCAGACACCCAATCGTGACGTCATCCGTTCCTTGCGCCGTGACCCGTGTTTAGATCTACACCAGACAACTATTTCCACGACTGCATCATTTCCTGTTTAAAGTTGCCATGTTCCAGTCCATAATGAAGAAGCACGAGCTCTCGCTCAGGCTGCGTCCTGAGGAGAGGACACTGGGATGCGTGGGATGCCAAATGTAAGAGGCAACCTCAACGCCGAATCACTCTCAACACTGTCCGGCACGATTCCGCACCTTACTTCAATTAGATCCGAGATTGGTCTTGGCGTAAAAACTAGAGGGACCGCTGCTTTACGGCTCTTCATATACCTGAAGGCTTCACGATCTGTTGTGTGATATGTCTCCTTGTGCATGTGACAATTGCCTCGCTCAGTTAGCTTCGGGAATTATCTGTGGGGGCTCTGTAGTGCCACAAAGAGAAATAGATCCGGGGAAGCAACGCAGACAGGGCTTCGAGTGGAGAGTAACCGTGCTGCTGACACGTTTCCCCGCTTCTCCATTCTCTCCGCTCACTCTCAACCCGGTTGACAGAGAGTCGGCCTGGGGAACAAACACCTAAGGAGACGAACTATATCACGCTCTAGCATCAGGACCGATTGCAAAAAGCCACGTTCCTGAATCATGCATGTCATGCGGCGCCGATATTTCAAGTATTGACGGCGGAGTCTCCGACACCCCAGTCAACGATCTCTTGGAAATCGGCACTTCACCCCAACTTGGCAAGGTTCAGGGCCCAAGTGTCGCCGATCCTGGAGAAAACGGCCCGTTTCAGCAGTGCAGCTGTGCCCATACTCCGCGATATTATAACTACCGGCGCACGGCTGTAGCAGTGAGATCGCGCCATAGAAGCTCTTCTCCGTCTCGGCTACTACCGGGGTCGGGCCGTTAAGATCTGGGCAGACCTGACCCAGTGAGCTAGCTCGGCCTGCCAATGCAGCAACATCGTCGGTGTCATTGACCGTGGAGGCGATGGCTTCAGTTTGACTCATGGCTTAACAACTATAAATGCTTCTGCCTCGTCACCTTCCGGTACGTCCAGTCCTCTGTGACAGTACAGCAGCTCAGAAATTGCCTAGACCTCCGGATCACTAGGAAATACCAGTTGGATATCGTTGTGTCTTGACAACTGCCATCCCATCATGAAGAATTGGGTCTCGCTCCTCCTCGCGGCTGCAGTCCAGCTCGCCCCATCAGCCCTCGCTGCTGACGCGAACGCATGGAAGTCGCGCAATATCTACTTTGCGCTGACGGACCGCGTGGCTCGATCTTCCTCGGACAACGGAGGCGGCTCCTGCGGAAATCTGGGGAACTACTGTGGCGGTACATTCAAAGGACTTGAGGGAAAGCTCGACTACATTGCCGGTATGGGTTTTGACGCCATCTGGATCACGCCGGTCGTCGCGAGTAGGTTTAATTCCCTCCCGAAGCTGTTCACTTTTAACAAGTCCACAAAGATACACCCGGAGGCTACCATGGGTATTGGGCTCAGGACCTGTACTCTGTCAACAGCAACTACGGTAGCGCAGACGACCTGAAGAGCCTCGTCAATGCCGCTCACGCTCGGGTATGTAAAATGGACTTGTGCACCACTTTTCTTGACGTTCTAAGCTGATGCATTCGACAGAACATGTACGTAATGGTCGATGTCGTCGCAAACCACATGGGGAACGGCGATATCTCGTCTTTCAAGCCCAGCCCTTTGAACCAACAAAGCTCCTACCACAACCGCTGTGACATCAACTACAACGACCAAGGCAGCATTGAGTATTGCTCGATAGCCGGTCTCCCTGATGTCAACACCGGGGACGGGAATATCCGCCAGTTGTACCGGAACTGGATCTCATGGCTGGTCAGGGAATACAAGTTTGACGGTGTCCGCATCGACACCGTCAAGCACGTGGAGAAGGACTTCTGGCCTGGCTTCGCCTCTGCTGCGGGCGTCTACACGATCGGCGAGGTCTATTCCGGCGACCCAAACTACCTGGCGCCCTACGCCCGGCTCATGGGCGGCCTGCTCGACTTCGCCATATACTACCCGATGACGCGGTTCTACAAGCAGCAAGGCTCCGCCCAGGACATGGTCGACATGCACAACCGCGTCGGCTCCATGTTCCCCGACCCCAGCGCCATGGGCACCTTCCTCGACAACCACGACGTCCCGCGCTGGCTCAACTCCAACGGCGACACGGCTCTGCTCAAGAACGCGCTCGCCTACGTCATGCTCTCGCGCGGCATCCCCATCGTCTACTACGGCACTGAGCAGGCGTACGGCGGTGGTAACGACCCGGGCAACCGCGAGGACCTGTGGCGCAGCGGCTTCAACAGGAACTCGGATATGTACGGCGCCATCGCCAAGCTCTCGGCAGCCAAGAAGGCGGCCGGCGGCCTGGCCGGCAACGACCACAACCACCTCTACGTCTTCGGCAATGCCTACGCCTTCAGCCGCGCCGGAGGCAAGCTCGTCGTGCTGACGGTCAACAGCGGCTCCGGCTACAATGCCCGCATCTGCTTCAACACCCAACGCTCCAACGGGCACTGGAACAACGTTTTCGGCGGCGGCAGCTACAATTCCGATGGCAACGGCAACATCTGCGTAGACGTCAACAACGGCCAGCCAGTAGTTCTGCTCAGTTCGTGATCGTATCACGGACCGTCCATGACAGACGCGGCTATCGCAACTTCATGAGTAAACGCGATGTTTGCATAATTGATGATCAGCATTTGAATTTTCTGATATGTTTTGTCATTAAGGAATTATTTTTCTTTTGATGTGTTTGCCCAAAGGTGCTGAATGAAATGGGCCTTTCAATTCTATGTACATATCTATTCTCTGCGGTTGTGCAATGATTACAATCCGAGCTCTGTCATCGCTATCTAAACAAGAATCTGTGAAAGGAGACAAAGGAAATGAGTATCTACAATATGTTGGAAAGTGATATGCCTGCTCACTGACTCTCAGACCCCAACCAGGTTCCGGCATTCGCCATTAGGGTACTCGCCGAGCTCAGTGAACGCACGGCTTGTCCTTCGTCGTCGGAAGAGTAAGCCGAGAGGGAAGAGGTTGAGGAATTTTTCGAGGACTGACCGGCTGTCAGGTATATCCTGCCCAACCGGCTCGGCACCCGGGCCGCCCCTGTCTCTCCGGTAGAGAATGCCCAGGGTGAAGTAGTAGAGGAACTTTTGCACAAATTTCCGCCGGTCTGGAATCTCCTCGCTCACTAGCTCTGTCTTGCCGTCCTGCGACAGGAACACGTTGTGTTTTGCCGGCAGATACCGGCCGGGGTTCCAGACGTTCCACAGAACAGAGTTGAGGAACATTAGAGTCGCCTCAAATATGTAAAAGTACCATTCGTAGCGCAAGATCGGGGTCAGAGCCTTGAGGGACTCGAAGTCGCTGAGGTGTATGCCAGTCGCACCGGTGTGCTCTACCAGCCGGTATATGCAGCGTACCAGAATCAAGATCATGCTGACGTACAGCACCCACAGGGGAGTGATCACTGATCGATTCCGGATGCCGGCTCTAAGGCACCGGCGGTGGAATATGCTGGAGAGAATGAAAAATGTCGCCACAACGCTGAGCTGGAGGGCCAAAGCGGCCAAGATCATGTTGCCGCCCAGCCCTTGCGCTGAGCCGGTAGGATTGGCTACCAGAGATACGCCGACAGAGTTGAGCGCTTCAACGATCATCATGAGCCCGCCGAAAGTTGCCAGTACACGGTTAGCCGGCAAGGGAGAAAAGTACGGCACGTAGTAAAAGATCCGGCCGAGTACATGATAATTGGAAAGCTCAAGCAGAGGACTGCGCGAGCAATCACAGAGTTAGCTGACTGGACCCGGCAACCGGATGATAGACGAGGGCCACTTACGGGCAGATCTGGATGAAGACCTGCATCAGAATGTAGACTATGAGGTTGGTCGTGTGACCCTCGTCCTGCTTATCGTAGATATAGTGATCATTGGCCCCGTAGACCCGTAGAGCGAAACCCAGTGTAAACGAGAATGCACAGAATGCATGCAACCCGATCAACCGGAAGGTGCCGTACTTGCTAGTGATATGTTAGCATCAGGCGTGGTAGATAGCGCATGATCGTCTAGGAACCCTGACAAGCATTGCCACAAATGAGCGACAGCCGAGATAGCAAAGGCAACTGTGAAAAACACAGGTGCACCTCTGTTCGCCTCATATACGAAGAGACTGCCGGGCACTGTTTCGGTGCCGTTAGGAGACAAGCAGGCTGAAAGGAGGCATGAAATAGCTTACCCGGGACGCCGTCCGAAGGCATCGTGGAGGAGGGTATGGTTAGTCGGGGCAGCTTAAATATATTGTAGCAAGAGAAGGGGAGCCAATATCCTGAGAGTCTTTGAAATGCTGACAATGGATCGAAGAAGTCTATTAAGGCTTGCCAACGGGGCCTCCACAATATATACTGTAGAGCTCCTGCACACAGGAGTACCATGGCTGAAGTAGGGCATGCGACATCTGGACCGTATTGAGACAGTCTTCAATGTCTCTGCCTCCACCTTACCTCTTGTCCCCTAATCCCCTTCCACGCCACCATCCTCCTCTGAGGATTGCCGGATTGGGATGGCAGGCATGGACCCAGTCTCAGTTGGGTCTAGTCGGCTGTGAATACGCGTATTAGCTAAGCTGGAACAGCCCGGAGATGTGCTTGCTCAGATGCAAATACGCGTCCGGTGAGCTGCCAAGCCACCAAGCTGACACAGGGATCACCAGTCCCCAGCTGGCCAACCAATCTCTCCTGCGTCGAAATCGACGAGGAGCTCCTTCGCAGTGACGCAGCAGCCCTGGCGCCAAATCCTACATTCATACCAGTTTGTCTAGGCCTCACACCCCACTAGCAGATCCAACCCGTTGTCACTTCGTATTAGATTGGCCATGCTGAGCTCTAACCCGGTCTTAAGCTTAACCTCAAGAGAACCACGCCCGTTTCTCCACATCTCCCACGGCCAGCGTCACCCTTCTCAGCGACGCTGCGAAGCATGGGAGGCCGCGCACTTCCCGTGGTTCCCTCCAGTCGCTGCTTGATTCGTATAACTGTCGCTCGTTGACTTTCGAGCCTTTCCGAGAGGTCTGGACTGTGTCCCAGATCATCGGGTGCGGTCACGTCCATCAGCTGACGCAGCCCTACTCAGTGCTTGCAATGTGAACCCACAGCGACGCAGCAATCTGAACAAATTCGTAATACGCGTATTTCAGATACACCAGATTCCGAATCCTCAGAACTTGTAACGTCCTGTCCCCCACACAACACACACGCCGTCATGCTTCGACGGAGACACAAAAAGTCAAGGGGTGGCTGTCTAGAATGGTAAGTCTCCTCTTTCCATTACGCGGAACTGTTTTTATGCATGAATGCCAGGCTCTAACAAGCGCTGGGGTAGCAAGCGACGCCATGTCAAGGTAAGATGGGCCATGCTCTTCGAGCAAGCCCCTCAGCCCTCAGCGATCTGCCATGACTAATCATTGCTCGACAATCAGTGTGATGAAGGTCGTCCAGTATGCCTTCTCTGTACTATGTCCCAGCGGGAGTGCGGCTACGCGACTCCAGGCCCTTCCAGCGCCCGGCTGAGCCCGGGCGTATCTTCCCACGGACGGTCCACCAGTCCGGGCGATGCACAGATGCTCGACGCCAACATATCCCAGGCGGCGACACCATCCCTCGCCGTGACCCCGGCTTGCTCTAGCTCGCCACAGCCGACCTCATGTTCAAACATTAGCGATCCGCCTGCCCCAGCCGCTGAGGGCGTCCTCAACATGGCACACATGGAGCTCGTAATCCACCTGATCACTGACCACCGGCTGTTTACTCTGAGCGACCATGTCGGCGAGCTCCGCCACGGCGTTGAATACGCTCTTAGAAAAGGTCTGGAAGCGCCGTACCTACTGCACCAGCTGCTCGCCTTCTCCGCCCGCCACCTGGCCTTCGTGCACCCCGAAAGAGCCGGCAGTCTCAAACACCTGGCAGATACCCTCCAAACCCGAGCTGTCTCTCTCTTCAACATGAGCGACTGGAGCCAGAGGGTGGATCGGTCCAATTGCGTCGAGATCTTGCTCTTCTCTGTCGCGCTGGGCCACCATCTCCTTGCGGACATGCTCGCCAAGCGACCGGGCGGCCTCGAGGGTTTCGTGGCTCACTGCACACAGTGCATGGACACGCAGAGAGGGATATATACTGTCGCCAAGAGTGCCTGGCCGCTCCTCCTCGAGACGGATCTCGCGCCCTCCCTGAACTGGAGCAAAGGCTTCACGTCCAGGAGACCGAAGGGCGATGACTGCGACGGCGTGCTGGACCTGGTCGACCGATCGCCGTCCCTGACAGAAGACGACAAGCAAGCCTGCCGGACCGCAATCAACTACCTGCAGGTCGGGCTAGACGCGATTCCGCTTGACCAGGAGGCCACCGAGGGGAACCCGTACCAGATGCTCTTCTCGTGGACGATGCTCGTGCCGCAGGAGTTCACGCGGCTGGTCGCAGACAGGCGGCCCGAGGCCATCGTGGTGCTGGCGTACTACGCTATGCTTCTTTACCATGGGCGGTTCATGTGGCAGGTGCAGGATGCTGGCGCGTACATCATGGGGTTGATTGTGGACTATCTCCCTCCCGAGTGGCACCCGTGGCTCGAGCATCCGCGGGAGTGGATATCCTGTTAGAAATAGGATGGAGACATGGCTCTCTAGCTGGAGAACATCACCTAGAACGATGCGGGTCTATCACCTATCCATGCCGACAAGTGGCAGTTGATGAGTGGGTGTCGCCGTAGACGTTGTCTCCAAGTCAGCTCGAAACCGCAAGATGAGAGTGGCCGTCGAATTAGAGTAGTGCTCCTCAACATCTCCAAGAACTCTGGATTACTAGGAATCAAACCAAACACGGGATGGTTTGATCGAGGCGAACGCGGACAATGAGTGCAATGGGGAGTCTATTAGCGTGCTGGGCATAAGCTGATCTCGCTGATTGGAAGGCCGATGTTGCCAATATGTCACAGAAAAGAGAATTGGCAGTCAAAGGCTGTAGTGGTCGGCCCCTGGTTGAATAGACCAACGGGATGGCTTGGGGTTGGCGCAGGTATCCCATATGCAGTTGGGTCAGGAGCTTTTGCGCCCGTCTGCACCGTCACTCTCATAGTGACTGCAACAGAATTCATCCTCTTCGACAAGCTTGAGACAGGTGGGAGAGAAACGTGTTTAATTCTCTAGGCACGACTCTTTGATCCAAATGTCTCAACGTACGTCATGTGTTCTTCTTGTACAAATATAGAGGTAGTAAACATGGAAGATCGCTCTGTGCTGCAAGGTGCTGGCGCAGGCTCTTTATTTAGCTGCCGCCGCCTGTGATTCAATTCTAAGCGGGGCTTAGTGCAGCTGGGAGAGTAGCACACAACCTGGAAGACACCTCTCTCCGCGAATCAGGTCAGCACATGCTCTGAAGCCCCTGTCAGACGACCTGCAGCTAGAGGCTATTTTTGACATGAAGCGGATCCGCGGATAGACCCTTTTGGCGTCCTCGGTTCTGTAGCCGTTCCTGACATGCAGGAACCGATGAGATCGCTTACAGGTGAGAACCGAGAAAAAGCTGGGATGACGGGAGCTTGGCAGCAGCTCTCGCCCGGCTCGGAGGCAATGCTCGTCACCGGGCTGAACTGCAGGTACTGCAGAGCCTGGGCCCTTTTTGGCAACGTGGCTTTGCCGCCTCATTTGACTTGCAGTCGACAACCTTGATTTCTGAAACAGTAGCTTCTCCCCGCGATTGTGAAGGTCAGACTGCGGCGCAGGAACAGCAGCCATAGTAGTCAGCAGACGGTAGGCGCTGCAACCCGCCATTGGCCACTTACGCTGGCAGCTATGAAGCTTGAAAGTGAGCTGATGGCATTGCTAAACTTGGAGCTGGCAGTAAATCGGATTGCTTCTGCATACCCCGAGCTGCACATGGGAGTATATAGAGCATGGGACTTCCTCTTCCGGTCACGATGAACACCTCACGACCTCATCTCAGTTTCTGTTATCTGCACGCTCCTTTTACTATCACGAATTCAACTTCGCCATACTTGCATTACACTCCTTGCTTACATATCACTCCTTTCTCTCAATCTGAGAATACGCTCCAATTACATTTTCTACAAAAGAAACTGGACCATGTTCTCTTTATTCACCGTTGCAACTTTGCTATGCTCTGTTGCTAGCATCTTGGCTGCACCACAGGCCGGCACCCGCCAGTTTACAATCAAAATCGTCAACCAACTTGGCGAGGATGTTCAATTGAAACACGACCCCGATAGAGGCCAGGCGAAGTTCTTAAAGACCGGTTCCACTACCCAATTTGCTGTGCCGTATGGATGGCATGGAAATGTTGCCTTGTTGCAAAGTGGTGCTGGCCACGCTTTCTTGGGCGACGAGAGTCTGATCGAGGGCTCCTTTGTCCCGCAAGCGGGCATCCCCGTCCCCATGTTTGATATCGATGTCTCCTATGTGTAAGTCTTACCGAAACTGAATGTCTTACATCTCAAAATAATCGGCGTATATTAATCTCCAGCATAGGACCGGGTTCAGTGTCCCCGTCACTTGCAGTTGTGAGAACCGCGTGGTCACTGGCTGCAGCCAGAACCTCTACAGTTTGCACAACTGCCCCAACAACAACGGAAAGGGATCCTGCAAAAACCCTAACCGTGATACCATGGGAGGGGCGACAGACTTCTTCAAACCCTGTCAGCATATGGCTTACACCTATCCCGATGATCACGCAGCCAACGCAAACGGCCTTTGCAAGAGCGGTGCGGTCACTTGCTGCATTGGCACGAGCTGCGCTCCTCACCCGACCCAGTAGACTGGGGATTTTGCATGGGCGTGTGAAGCAGAGTGGCAGGCAGCATTTCTTGCCATCACCGTCATTCATTCCATCCATCGCACAGCGGCGGCTTTAGCATTGCCTTTGACTTGTCAGTCTTTGGCGAGCATGAACTGTTGTACAATTTGATTTTTTCCAAATTAGCATAGCCTTAGGGAGTACAGGAGTTTACTTTTATTTCATCCATGTTCATTTTGGGGTATTTGAGAAGCTGGGACGCAGCTGGATTTTATCAAAGATAGAACATAGTGTCTTGCATTCTCCCCAAGAAGACAAGCAATCAATTCCAAACCTCTGGCAGCTTAAATCCACCTGGAACAGCTCGCTGGAACACCCCAACCGGGTCGTACTTCTTGCTAACCTCCCACAGCGTCTTGACGCTTTCTTTCCCATATCTTGCGATGACATCGTCCCTTTGATAAGCGTAGTTGGTGAATATGTATGGGTGTAGCAGTTGTGATTCGCTAGCCAACTGCTTCAGCTTGTTTTTGAGATCCTCCAAAGCTGGGAAAATTCGGGTATTATCTGCGGCATTGCTCCACATGGTTTGAATCATGATAATGATCAAAGGGCCATCGGATACAGGGATCTGCATCGCATTTCCGCCTGACTTGGTAGAGTTCGCCAAAAGTGCTCTAGTCAAAGGGCGGAAGCCCAAGACAATCATCAAGCCTTCTACGCCATTTATCTCTGCCAGGATCGCTTCGAATTCAACATGACAGGCCTTCATTAACGCCACATCCGCTTTGATAGTCACCGTGGCCCAAAACGCAGTGTATCTATGGATAAGCCTGGGCGAGAATTCTATGCGTGATCTGGAACTTCCCGCAGCCCATTGGGCGTGAAGTGAGAGAGTTCGTCCACAAACTCAAGATTTGTCGCATTCCTCCTCGTAGAGTAATGCTCCATTTGACGTTGCAAGGTTGAGAAACACTGCAGCGATGGCGGGTCGACTTTGCCCTCGGTGTGATACATCACACAGCTCGCAGCTTTATGCCCGTGGCTGAAGGCGGTCGAACACATGACATGAGTGTTTTCAACATCCTCGTTGTGAACAAAATCGTAGATGCGCTCGATCATTTCCGGGAACACGATGGCCATGTATGCGGTGACACCTCTCCAGATGTGGGCGGAAGCAAAGGCTTTCATCGTGATCGAGGTAACTATACCAAAGTTGTTCAAGCCGCCCTTGAGCGCGGTCCAGAGGTGGGTAGATTTGCTTTCAATGTGGCCAATGGCATTCTCAGTTAGCCTTGATGAAGGGTCCGGTTGCAGTACCACTCGGTTGAGCAAGAGTTGAACGTTTTTACGGGAATCCAAGTGATGAGCTAACCCGAAGTAGAAAACAATATGACTGTCAACTCGACCGCAGTGACTTGTATTCGCCGTCTATTTGCTACTAGCCCCGGCCAGTGCTGCTTGCATCATGGGCACCCACTCAGCCACAACCCTTTGAGCAGCAGGCCGAGCCAGCACCCTCCCCTGCCAGGCCGCCACGTTCTTGTACACTGTAAAGTCCTCCCCAACGTGGACATAGCCAATACCATAGAACCATGGTATCCACATGTAATCAGCATAAGTGATCTTGTCACCGACGAGGAAGTTCGTTCCTTGCTTGGTGAGATGGTCGTCGACCACTTTGAAGATGCGGTGCGTCTCCGCGACATAGCGGTCAATCGCGGACTGGACCTTTTCTTGGTGCAATCTCACGAACCAAACTCCCTGGCCAAAGTAAGGACCCTGTCCGCTCATCTGGAAGTGCTCCCAGCATCGAGTGGTATACTTCTCCGGCAAAGTAGTGTATTGAAGCTTGGCCTCGGGATCATACTCGGCTATGAGGTAATCGATAATCGCCCCGGACTAGGGGATTTTGTCAGTATGCATGACAAGGCCGTGCTGATTTCATGGTTCGGACTTGCCTCCCAAAGAGTGATGTTCTTGTTCGGGTCAACCAAAGCTGGCACTCTGCCATTGGGATTAAGGGAGATGAAAGGCTCCTTCTTGACATCCGAGCCGGCCACTTCGACGAGCTCATAAGGAACACCAAGCTCCTCTAGCACAAACCAGACTTTGACGGGGTTGGTGGTTGGTCCAGTTCGGTACAGCTTCAGTGGCTTGACTTCACTTGTCATGTTTGCGGTTTTATTGATTCAAGTGGGACGCAAAGATCGTATCGCTTTAGAATTCTGAGTGTTCTTGGGTGGGAAAGGCATTCTAGTATTGTTGTATGAAGCGGAAGAAGCTACTGCTTTTAAATTCTGATGCTATCGCTTGGCTGCCCGTCAAGCCGCATTGCGGACGGAAGTTTCGTCAACCAGGGATGAGCCGCTCGGTCGATGCTCGCTCGTGGTACTTTCCAAGAAGTGCTCTGGTCTGCACTGTCAGTATGCACTCCGCGTCCGTCTCGGTCGGTCGTCGGTCGTGCTTGACGGAGCCGGCCATCGGCGCTTACAGCTTCCGTGTCCCTCAATCCCCACTTATCGATTGGGCATCATGGAATGTGAGCAAGGATAGGGATCTCATTTGTCATCTTCTTCCGGAACTGGAGATGTGTACCTACAATGCAGCTTCAGCAGATGTGTGGTTCTCCAGATAGTGTAAACCGGCTGCTGTGTTAAGGTGCATGCTTCATGGAGGGTAGTCGTGTACAACTCATCATGGAAACCTCGGTGAACAACTCGACCGAAGCGTCCCTCAACACGTGGAACTGCCTACACTGCCGACGCCGTAAGATCCGATGCGACCGCCACAACCCGTGCTCTCATTGCACAAGGGCAGGTCTCGACTGTGTCTTCCCTGTCTCGGGGCGCCTCCCTACTCGCAGGAACACTAGCTCGGGAGCTGCGGTCCATGACGCCAAGCGGAAGCAGACTGAGCTCCTCGGACGTGTTAGACACTTGGAATCAATCGTCACCCAATTACATGAGCAGCTAGGTCGAAGATTCGAGGAAGAGTCGTGCATGAATTCAAGTCTTGCAACATCTACAAGCGGCTCCGGGAGCCATAAAGTCTTGTCAGGTTCACAGGGGACACCCTTGAAACCTGGTAAACTTTTGGAAACCAGTGATGGGAAGGTGTACATGGGCAGCCATCTCTGGGCTTGTCTCTTGGATGAGGTCCGTTTTAACAGTGAATAATGAGCTATTCATGTTCAAGAATCTAACCAGTGTCCAGGCAACCAATATCCGTCACACCATCGAAGATGGCTTGGACGAAGATAAATGCCTCGAGGAGGAGCTCGTCTATCCCGAGACCCCGTCTAACGCCTCGAGCTACACCGGTCTTTACGTGTCTCGGCCCAGGATAGAGGGCCCAAACCTTCAGAAGCTTCAGCCACTCCCCTCTCAGATGCCTTACCTATGGCAGAAGTTTGTAGCCAATGTTGACCCTTATGTGAAAGTGCTTCACGTTCCCATGACTATGAAGATTGTCAATGACTCAAGAGGTGTGAACATATCCATTTTCGAAAGGTAGCTGGTCTGGAGTGAACACTTACAGGGGAGATTGCAGGGAAAATATCGTCCACAGCGCCACGCATTCAAGCCCTGCTGTTCGCGGTATCTGCGTGCGCCGTAACATCGCTCACTGAGGAAGAGGTAGTTCCATCTCTGTATACAGCACCAACATTCTACTGACTTGGAGCCTTAGGTTAGCGATAGCTTCCATGAGACCAAGAGTCAGCTTCTGGGCAAGCTCCTTGTAGGGACAGAACAGGCTTTGATCAATGCGGGATTCCTCGACACATCCGATATCGTTGTCGTCCAGGCCTTCCTCTTATATCTCGAGTCTTACAGCCATGTGGAAGTAATTCGCCCGGGCTGGCCTCTTGCTGGCCTTTTGGTGAGGACAGCCCTAGCTATGGGCCTCCACCGTGACGGTTCTCAGTTCCCCGAGCTCTCACCATTCGAGGTCGAGCTGCGCCGTCGCGTTTGGTGGCAGATATGTTTCATCGATTCTCGGGCTGGCGACAACTCGCTGCCCGACATTCGGATCGACGAAACACTCTCTGATACCCACCAGCCTGGAAATTATAACGATGCTGACCTGGACCCCGGCATGGAGTCTCTGCCGCCTCCGCGCGAGGGCGTCACTGACACCACGATGGCTCTCGTCCGTGCCCATCTCTGGCAGTTTGATCGTCAGTTAGACAATATCAGGAGCCTAGCCACCGCTGTCGAACAAAAGGACGTGACTATCAGGGCCTTCATTGATAAGATAGAATCCAGGATCCTACGGCACCTAAAGGTTGACGAGCCTCTGCACATGCATGTTGCAGCATTGACGAGGCTAGCGGCTGCGAGAGCTGAGCTGACCATAAGGTCGGAGGACCTAGCCTCTGGGACGGCCAAAGGAGTCAGGCTCACGTATGTTGCCTCGCGCAACAGGGCATTCCTTGTCTCGGTCGCGGTGCTGGACTGTGCAAGGACCCTGATTGATTGGGCTCCTACCCGTGGCTGGTCTTGGATCTTTGCGGGCTGTGCTGCGTGGCAGCCTCTCACAGTCCTCCTACTCCAGCTCTGCTCTCGGCCGTGGGGGCCGACATGCGAAAACGCGTTGGAGCTCGTCGACCGAACGATCACTGGCCTGCCCCTTGCTGTGAAGCGAGACCCCGCCCATCGCCCGGTCTGGAGCCTCGTGACGGATGCAAGACGCCACAGGGCGAAAGAGATATGTCGGATACAGGCGGACCCGGATGTTTCTCACGAGATGGCACGCCGCAAGCCTATTACCTTTGAGCAAGGCTGGGAGTTCACTGGCGAACGACGCGAGATCTTTGATACAGCAGCTGCGGAGGCGCTGCTGGATGAAGAGGCCAAACTTTCGATGAGAGCAAAGGGTTCAAATACCACACAACCTCCCACAGCGAGCGGCAGTAAATCAGCATCGCCGGCATTCAAGTCGACAGCAGGAGACTCAGAAACGGGAGTCAATCAAGGGATGGGCGATGAAGAACCTCCGTGGATGAAGGAGGTCTGGCCACAGGACGCCTCAACTGCGGAGGGCGTCTGGTCGTTCAGAGAGGATGATATGTGGCAGTTGGCTGGTTTCGAGGCTGAGCCGTTCTTCGACATGCTGATTCTTGATGAAACTGCTTGAGAAGCCGGACTAGTAGGTACACCGAATAAATCATAGTGCCCATATCTCGTTTCAAGTAGCTTCATGGAGTATTTTTTGACTGGTGTACCGCCTGGGAGTATTTACAATAGGAAATTCCGCCTGTGGACTTGAACTAAAACGAGACTTAAACTCCAACCGACCCATGACATGACCCTCGCTCAAGGAGATCGCCAACAGCAATGCATCAAGGACTACCTCCCATTTCCATTTCCCCCAGTCATACCCTTCTTATCACCCTCACTCCCCTTACCGTTCTCAAAGATTGCAGTCAGTGTCAAAGGCGAGCATCCCCATCCCTGGTACCCTCCAGCGACGCCGGGACCAGGGCCCTCCTGACTCGACAAATCGAGCCGCATGCCGCAACCCACCCAGTTTTTCAGTTTTGCCAAGTGGCACTTGAGTCCCGCGGCCCCCTCGTGCACAGAGCACTTGATCGCCGGCCGAGTCCTCTTTCTCAGCAGCGCGATGGCGTCGTCGGCCATGGAGATCCCGCTGCGCGCCCACGAGTGCTTATCCGCCACAGCCACCAGCGCGTTGCCCCTGTCTCCCTTCTTGCCAACGGCGCAGAGCTGCCCCGACTTCTCGACGCTGAATTTGCTCGCCATCTCCTTCCCGGGCACGAAGAGAACCTCGCTGCCGGCTGCGCCGACGAACCACCCGTGGGCCTGCGCGCCGGGCTGCGAGACCTGCAGGTAGAAGTGCTTGCCGGAGGCGCCGCACGTCTTGAGGACATGCTGAGTTGGCTTGGGCCCATGGGGTCGGGTCGCGTTGCCCCAGTTGCCTGTATGGGTGGGCTTGTGGCCTGAGCCGGTGCCCGTGCCGGTGCCGTAGTGCGGCTTCGTCTTGTGTGTCTTGAAGGAGGAAGATGGCCTAGTGTCGTTACCATATGGCGCAGAAGTCGTATCAGGCTGCGAGGGGTATGTGTCGGTGGGGTTGCTGGAAGGCGGAGAGGTCTCGCCGGCATCTGGAGGGGTGGTAGGCCCGCCAGTTACGCCGCCCCGGTCTGTCGAGTACCCGGTGCCAGCGCCGGGTGCTGTGGTGGTATCTACATCTGGGGGAGACGTCTCGTTTGCATCCGGAGCAGAGGTCGTACCCGCGCCGGAGGCTGTCGTCTGGTCCGCGCCACCGCTCGTTGAGCCGGCGCCAGGAGCAGTGGTAGTCTCGGCATCAGGTGGCGACGTCTCGCCAGCATTCGGTGGGGAGGTCTCGTCAGCATCAGGCGCAGAAGTTGTTCCCGCGCCACCGCCTGTCGACCCGGCACCAGGAGCAGAAGTGGTCTCGGTATCAGGAGGCAAAGTCTGGCCTGCATCTGGAGGAGCAGTCTGACTAGGTCCACCAGTAGAGCCTCCGCCGGTACCACCACCACGATCTGTGCTCGCACCAGACCCTGCAGTCGTCGTGGGCCCGGAGCCGGGATAGGTCGCACCACCGCCGGGAGTAGAGGTTTCACCGCTGTCGGGCTCTGAAGTTTCCTCACTGCCACCAGCAGAGGTTGTCCCAGCATCAGGCGGCGAGGTCTCGTCTGGCCCGGAAGGAGTCGTAGCACCGCTATCAGGAGTCGTGTGGTTAGCATAAGGACCCGACGGCATCGTGATGGCAGTTCCTGGAGGAGCGGTAGGGTACGTCGGCCCAGTAATCTCCGGGCTAGACGGCTTGAACGTCTCCGTTGGCTCGTCGGGGTTCCCGGTGGTCACAGATCCGTTGGAGGGAGTTTCGGTGACAGTCACTGTCACACAAGGAGCAGAACCAGTGGCTCCAGACCCTCCCCTATTGCTTAGTGCACCGATGCAAGAGCATGCAGACGAATAGGCAGCCACGTTGGGACAAGGGGAAGCGTAGGCGGGCAAGCCAGCCGGGACTTGGGAGATCGGCCCATTGTTGCGAGCTCTGACTGGTGGTGTCTGCATTTGCTTTCCAGCGGTTTGTGTCGCCGGCGTATCATCGTCACTATCGCCGCCTTTCTGCCCTCCAGCAACCGTTGTTGTGGCCGTTACGGTACTGAATTCGAGTTCCAATTAGCGGCGAACATGATCAACGAGTGTAATGCCACATACCATGCCGGACCGGGTGCTCTTGCTGCATGACCAGAGCCTGCATCCGCAGCGCCATTATTTTGGAAATACTTGCCGTCGATGAAGTAAGCTTGACAATCAGCGGCGCCGTAGTTGTTGTTGTTGTTGTTGTTGTCTGATGAAGTCTTGTTCCAACCCGAGCCCGGTCCACCCCGAATGGCTAGCCCGACGTGTCAGCTACTTGATCTCTCAACAACATATGAAGCTCGAGCTTTCACTTACCGCGAAGACAGTTGTCAGCGGCACACGCATCACCCTGATCCCCATTCGTGGCCAATGCCTCCCCAACAAGAGCGAGGGACACGCCCAGCAGAGTGACATGCATGTTGAACTCTGTAGTGCCGCCAAGACAAGAAGTAGCGAATGACAAGAGCAAATGGTGATTCGTCTTGGAGTCTTTGTCGTTGGTCTGTCTTATACATACACGGCTAATCAGAGAATCCTTCATCCCATCCCGAGCTCAGACGGCCAGCCTTTATCTACCCCAACATTGCTGCCCCCGGATCCTCCTCGGGCTGTCTTTGTGAGGCGTAAGAGTTACCCAATTCATTAAGACGACACTTGTTAGTCAGTGCGATTGTCGGGCTGCATGCAAATTGTGGGTGTGATGACGATATCTGCTTCTAATTCTAAACCCACACTAGACAGACAGAGAGTAGGGAGGCAGGGGTAGCCCCCAAAGGACAGAATGGAGGCGGCCTGGAATCAAAGTTACTAATAAGAGACTGCGCCGCAGGCAGCACATCAGTCATCGAAAACGCCTCACGGGGCTCAAACAGCCGAGATGGCCTCGTTGGGCAAGGTTTGCACCGTAGGCTCCCAGTTACGATCTGACCTAAGGTGGGCACGCACAATCCCCGGTTCGGTCAGATCGCCCGATGTTTCTCAAGCATACAAACACAATCACGGTTGGTGGGCTCGCGATTCTATTCGCCCATTCACCCATCCAAAGGCATCTCACCATAGGATCACCCCGGAGGGAGGCATTCCCCACCGATGCGAAACCGTGGGGGCTACGCCGCACGCCGCACGCCATCGCCAGGGGAGCAAGGGACTTAAATTTAGAATGCTGACGACGATCTCGCGATCGACGCCAGCGCAACTGCTACCTCGGAGTGCGCGCTACAGAATCGGGGCCAGGCCCAGAAAGGCAAGCGAAAGACAGCAGAACAATTAAGCACCGCTACCATCGCCGGGAAGCTTCTCAAGCCCTGCAGATTCATACGTCAGTTTATCCGCGCTGTGCCGCAGGATACGTCCCGCGAAGTCTGAAAAGAGATGAGAACAGAAAAGCTTGGCTCGACTCACATCCGTCATAGTTCTCGGCAACCGAGAGAGGCACTTGGCACTTATTGGCCGCCGTGAACGCCTGCGTCTTGAGCCCAGCACAAGTGGGACCAAAGCAGCCCCCGTCCATGGCCTTCTGCAGCGCGTCGCCCTTCCACCCGAAGACGTAATCCGCGTGCTGGCCGTATCCCGTCCTGGTGGTATGCGGCATCCTGTCAGTACGTCCTCTTTTGGCCCGTTCCGGCAAGTGCCGGGTCTAATAAAAGAAAAGGATCGGCGGGATGGTGGTAAGGTTTGGGTATTTATATCTTACGTATCACCAGTGCTCAGCATGAAGGGCTGGGAGCCGTCCTCTGGCCACATGGACTTGTCGTTGAACTGTGTCGTGTCCCAGACGATCTGCATCACGCGTTAGCACATCTAATAAATGGGGTGCAACCCTGGCATCGGTTCCTTGGTGTCCAAGCGAAGCACTTACCTCGAGCATCACCTGCGGGATCTTGACTGGGTGAGTATCCGGGCAGTCTCCGGAGGTTGCGAAAGAGGCAGGCCCCGATTTGGGGTACGCAACGTGATCTTTGTGGTTGGGACTGTCTAAGTTCTTGCCATCCCAGCATCTGGGCCGTTTTCAAATAGATGTTAATCCTGGCCTTCCCTAAAGATCGATCTCGATCCATCTAAATAAGGGGCGGCAGAGCACTCACGTCGGGAAATGAATATTGGACCGGATGCCACCCAGGCAAGGGCCTGGGGGAAATGTCTCGGTGTCAAGCTTCGGGTCAAAACATGGCGACAGGTTGTCGCCCTTGAAGTTGGGCCCCGTGTAGCAGCGGAAGCAACTCTGCGTCTTCATGCCGCTACCCTTCTTCTCTCGCTGCATCGAGTCGCCGAAGAGCATCCGGAAACCCTGTTGCTATGTTTAAGCATCTATCCCTGCACAAACCTGGTTACTTACTAGGAGACTTCAACTTCTTACCGGCTTGAATGCGGTAACCTTGCCGGCACCGGGAGAGGTGTAGTAGACTGTCACGCCGCCTTTGGAGCCATCGAGCAAGCGGTTGGGGATCTGAGGCACGCGGTGGAAGCTACCATTGCGGGCTTTGAAATACATGTTTGCGGTCCAATAGTTGGAGAAGTCGTCTGCAAAAGAGCAAGTCGTGCAAGTTGCAAGGTCCGAAATATCAGACGAGGGCATAGAGGCATTGAAGGCATTCTGCGATTATGAGTAATCTTTCCAAGTCAACTCAGCTCTTTGGTGATTTATGCGTACTCCTCCAACGATCTACGACAAGGTCAGCAAGCAACTCCATCACGCTCCCTGAGTACCAGACGGTAACGCAATGCTTACCTGATGGATGTGCGGCGAGGGGTTGAGTCCAGGGTTGACAAGCCTATTTGGAGTGTTAAATCGGTTCGAAAGAACCCAAATCCCTTTCTGACTTTGCACTTACGGGTCAAGTCGCTCAATCACGATCTGGGAGCAACCGAACCGTAGCAGACTAAAACCTCCTCGGCCGCCGCCTCCAAATCCCTGAGGCGCCGCATAAGCTGCCGCAGCCAACGCAAGCAACTTCCAGTACATCGTGTGTAGAATAGAGATCCTTTAGAGTTTTAGATAGGCACGCAAAGCCAAGAAGTTGTCTAAGATGCGTCGTGTGGAGGTGGAGCCCGCGCAGACGGACCGCAACCTGATCTTAAAGAGAGGAGATAGCCGCTTCCCCTCGCTGCTGACATCAGACGCATAATGCCGATGAGAAGATAGCAGACGCGTAGTGGGCGGTAGTCTGCAATATCAATACATATTGACACTATCGCTCTGGCCACTCACAGGTGAGTGCGGAGTTGGTAGGAAGGTTGCGATGCCGAGCATTTTGCCGCCATTTTCCGGAGCCGACCATCCTCGTTTTCACAGAGCAACCTTGATAGGATGGATGGCAGATACACCTTGTTTCGGTGCTGCCACAGAGGCATGTCAACCAATAGTAAATGTCGTCTTCCTTTTTGCCATGTTAATTTGCCCAGTCAAAATCACGTTCAATGTTGACATTCTCGCACTTTGATGCCCCGTCAGACATGCACACCGTCGCCACCATCTGTGATATCATCAATGATTTATTCAATATCCCTCCCTGGACTAGCCGCTCCATTAAGACCGCTCGTCCTTGGTCTCCATCAAATCATTCGGCAGTAGCGCCGTGCTCACCACACAGCCCAGCATGACACCCCCAGCCAGATACAGCACACTATTGATACCCCCCTGTCCGTCATCGCCCTCAGACCTGCCGTATAAGTGCTGTGCGATAAGCGGGCTGACGATACCGAAAAGCCGGCCCCAGAACCCGGCGATGCCGCACGCCGTGCCGCGCACGGGCGCGGGAAAAGCCTCGGGCGTCCAGCCGTAGAGCACGGCGTTGAACATGCTCTGGAAGAAGTACTCCATGGTGAAGAGGCCCTCGTTCTTGGCGCGCGTGTCGACGGCCGACAGCAGGAAGATGGAGGCGCCCATGAGGCCCGCCGAGACGACCATGGTCCACTTGCGGCCGACCGAGGGGACACGGTACATCCAGGTGCCCAGCAGGACGCCTACGATGCCGGGCGCGTAGGTGTAGATGTAGGCGGCGTAGGTGGCCTTGAGGCTGACGGAGGCGGCGCCGTTCTTGAGGGCGAGGATGCGGGGGAGGTAAAAGCCTGCATTCAATTTACTTTGTTCAGCAGCCTGATAGATTGCATGCATGCATATGAGAAACATGGGAAGACGGAGGGAATTTTGGATACATACCGGCAACGGTAAATGCCCAGTAATCCATAATGTATGTCAGCCAGGTAAGCAGCGTCAGGCGCGTCATCGGCCACCCGTCAAACAGCATCTTGTACCGGCTCAGCTCGAGCACGACCTTGTCGCGCCTGCCGGCGTGCAGCTGGTTCAGGCCGCCGCCCAGGACGGGCGCCGCGCTGTCGCCGCTGCCGATCGAGCCCGGCCCGGACGACGGCTCGAGCGACTCGAGCACCTCGAGTGTCAGGCGGCAGGTCTGGCCGTTCTTGTGCGCCATGTGCCGCAGCGTGTCGACGGCATCAGCGTCGCGCCCGCGGTAGAGAAGGAACTTGGGCGTCTCGCGGAAGGTGAAGACCAGGAAGCGCAGCGCGAAGACGAAGATCGTGATGGCGCCGAGGGTGAAGAGGAGGTACCGCCATCCTTGATTGTCGGCGCGTGCGCAGCAGGCCGTCCCCGCGGGGACGTTGTTGCACGAGGGCAAAGGGTTGGGCTCGGAGAAGTTGGGGGAGCAAGAGTAGACGGGGATGAAGCCGAAGGCGATGGCGCTGCAGAGGATGACGCCAAAGGGTTGGAAAATGGAGAGGCAGGCTAAGAGGAAGCGCCGGTTCTAAGAGAGAAGCTTCGTGTTAGAAGTGGAAGAACTATGCATGTGAGTGAGTCATGTGGCTTACCTGTGGTATGAACTCGAGCACAATGGTCGTGTCGATCGGGATGTTGCCCCCCACACCGAAGCCGACAAAGGCTGTCAACACGAGGAAGGTGTTGTAGTTGTTGGATGCGCCTAGACATAACCCGAAGACCGATGAGAAGAGGCAAGTCAAATTGAAAGCCCACCGCCGGCCAACGATATCAGACAGGCAGCCCCAGAAGAAAGCTCCAGCCGTCAGCCCGGCGTTGAAGCTCGTCGATATGTTGCCAGACTGGTCGTTGCCGAAGCCAAGCTCCTGTTCGAGCGGGCTCAGCACGAGGCCAAAGGCCTGCGCCCACAGGAGGTCGAGGAGGTAGCCGAAACCGCAGAGGCACCAGATGTACCACTGGTAGCGGCCCATGCCCTGGTAGTCAATCTCGCGGTTGACCAGCGCGCACTTCTTCTCGTAGAGTGTGAGGCCGTCGAGCCCGGACATGTCGACGGCGTTGCGAGAGCCCTCAGTATCCGCGAGTACACTGGCACCGGTGCGGGAGCCATGCCGTACGTCGCCGACCCATTCGTCATCGGCTTTGGCTCGGTCAGGGGAAGACATGTTTTGCCCTGGCGATCGCCACAAACGCGTTGCTGCAGAAGCAAGGGGGAAGGACAGTCAGTACTGTATATGAACCAGATTGAGACTTGATATGACTGCTGTCAACACATTTGCGGCTGCCGTGAAGAACACCCGGGGTGAGTTGGTGGTTGGTGAGCTGTCACGGTAACATGGAGACCTCAGGGACCAGACAGAAATGGAAACGAGGTACAACAATAGCATGGGAGAAATGTTCGAGCTCCCCTTTTTGTTTGAAAATGCCATGGTTGGCACGGCACATTTGCATCTCTGGTGCAGCGAGACTGACTTGCAGCAGTCAACGACTCGGGTCATTGATGTCATGACTCTGGGCTAAGGCGGCCCGGACACTGCACATAACCACATCACCGCACACACACCTGCTTGACGGTGGTTCATAGGAGAGGTCGTGCTATCCGTCCCCTTTCAGAACCCTAGAATTTACCTTCTTTCTGAGTGACATTTTTGTTTAAGCTAATTGGACAGAAGAAGTCGTCGCTCGTCGTTGGAGACTTGCGTCCGGTTGGGAGAGACTGACGCGTATCTCGGAGCAATTGGACACAAATAGTTCATGAGATATCAATTGGACATACAAAAGCTCAATGAAAGAGGCCCCGCAAACATTAGCTGTACCGGTGTGGCGCTTCGGATGTAGCGATTGGATCTGGTGCACACCCTCCCGGGCAGAGATGCAGATCTCCAGCTACAATCTAGATGGTCAGCCACCCTCACTTGGCATTTCCACACATCTGCGCAGGAGGGTGTGGCAACCACATGTCCACCAACTTACCAGAGTCTCGGGTCAAGAAAAGAAATGTGTATGTGATGCTAGAATGGACTGTCACGACCTTGTCCCACACCAAGAACACAACCGCCAAGGCTTCAGAAGTTCTCATAAAAACCGGTATTAGTATCATAAGAAAAAGCTTCAAGTGTTCTTTTATCTTTAGCCGTTGAAACCATGCAGACAGTTCGTCCGTCAGACCGTCCATCCTCATAATCATACAAATCACTCCCTTGATCAAACCACACACGATCTCATCACTGGTCCTTCCCCCCATCCTTCTTAGCCTTCGCCGCCGCCTCCCTCCTCCTCCTCCTCCACGCCTTGAACTCGTTCAGCAGGCCCATGACCAGCGGCACGCCGACGGGGCCCAGCAGCGGCAGGTAGACGGCGACCTTGTGCTCGTCGGGGAAGTACAGCTGGGCGACCATGCCCTTCTCGAAGAAGGCCTTCTCGGCCTCGGCCTCGGCGATGCGGGCGTGGGCGAGACCCGCGGGCCCGCCGAGGGAGTCGCAGGCGAGGCGCAGGTGGCGCATCGTCGAGGCCACGCCCTCGGCGACGCTGCGAGGGATCGAGATGGAGGGCAGGGCGAGCGCGAGGCGGGCCAGGCTGCCGAGGGTCGAGGAGGCGCGGAGCAGGAGGTCGGCGGACCGGATGCGCGAGAGGGTCGAGAGGCGCAGGGGCAGGCTGCCCGACTGGGGGGTGCCGAGGAGCGACAGGAGGTGAGAGGTGAAGGTGAGCAGGGGTTGCTTGAGGGTCTGGAGCGAAACGTGGGCTTGGTCGGTGGACAAGGGGAGCAGGTAGACGGTGCCCCACTGCGGGATCAGCCAGGATTGGGATGTCTCGGAGACCGTGTCTGAGGTCAGGTCGGAGCCCTGCTGGGGCGGCAGGCCGATGGTCTGGTTGCCGACGAAGACGACAAAGTTGACGGTCGGGGCGCCGCCGATGGAGGGCGAGAGGGGCCACTCGGCGGCGTTGATGAAGGCGGAAAGGTCCTCCTTGCTCAGAACTTCAGATTGCACGCCAGGCGAGGCGTAGAGCTGGACCTGGGTGTCGATAGTAAAGTTGTGGATGGGCGACAGTACATCCAAGACAGGCTTCATATACTCGTTGATGGCACTCTCAATCTCCCAGCTACTGGGCGCAGGACCACTTGTGAACAGGGAAAAGGTCAGGTGGTAGGTGGGAGAATAGCGAAGAGACCGCGTTGTCCGCTTGGCCAGGGCCTCGGCGACCTCGGGTGCGAGTGCCGGAGAACGCTGGTCAGGGTTCATGGCGTTGGCAGACAGCAAGTAGGAGATGACGGCCTGCTCCTCAGCGAAAGTAGATCGGAGCTGTGTCGCGATGAAGGTAGCGAGGGTGGACGAGGAGGACGTCGGCGAGGGGACAGCATTCGGGGGATAGGTCACATCGAGGACAGGTAGGTTCGGGTGCAGAGACGCGGTCGTGGCATCGCCTGCCGCCAGACGAATTGTCAGGGCGACACTGTCGGTCTGTAGAGGCTCGGTGGAGACGGCTTGGGGTGCAAGTTCAAGGCGCAGGTGGTGGCCAGAGAAGTCATTGAGGTCGTCGAGAGCGTGCTGCGTGAGCCGCAGCAAGTGTTGGGCCTCGGAGTCTTGTAGGGAGCTGGCCTGTATCGCGATGCGCAGAGGAAACACTGGTCGACACGCCTGAGAGCCAAGGTAGACTTGTCAGCATGGCCATCCTAAGCTGTCCACTTGCAGGGCCGGGAATTGCCAATACACACCTTGCCGTCGGCCCATTCGAGCATCTCGTCGAGGGGCAAGTCTGCCCTGTATATGGTCGTTGTGTGCCACCATATTGGCAGGCCGAGGAGCAGGACAATGAGCCAGAAGGCGAGGATCACGAGGGAGCGCCTCCTGACATCACCAGGCTTCTCAGGAGGGGGCTGTTTCCGTGCGCCTTGCTCGGGCGTTGTCACCTCGACGGCGGTGACAGGTTGGGATGGTCCTGAAGAGGGAGCCGCAGCGGCATTGTTGCGTAATCGAGCCGACATGGCGGCATTGAAGCTCCCGGGATGTTGGCCGGAACCTCGAGTGAGTTCGTGGCGGCGGGCGGGCGATACGAGACGCGATAATGCAAAGTCGCCAGCTCACCCGCAATCGAGCGAGGCTTGGCTGGCTGTCACATGGCGATAGCGATAAGGCCAGACCGCGAATACGACACACCTAACATTGAAGGAGATGCTTAGTTAGACATGGATGCCTACAGGGGACAACTGCAGCGGGCCTTGGCCCCAATGAACATCGGGCTTCAGGCGGGATCTCCACTAAATACACTGCTGACGGGCGGCTCAGAGGCGCGCGGATGGGCGATGGAATAGGTACCTAAGCTGGAAGGCATCTCGAAGGGCTTAAATCCGGACAAGCTTTTGCATCCTCCAGCTGAATACTTGTACAAGGACAAAGCAAAGGTATCGCTTTTAATGTCCGATCATTGGACTGGTGGAAGGGCAGGGATCTTTCCTTCTGATGGTGGAGCCTGCTGTGACCGATCCGAGAGACCGAGAGTGGCACAAGGAGAAAGTTGAGACAGCCCGGGTTTTCGGTCTCGCATGTCGCACACGAAGCTAGAGATCCAGGATGAGGATGCTAACTTGAAGCTGTCAGTTTGGGCAATCCGATCATTGGTTGGCAGCTCAAGGGCCGACTTGACTTGCAAGTACCTAACAATGACATTCATCCGTGACTTGGCACCCTTTCCAAGAAACAACCTGATGCTCCCAGCCAATGTTCTATCGGATCCATGGCTGGACTCGGGAATAGCGCGATGGAGATCATCCCCCCCCGACTCGCCAATGCACCCCAGTTCCAGCATGCACTAACTAGGCGTTGTGTTGGCATGGATGGCATGGCATGACCCCTCAGATCCACGCTGCGCGTGCCGAGGCATCTGATACCATCACCAGTTTGACGTGTGAAAAAAAAGGGTGCCACTGGCAAGCATGGGCAGGCATTCTGTCGTTGCTGTGCTCCGGTGAAGCTGCTGGTGGACCAATTCCATTCATTGATTCATTCATTCATTCCCCTTCTCATCGTGTCTCTCCCCGCTTCATTCACTCCTGTTGTGAAGCAACGCCGAAGCGAAAAAGCCCATGTGAATGAGCTTCACCTCCCTGGTGGCCTCTTTCCTTTGCCACCTCCATCATTGTTGAGAAAGGAGCGTGCACCTCCTGTCTTCCCCAGATTGTGCAGGCCATATCGGTGGGCCTCTGCAGTTCTTGATCGCCTCTCCCGTTGCGTCTCATCTCTCCTATCACGTCGTCAAGAGATCGCGTTCAGCCTGCGCTCGCTCTTTTTCATCTGTTCCTTCCAATCGATCTAGACCTCTCGAACGTCTGATCAATGCTCTCAGTCTAATCTCTTCCTCCCTCCTTCCTACCTTTACTTGGGTTTACACCTCCTTTCATGCGTGCAATACTCCCATCGACACCCACATCGTGGCCTCACCCGTTCCAAGAGCCGCTCTGCAGCTGATAATCTCTGCCGTGAGATCCAGTGCTTGTCAAAGGACCACCATATCACGAAACGAAGAGGAAAATGCCTGGTAGGCACCCACTGACCCTGCATGTGGCCGATCACCTGCTCATCATTTCCAGTCCCTCTGGGCGTCGCCCTGCCGGCGGCAGCAGCTGCCCTGGCCTACATCAATGCGCGTGCCGGTGTCTTCTATGACATGCTCCTGCTGGGCTCCGCCATCCCCTCAGCCGTCAAGATGGCCATCCGCGAGAAGCGCGGCCGCCCGAACCTCTTCTACCTGCTCGAGGACCGCGCCAAGTCGGCCTCGACCGCCGACCGCACCTTTCTGCTCTTCGAGGACCGCGCCTACACCTACGCCCAGGTCTACGACCGCGCCCTGCGCTACGGCGCCTGGCTGAAGCAGGTCCTCGGCATCGAGAAGGGCCAGGTCGTCGCCATGGACTTTATGAACTCGGACACCTACATCTTCATCTGGATGGGCCTGTGGGCCATCGGCGCCAAGCCCGCCTTCATCAACTACAACCTCAAGGACCAGCCTCTCGTCCACTGTGTCCGCGCCGCCCGTGCCAAGATCCTGCTCGTCGACCCTGCCGTGGCCGCCAACGTCGAGGGTGTCAAGGGCCACCTCCCCGGTATGCAGATCAAGGTCGTCACGCCCCAGCTCGAGACCGAGATCATGGCCATGGACGCCATCCGCTACCCGGATGAGCTGCGCCATGAGGATGCCGCCAAGAACATGGCCATCCTCATCTACACCTCGGGCACCACCGGCCTGCCCAAGGCCGCCGTCATCTCGTGGGCCAAGCTGATCGTCGCCGGAACCTTTGTCAACAGCTGGGCGGGCCTCAAGGCCTCCGACGTCTATTACACCGTAAGTTCACATTGCATATCCACTGGCAAGAATGACGACATCATTCTTTTGGGCCGACGGCTGACCGGGATACCACCAGTGCATGCCAATGTACCACTCGTCCCCGACCCTCATGTGCTTCAGCGCCGTCCTCTCGACCGGCTGCGCCCTCGCCCTCGGCGTCAAGTTCTCCAACCGCACCTTCTGGCCCGACGTCCGCCGCCACGACGCCACCGTCATCCAGTACGTGGGCGAGACCTGCCGGTACCTGCTCGCCGCCCCGCCGCAGCTCGACCCGGCCACGGGCGAGAGCCTCGACCGCCGCCACCGCGTGCACACGGCCTTCGGCAACGGCCTGCGCCCGGACGTGTGGGCGCCCTTCAAGGAGCGCTTCGGCATCGAGACCGTCGCCGAGTTCTACGGCGCCACCGAGGGCATGCTGGCGACCTGGAACCTGTCGCGCAACGACTTCTCGGCCGGCGCCGTCGGCCGCCACGGCTGGCTGTACGACCTCTTCATGGGCCGCGACGTGGCCTTCGCCGCGCTCGACGACGACGCCGAGCAGGCGCTGCGCGACCCGTCCACGGGGTTCTGCCGCCGCGCGCGCGCCGGCGAGCCGGGCGAGCTGCTGTTCCGCCTGCCGGCCGCGGACATCGAGTCGCGCTTCCAGGGCTACTACGGCGACAGCGCGGCCTCGGCCGCGAAGGTCATGCGCGGCGTCTTCAAGCGCGGCGACGCGTGGTTCCGCACGGGCGACGTCATGCGCGCCGACCCGGCCCGCGGCCTGCTCTACTTCCACGACCGCATCGGCGACACCTACCGCTGGAAGTCGGAGAACGTCTCCACGGCCGAGGTCGCGCAGGGCCTGGGCACGCACGAGCTCGTCGTCGAGGCCAACGTCTACGGCGTCGCGCTGCCGGGCCACGACGGCCGCGCGGGCTGCGCGGCCGTGGCGCTCCCCGAGGGCCGCGAGCCGGACGAGGCGGGCCTCGCGGCGCTGGCGGCGCACGCGCAGGCCTCGCTGCCTCGGTACGCCGTGCCGCTGTTCCTGCGCTTCGTCCCACCCGGCGCGCACACGACCGGCACCAACAAGCAGCAGAAGCATGTGCTGCGGGAGGAGGGCGTCGACCCGGACAAGACGGGCGGGGACAAGGTGTTTTGGCTGCAGGACGGTCGGTACGTGCCGTTTGGTCGGGCCGAGTGGCTGGACCTGAAGGGCGGGCGGGTCAAGCTTTGAAGGGGCTGGGTGGGTGTCAATCTGTATGAGTGAGTATGGGGAGACAGTTAGAGAAGAAGACGGCTTGTGTTGCATGAAGACGCTTTATGGCATTGCACCATGCACTTTCTGATCAGGATTAGAAGACCTCTAGAGTACTGCAAGCGAAAGAGGGAAAGTCTCTGCTACGATGATTAGCAACACTTCAAGTAAACGCATGATCGACGTTCAAATACCATTTTCTTACCTTCGCAACTGAGATCCTCATGCTGCTACCTGCTCTTCTCTAGAAAGCATACATGTAACTTTGCTTGCTGCTATGGTCTCACTCTACTAAGGTTGGACAAGTGCCGTAGCAATAAGTCACTCCAAGAAATCCAAGTCAACAGAGATGGTTATACCTCCTTCTCTGGTTGGCCCAAGCTTACCGTGGCGTTTGCATGCGTTTCCAAACCTTATCGACCTTGACAAAGGGGATTGGAGTGTACATGTACCTACATCAGGAGCGGGACCCAATCGGCTTCGCCTACCCCTCCGTGTTCCGTCATCATGCTTAATGTTCTCTCCTGCAGTGATTAAGAGGGAGGGGTTGAGATTGTGCTTTGCTACACAATAACCACTATTGCGTAGGCACTCCATTAAACGCTCCTGCATAATTAGTTCGGGCCTGCTAGTCAAGTTCTAAAGCCCGGATCCTTCGTTATCATCAAGTCGCAGAATTCGCAGTATATCGGGGTAATTCTCCTCTTCCCGAAAGTTCATCCGATGGCAGCCAGCACCCTGCCTCTGGGCGGCAAAGTCTTCGCCATCACGGGCGGAGCGAGCGGGATCGGCCTGGCGACGGCCAAGATCCTGTCAGCGCGCGGTGGCACAGTGTGCATCGGGGACGTCGACGAGTCAGCGCTGGAGGAGGCGGACGCCTATTTCAAGACGAAAGACGCGCCGTACACACTCTACCACCTCGACGTCTCGGAGAAGGACCAGGTAGAGGACTGGATTAGCGACATCGTGAGCAAGCACGGCCATCTGGACGGCGCGGCCAACGTGGCTGGGATCATCGGCAAGGACCACGGGGTGAAGCCGGTGGCGGAGCTGGACGACGACGAGTGGGACAGGATCATCGCTGTCAACCTGACGGGGTGTATGTACTGCTTGCGGGCCGAGCTGAGAGCGATATCCCCGGGAGGCTCCATCGTCAACGTTGCGTCGATACATGGAACAACGGGTACGTCAAGGTTTACAATCTCCCATCTCAAACATGCTTCTTCTTTCGTTACGCTCTATTGATTGATGTCATCCAGGAATGGCCAACCACGGAGCTTATGCGGCGAGCAAGCACGGCGTCATTGGACTCACTCGGGCGGCGGCCAAGGAGAACGGCGCCAGGGAAGTCCGGGTGAACGCCGTTGCTCCGGGGGCCATATACACCCCGATGATGCAAAAGTATTGGGACGAGACTGGGCGGGCGCTGGATGCGGCGCTCGACGATCCCAGCGCGTTTCAGCGCCAGGGTAAAGCCGAAGAAGTTGCCGGCGTGATAACGTTTCTGTTGGGTCCGGAGAGCAGCTTTGTGAGCGGGAGCGTGTACGCGGTCGACGGTGCATGGCTGTAGTCTGGAGACATGGATGCATATGTGTGAGGCCTCTCCGGGCTGCCACGGATTTACACGGTGCCGCCTGACAGGAACTGTTGGTCTTTTCGGGGTCTTGATTTGGACAGCAGGATGCCTGACTGGATGCATACGGCAACCCGGGGTTTGAGGTCAATTTATTTCTGTCGACATCGGGGATTCCTTTCGGATGTGTGAGAGAGAATTGTATTGGCTCTCTGACCTGTTGGTCGCCGGGGACAATCCCGCGTGCCAGGTTCCGGGATGCAACCTGTCCCGCCTGTCCCGTCTCCCGGCCACTCATCAGTCCACACATGCATTAATCTGGTGGCTTAAGATCCATCCGTGGATGTCTCCTCCTTCTGGAAGTCACGGAAGCCCACGCACCTCGCAATGCCACTTGCATCGTTTGGTGATGGGCCCCGCCCTTTTCGGCGACCACCAGACCACCCCGGCGGCGAGCGGCGAAGCTGCACACGAGTGAACGGACGGTTGTCCTTGACGACGACGACGACAGCGACGGAGCAAATGACAGCATCGAGGGTCCCCGCCAGCCTGGGACGAATCAGAGCGGCGGGCGATCGCGCAATTGGGCGCGATTCCCTTCTGGTGCTTAGTGAGGGGTAGCTTTCTGGAGGGAACAGCTTCCCCGCCGCCCCAGCTCAGTAATCGATAAGGATGCGGGCGGGTGGGTGTACATTGATGTGCCTGCAATACACTGCACCTCAGTGGTGCTGCCGACGATGGCGCAAGAAGAGAGAAAGAGAAGGCAATGAATGGGTGGATGGAGCCCTGGAGCCAAGAAGGAATCACGGCGGCTTGGTCGGCGGCTTGTTGTGTGATGGGCAAAGTTCATTATTTTTCCATGTACTTAATCTTCTTTGCAGAACGAACGGCAGAGGGCGGGACAGAGCGCATCTGCCGTGAGTAAGGTGACAAAGGGTCACATCAATGTCATATCAGCGCTGCCATACCGCGGCCATGGGTCCATTGTCCATTGACGTCTATCACGCAAATCCCGTAGATTAATAAGGACGCGGAGGAGAAAACTTACGGAGTAGGTACATCATCGCTGGGTCAGTAGTGGTCCCCGACTCTGGAGGCCAAATTGTAACAAACATCTGGGCAGCTCGTGCGGGTATCGGTGTCACTCAGATCACGCCATAGCTGGACCAAGAGACCAGACACTCTGGACACAAGAGACACATGCCGCCGTGTGTCTTATAAATCTTGCGCCGATGGCCACCTTTGGGAGACGTGTTTAGACTTTTTTTGTTTTCTCCTCCATTTCCTGTCAAAACTTACCTGCTCGTCCAAAGATACCCCAGCCCTCATCTGCCTTTCAGATCTTGTTTGCTTCTCCGATCCAGAACATCACTCCCCACACACACAATCTCCCGTCGCAAGAATGGCTGCTGAACAGAGACCCGCTCCGTAAGTCCCTGCCTATTTTTGCCCCTCTGGTGATGCTCACGGAAGGTGGGCATTGTCGCATCTGAAGATGGAGAGAGGGAGAGAGACGAGAGACAGACTGCACAGAGTGCTGACCAGAGAGACAAACAGCCTCCGCCTGGGCTCCATCGCCCCCAACTTCAAGGCCGAGACGACCAAGGGCCCCATCGACTTCCACGAGTTCATCGGCGACAACTGGGTCATCCTCTTCTCCCACCCGGAGGACTTCACCCCGGTCTGCACCACCGAGCTGGGCGAGATGGCCCGCCTCGAGCCCGAGTTCTCCAAGCGCGGCGTCAAGCTCATCGGCCTGTCGGCCAACACCATCGACAGCCACGACGGCTGGCTCAAGGACATCGAGGACGTGACCAGCTACCTGCCCAGCTTCCCCATCATCGGCGACAAGGAGCGCAAGGTCGCCTACCTGTACGACATGCTCGACTACCAGGACACGACCAACGTCGACGCCAAGGGCATCGCCTTCACCATCCGCTCCGTCTTCTTCATCGACCCCAAGAAGACGATCCGCTGCATCCTGAGCTACCCGGCCTCGACGGGCCGCAACTCGGCCGAGATCCTGCGCGTCATCCAGTCCCTGCAGACGGGCGACAAGTACAAGGTCACGACCCCCATCAACTGGCAGCCGGGTGAGGACGTCATCGTCCACCCCAGCGTCAAGACCGAGGACGCCAAGAAGATCTGGCCCGAGGTCAAGATCGTCAAGCCCTACCTGCGCTTCACGCCGCTGTCCAAGGACAAGGTCGAGGCTTGAGCGTGGAATGTGCGCGGGACTTAGTTTGGCTGGAGTTGGATCCAATTTAGGGAGCTTTTGGTCAGGGTTCTCTGTCTTTTTTGTTTGACAGATCGTAACTAGTCGAAGAAGAAAAGGCCTCGTCGAATTTCCAGGCGCTGAGCTGTAATGAATCAATGAAGATGAAACACAACGAGAAACAATTTCACTCCAAACAATCTCCGTCGGCGTCGGCTCCGAATGGCCCATGCTCAAAATGTGACGTCCGCTACAGATATGACTATCCTTGCATCGTTGGTCCAAAGTTGATCTCGGTTGGTGATCAGGCACATCCAGACCAATCCTCCCCTCATCAGTGCCTCATCTCCCATCTCCCAGACTTTCCCCGTTCCCGAGGCCTCGGAGCACTTGCCCCAAACAGAAGTCTAGCGCTGCTTATCTGACGGAGATTGTGCACGTGTGCATACTTCTTCGTACATAGACTTTGTGCATCATGCTTTCATCATCGTTGCTTGTACACAATGACACACACGTGGACTCCCGGGGTCAGGGATACTGTATCCATGTTTGCTTCCCGAGATGAGGTTTTTGGTCAACTGACACATGACCTGGTGGGTCGCCTGCCACACTAGATGGGTATTTAGGTGACCTGACATACTAGGTGGGCCTTGATTATCATATGTGATTAGATTAGAGATAGACTACCGATAATACTACAAAAGTCGGTATGACCTTGTTAATAAGAGGCAGGAATGATTCTAGAATAATTCTAGAGTGATTCTACTATAGTTGTTAAGTAAGATACTATAGATCTTACTTTACCTTTAGGTCTAGATAGAGAGATATTTACTTTAGAAGAGTTATCTATTCTAGAGACTTAGTATAATGACTTTTATAATCTATAATATATATAAGAAATATAAAGAATTAAATCTATAATATCTTTATATATAAGCTATTAACTGACTTTAGATCCTATTTAATAAAGCTATATTATATAGATATATATTTTAAAACTGTCTTTAATATTATTCTACTACTAATTAATAATAGTAATAAGCTAGGATTATTAAAGATAAGATTTTAATCTCTATAAGTATTAATATCTATAGTATTTAAGAAGCAGTTTATTATCTAATCTTTATATAAAATATCTTCTATATAATAGGGTTATTAGAAATATTAAATATATCTAAAGATAGGACTATTATTATTATTATAACTAAAAGTCTTTATAAGAAAGAAAAAGAATACTTTTAGAATATTATAAGTTATTTATTTATTATATATTAAAATTACTATATCTAATTATATTAGGTTTAGTATAATATAGCTTAAAAGATCTATCTAACTCTTACTTAATCTATTATTCTTAGAGATATTCCTATAACTTAATATATATATAGTTATACTAGAGGTAAAGCTTATTAATATCTTTAATATTTTAACTTTAGTTATATTAAAGTCTTAACTATACTTTTTAATTAAATAAAGATATTTTAAGAGGAAGTTATAGAGAAGATAATTTAAAAGAGAATATTAGGATAAGTTTTAATATAAATATATATTTATATTTATTACTAATAATATAACTTAGTATTATTTAAGCTATATACTAATACTTTAATATAAAGAAAGTATATTCTTCTTAACTTTAGTCTTATTATCTTATTCTTATAGCTATAAACTATAGTATAAGTTATTCTTTTTATTTAATTTTATAATATAATATTAATTAATATTAGTATATTACTAGTCTTTAATAATATGTTATTTAATATATTAACTTAAGTTTAAATATTATTAAATAGAATTACTTTTAGTTATCTCTTAACTATAAATAGAGATATTATATCTTATTAATTTAAGCTGTAGTAGATAAGACTAATCAGTCTTTTAAAGAAGCTTAAAATTAAAAATATTTTATTATTATTAATAATTAAAAGAAATATAACTTTTATAATAAGTTATATTTATTTTATATATTTTATTTTATTTTATATTAACTTTATTATAGCTTAGATTTATTATAGTAGCCTTATTATAATAATTCAATATACTTATAATATTACTCTTTAATTTTAAATTCTACTTAATCTTTTAAAGACTTCTTAAATTATTATTACCTCTTATAGCTATCATACTTATCCTCTAACTCTACTAATAATAATATCTTTATTAATTATTAATAGACTTATAAGGGTTATATTATAGATTAATAAGCTAAGAACCAGTTTAAGTAAGTCTATTAAATCTTTATATAGATTAAAACTAATATAAATATAGATATATTTTTAAAGTCTTCTAAACTAAGAGAGTTTATTAAAGAGTTTAAGAGTAAAACTATTATAGATCTTTATATAAGTCTTATAAATACAGACTATCTTTAAGCTCTTCTATATAAATAATAAGTTATTATATTTCCTTAAGATATATAAGGACTTATAATAGCTTTAAAAGAGATAAGAGAATAAAACTTATCTAGTTATATAAGTAATTACTTATAATAATAATTAAGAAAGTAAATAACTAATAAGATATAATAGTATATTTAATATACCTATTAATTATACTTAAACTATCTTATTATTTACTTTTTTTATAAATAAGTAAAGTAATAGAAGTTTAATGACTTAAAGTCCTTTTTAGTTGATGCTAACTATAAGTATATTCTTAGTAGTACCTATTATAAGATTATCTAGATATAATATAGTTATAACTTAAGGTAAGATATATTTATTTTCTTCTTCTTATTTAGAATTATTCTAGATTTATTCCTAAATTAGTCCTATAAGAAACTAACTTTTATATAGCTCTACTACTTATATATTATTATACTAACTTTAAGACAACTAATATATATCTTTATATATATCAAACTATCTTTTAAATCCTTAAAGATAAGTATACTATTAAAGTTTAATAGAAGTTTATCTATAACTTTAGACTACTTAGTATTACTCTTAACTAAGAAGAAGGTAATATTAGAGGTCTCTCTAAGTACCTTTAATAGAAGTTTATACTAAAGACTTTATAGGAAGATATTATAGCTTCTTATATAAGATTCTATATTATATATCTAAAGAGAGGCATTAAGAAGATCCTTAGTCATCTTTACTTATATAGGGATAATTCTTTATATAATCTTCTACTTTCTTTACTAAGATATTAAACTTTAGATAATTACTTCTCTCTCTATAATTAAATTATAAGTAAGTATATAAAAGAGGTTTATTTAATTTTAAATATTTATTAATATATCTATTAGGATATCTTCTAAGCTTATAACATTAGGTAAATCATAAGAAACTACCCTATATTATAGCTAGATTCTATTATATAGTTTTAAAGATATCTTAAGAGGATTAGATTCTTATCTTAAATCATACTAATATAGTTAAAGTCTTATATAAAGCTTCTTATTATTAAACTAGATGCTTTATTCCTATTCTTAATATAATTAATAGGTTAGTCTTTCTTTAAAATTATTAATATATTTAAACTAACTTTTATAGTTATTAAAAGTATGATTAGAACTTAGTTTTAAGAGCTTTTACTACTTAAAACCTCTATATCTTAATAATATATTAAAATATTAGAATTATAGGTTGAGTTAATCAGCTTTTCTAATATTAAAGTAAGTTTTCTCTCTATATATATTTATATTAGAATAATTTATTCTAATATTTAAATAAAGAAAGAACCTAATAGGATTAACTTAAAGAGAGAGGATAAAGAAGAAGATATTATAAATAGATTGAAATATTATAGGAGACTTTACCTATTAAGTCTTCTAATAGTTTTTTATATAATTTTAATAATAATCTTTTAAACCTATCTTAAGATATCTCTCCTACACCTTTATAAAATCAACAATCACTATCTATATCTTTAACTAAAGTACTAAGAAGTTCTTTAAGAAATATATATTAATAATCTTCTTATCCTTAACTAAATAGTCTTTATTATTAAGTAATTTAAACTTAAAGTCAACTAACTTAAGCTGCTTTAAGTTATAAAGATTAATAACTAGCTCTTAAAGAAAGGAGAAAGATATTAGAGATTAGGGATTAAGAGATAGAGCTAAAAGAGTGTTAGCTAGAGGCTGAAAATTAATAAAAAGATTATAAGTTAAAAGTAAAGATTGCTTTAGATAGATATAGACTAAAGTTAGAGATAGGACTATATAGGACTTAATAAAATACTGCTTTTCACTATCTTAAAATTTATAATTTTATAGAAACGTTTTTAACTATAACTTATTTATAATTATTATTATAGTAGAAACCTATCTACTTAATTAAATAACTTCTTAAAAGTTAAAAAAAAAGAAAGGTGGTTGATATCCTATTAATATAGTAGATAGAGCTATAAATTTACTAAAACTTTTTAGCTAAAACTAATAATCTTTACTATAAAAATCAAGTAAAAAAACATAGTAAAAGCTAAAAAAAAGCTTTATTATCTCTTAAAAAACTAATAAACATATACTATTAGTATGTATTTTCTTCCCTACTTAAATCTAATCCTTATTAGTAAAGAGATCGTCTATATTATAAGATAGAGAGGTAGTAGTATAAGATATAATGATATAGATATTTTAAATGCCTTAGGATAGATATAAGACTAGAGCTAGATATAAGAGGATTAGTAATTAGATTATAATAGAAATCTTACTAGTACTTATAAGAAATTATCTTATCAGGCTGTAGGTTAGAATAGAGATGCTTATACTAAATAGTACAGTCTATAGTATAGTTAGAAGAGAAGCAAGCTATCATTATATCAGTTTAAGTGTTATAACTAGATAGAAATAGAAGAGAGATATATTATAACTAACACTATTCTAAGTTATATAGTTATTATAAGTATTTATATCCTAACCTAGGATGTAGATCTTTATAAATAGAAGATCAGGCTAAGAAGAATTAGCTTCTAATAAAGAACTAGTAGGAAATATTTTACATAAAGACTAATATTATTATAGCTATTATATAGGATGATATAGAGATTGTTCTTAT